CTAAGGGGAACAAACCATAGTACAATATAATATCATATACCATACATACCATAACATCTACCTGCTTGAAGAAATGCGGCGCGTGGGCTAATCGGCGACAGTTGTCAGCCGAAAAACGTAAAACTATCCGGAACTCAGTGTAAATAATGGCCAGACTTGGCTGGGCAGACCGGATATCTGTTTTAGAGTGTCGTTGATCCGGCAAAGTCAATTGGTTTCTAACGAGCTTAGCTCCTGTTCTCTCAGACTGTGTCTGAGATTTACCATTTTTGGTTGTTGCAGAATCAAGAATGGTTGGGCAATAAATGCAATATTAGTCAAGTCAATGGGGATTATTATGTGGAATTTTAGAAATAAAAACATAAATGATAATAAAATAAATGATAAAAACATAAATGATAAAAACATAAAATATAATAACCCAAAGCCAAAGCCAAATCAAGTCATCATTACTTTTTCCACTTAAACAGCCCTTATCAGACTCATTTCAGCATGATATTTCGAATATGCTTTTTCAATTACTTTTCCAAATTATTTGTTCAAATATGTTGATATGATTTAGGCTTTACATAAGGTATAAAAATGATACTTTGATTTGAAACTAACCAAAAAAATAAACATAAAATTATGAAATTTATCTATAAATTCTTAAGACTTAATAACTTAGAAATGAATCACTAAATATATATACCTTAATTATTATTTAGAAAACCTTCTTACCTTTGGTGACACATTTTATAAGGAATTTCGATCCCGATCTGTATTGAATTTGCAGAATTTTGCCATTTTGCCCTTGCCAACTTCCCGCTAAACCAATCCAAATGCAATACACCCCTTTTTTGGGTGGGAAAAAGTTGGGGGCCCGACCAGTTTTGCCCACTTGTTGGGTCACATATATACATATATATATATATATATATATATATATATTTATTTATATATATATATTTGTATTTTTTGTTGTATTTTCTGTGGCAATAAACACAGTTTGCACCCAGTCAACGCCAGCCGGTAACCCCAAACACAAGCTGGCGGGGAATTTCACCAAAAAGCAAACTGTGAACTGACGCATTCTACCAACTAACGGCATTTGTTTGGCCACAAATCGCAAGTACCTGGATTTTTTAGGGGTATATACGTTATTTGATATAAACTATCATAAAATAGAAATTTCTTTCTATTAGTATTTATATTTGATATCGAAAAACAATGTAATTTAATGCCTTCTAAAGTAATAAAACAATTTCCAGGGTATTAACTCTTTCACCACTCTTTAGCCCTATTACTTGGCTTTACGATTTTCCGTTTTTACTTTTTTTTTTCTGTCTTTATTGTTATTATTAAACAAGCCGTTTGGCTGGTCATAGTTATTGTTCTTTTGCCGTTGGTTTTAAGGGGCGGGGGTGCAAAGTTTAAGCAAAAGCAAAAGCAGAAAAAAAAAAACAATAAAAAAAAGAAGTACAAATAGAATAAAAATAAATGCGGCGTGCGCCTTTTCAATAATGTTTATCAGTTTGGGGGGTGGTGAGTGAGTGAGTTTTTGGGTGGAAGTGGGTGGTGATGGTGGTTGCCCAGTCACCTTGACATGTCAGTGGTGACAACAGTAATAACAATAACACCCATTAAACACATTAACAAAACCAAAACAACAAAAATAACAATGGCTAACAGGCAAACGAGTGCGAATTAAAACAATTATGGCTCTTGGCTTCGCTTTAACAAAATAATAAACCAAAAACGAAAGTGAATTTCAGGCATTGCTGCGACATAAATGCTAAACACTGCTAAAAAAATATAAGTTATTAAATTTGTTTTAAAACTAAACTTAAAATGAACAAGAAACATAAGTAGGCAATGTTAAAGAAAGATTAAATTAACAACTTTTTAACTAATATTTATATATAAATTTATATCTAGTTGAGTAAAATTTAAACAAAAATATTTTTAGTGTATTTAAGAAAATGTGATAAAGAGGGGGAATATTATATGGAGCATAAGAGTGGGAGGGAGATATGTATATACTATTTCAATGTTGAAGGGCAGACCGTGGGATTTTTAGTTACTAGCATTGTTTGCTATTTGTTTTATGCTAAATTAAATGCTAACTAAATGCTGGCAATTAAATGTTAATGCTGTTCGCTGTCTTCTTCGCCGTTTTCTTCTTTACGGTGGCTGCAATTTTTCAACCGTTATTTATTATTATTATTATTATTATTTGTACTATATATGTAACACTTTCCCGTTTCCATTGAAAGACAAATTGAAAAGGGAAATTGATATAGAAACTGAAACTGAAACACTTTGGTGGCTTTCTCAGCTGTTTGCATATGGCAAAAATGCAATATCTGGCTGGCTTTTAATGTTTATTTAACACGCATTGCCCTTACCATTATATGTATATATATTGTTGTTGTTGTTATTATTGTTTTTGCTTTGTTTGTTGCCAGCCATTAATGTTTATTGTTGTTACTGTGTTTATTGTGTTTATTGTGCCATCCAAGCGCATGCGCAACCAACTTAAAAGAGACACTGGAGCATGTTTTTTTTTATTTTCCAATTTGATTTGATTGAAAAATATAATTAATTCGAGAATTTAGTGTATGAAAATAGAAAGAATAAAGAATATATTGAAGGGATTTCATAAAACTATTGAAAATGTAATATTATACTGCAGCCTATTAGATCTCAGTTTAACTTAAAAGCTATTAATCACTATTTTATAATTGTTCAGAACTTAAATCATATTTTAATATAAACCTATATATTCTATATACTTTACTACCAATATTTAAGAAATTTTTTAAGAGTTCTTTCTCAAACTTATAATCCCTCAACCACTGTGCGAATTTTTCAAGTTCATTATAAATAAAACGTAAATATTATTAAATTGTGTACAAACAGCGCGTTGCACGTGTCGCTGAGTTTGTTTGTATGTGTCTGTGTGTGTGTATGTGTGTGTGCGTAGGGGCGCGTGTTTGTGTCGGTGTGAGTAGGGGAGTGTGGGTGGTTGGGTAGGTGTTGGGCGAGTGTATTGAACTCTTGCTGCATTTTTTTTTTGCACAATTTCGCTGTCTTTTTTATCAGTTCTTTTTTTTTTTGTATTTTTCTTCTTTTGCTTGCATTGTATTATTATGTACATTTATTTTTAATTTAACTTTGCACTGTTTTTACAATTGTTTTGTTTAATTCTTGTCTTGTTTTATATTTTCATGTATAATTTTTTTTTAGTGAAGAATCGATTAAGTGCATCGATTTTTTTGGGAAGAAGATGCTGAAGAAGAAGGGTTGTTGGTCACCTAATTTACATTCTTTCGGCAGCTGACACTCTTTAGAGTTGACCTCTCGTCTTCCTTTTTTTTTTTATAAGTTTTATAAGGCGGTCAACTGTAACGGCGACGTTGTTGCATTTTCATTGACTGGCACTGAGAACAATGGGGGGTTTCTTTTGATTAATAATGTAAAAAAAATTATTTTTAAAAATAGGAGTTGGGAAATCTTTTTGGTAGATTTTGTAAATATTACAAAAAACTAGAAAATATATAACTTTATACATCATCTTTATTATAAAGATAAGTTATATGTAAAAATATATTTTCCATAATTTTAACAGTTTTTAAAACATTTTTTAAAATTAACAAATTTGAAATGCAAGTTTTAGCTCAGTTACTTTATGAATGAAATGATATAACAACAGGGTAAAGAAGTACTAGTAAATTTCTCTTAGTGCATTAATGTTAATTTTAATGCTGCTTGATTGCTGATGACGCACCCTGGAAAGGTGAAAAGGTGAAAAGGGACCAAAAAGAGACCCGATCGTCTCCGACTTCCGTTCTGTAGGAAAGTTAGAGGTTAAGGTTGAGGAACTGCCCAGGAAGTGTCCGCTTGGGGGTTAATGGATATGGATGTGGATGTATACAAGATATATATGTATACGTGGATGTGCATATGTGTATATGTATATGTTTGGGTAGATCTGGATGTGCTAATCGCTAGATGATGTGCGACAGGGAGGGCAACAAACATGGCAAGCGTGGCCAATGGCAACGGGATTTACCCAAAAATCCAAAATGCATCCAGACCATATATGCATATGTCTATGTGGGTGCTAAATACAGTGGTAACTCTTTGGGGAGAATTCATTATTATTATTTCTTAATGAAAATAAACAAAATTTAGTTTATAAGTTCCTGCAATTGCTTAAATTCTTTCTTCTTATCTCTATTCGCCAAAAGTTTTTGTTTTATCTTATATGGGGTCGGAAATTAATTATTATCGAGACTTCCGGCTTTAGCGGTTTTCATCTAGAGTTCATGATTATAAAATTTGCAAATAGTAGTATTTTTGAAGTGGAAATTTATAGGAAGTGGTTAACTAAGCTTATCATAAGTATATGAATATGCATAGTTTTTAGTTTTAAGAAATAAATTAATATAAAAAATACTATTTTATAGTTCTTAATTGAATATTTTAAAAATATTTATAGAAAAAGCTATAACATTTGATATGACTTATGGATTATCCATCAAATATCCATTTGTCAAGAACTCACTGTACTTTTAATGGACAGACAGCAGCAGAAGAGGGAGAAGAAGTCTTCTGCTTCGTCAACGCCTTCTCCTCTGTGCTCCTCTGTTCATTGCTCCTCACCAGGAAGATGAAAAAAGAGATGGGGATATATTTATAGCCATCTCGCTCTTCCCAACACACACACACACATACATACGCACCCAATGTGTAATCCTATTTGCGCCAAAAAAAAAAAACACACAAATTGAAACGAAGAAGGAGAAGGAAAAATCCAACAAAGAAAAGAAGCAGAAATCCAAGCTGCGCTGCCTCCGCTCCAAAAGGCAGGCAGCGCAGTCACCAGCTTTATCTAACTCACACACACACACAAGCGCACGCAGAGACGCGCTCTTTGTCGCTCTCTCGGCCGCTCTCTGCAGATAACTGCGTTCGCTCTCGCGGGCAGAGACGCCGACAGAGCAACGGCAGAGCGACGTGCGCTTTTATAAATACAACTCGTAGATACATCTACCATTCGATTTTCATCTGCCGAATCGGTTGCGCTGCGGCTGCGCTCAAAAAACACACAAAACTCGTGCGCGGCGCTTCACAAAACAAAAAAAAAAAAGAAAGAAGAACTAAAATAAATATAACACCAAAAAGCAGACAAATCAAATAAATTTACTTACAAAACTAACTACATAAACAGAATTTCTCAATTCTAAATCCAACAACAAAACGAAAAACATAAACTAATTTTTTTTTAAGTTTTTTTTTTCAATCACAAACCATTGGAAACCTTTTTGGAATACCTAAAAGCTTGAAAGCCAAAGAAGTGTGAAAAATCAAGTGAACCCAAAACAAAAAGTGCTATCAGAATTCAATTATCTGACAAATAATTAAAAACATATTTATTAACAAAGAAAATATAAATCAAAAAACACAAACACACACACCACACCACACCAAAAAGCTACCAAAAATTGTTTTTAAAAAAGCAACTAAAAAATCCCTAAAAAATAACAGTGCGAAATTCAAAATTGGAATGCCGTCGCAACTGTTGAACGAAATTTCACAACAAAATATCCATTAAGGTAATTTTTTTACTGTGTTTATTTTGGATACAAAAAAAAAATGAAAACAGAACACCTATTACTATAAACATTTTTTTGTTTTTGTGCTGCGTGAGTGAGTGTTAATTGTTGTTGTTGTTGTTATTATTATTTTGGAAGCCCAGCCAAGCTGAGAAAGATATCAATGGATTAACAAAAGGATCAATTTGGAATAGATCTTGGGGTTTATCATTAAAAATATATTAATTTCAAGACATAGGTCTAAAAGGAACTATCAAAACTTTTTGTCAAAGAAATATGAAATATAAAAATATGTTAGGAAAATGTTTAATATAGTTCAAGATGCTAGAATAATATAAATAAGAGTTTTGCTTGAAATATTTTAGTGAGTCTACAGTTTCCTATGACTAAAACTTAACAGTTTTATACGATTATTATAAGATTTTTCAAAGCAATAGGTGGAACCTTAGATCTTTTAATAAGAAAAAGGAATATTTAAGTTATTCTTTTGAGAAATAATAAGAAAATAAGTTCCTAAAACCAACTCCCAACTTGCCAAATGATCTCTTAAGGAACTTTTCGTTTCCCTAAATAAACTTGAAAATAATTTCTGATATAATATTATTATTCCAAATATTTAAATACATTTCAATTAAAAATCCATCTTGCCATACCCCTTTTTTCCAAATTTATTTGGGTCAAGTTCTGCCTGCAATTAGCTAGGTCAAAAAATTACCCATGACCAATGGCCAAAAACCCTTGAACTTTGACAGACACACAAGCAGGCAGAGTCCAAAAACCAGAATAGGGATGAGCTGATGTTTATGAGACCCCGTTTATAGGGTTCTAATGCAGATTGATGATCTTTAACCGGGGTGTGTAAAACTACAACATGTCAAACGGTTCACTTAACATGATTTTGATTTCGTTAGATGGTGATTAGAATTGTGTGTTTTATTTTTCTGCTGACCAAATCGTGTTCATTGATAATTCTCAGGGTCATAAAAGGTGTGAATTTTGAAAAGTGCTTCATCGATTCCCCGCCCCAAAAAGCAGTATTGGTAGGGAGTCTTTATCTCAATGACTTTTCATGACTCACGACGACGAAATTGAAATCAGCCAACCAAAATGAAAGGCCAAACCGAAAGCCAATGGACAACAAACAACTAACACATATCAAAAAAAAAAAATAAAAACAACAACAAAATATTATATATATATATATATATATATAGCGAACAGTGGGCTCGTTATCGGTAGAAATTTTTTTGATCAGCCTCTGAGGTTGTTGTTATTTTTGTCGATGGGAAGTTAGGATTTCCAAATTGATCCACCAACAGCAACAACAACAACAACAACAACAACAATTGGAACACCACTAATAGTCATAGCCTTGATAACGGTAAATGTTAATGAGCGTACCCACATTTTTCACCCACATATGTATGTACGAGAATGATAAGAGCGCGGCGCAGCACTGCCAGATGCGTATTGAATTCAATTCAATTGCAATTTTCTGCGGATGCATTTGCCATTCTTCTTATTAGGCTTTCTCGGTATAACGATTATTGCAAATGTCTTGCCCAACTTCTGTTTGTATTTTTTTTTTTTTTTAATTTTTATTGTTTATTTTCCTGGTTCTCGGTCCCTGGTAGTTCTACAGTTCAGCTCATCAGCTGTTTATGCCAAACGAAAGATTTAGTGTAGAATTACCCAACCACATCCCAATTGGGATCCCATGCACTCAATTTTCAAGCCTCTGTTATCATTTGAAATTTAGCAAAAGGAAACCTTCATAAACTTAGCAAGGGAAGCTAAAAGTGTTTGTTTACGGCTTAAGTCTGTTTAGTTTTATAGAAAATCTACAAGAAAATGTATAGAATTAAGGGTTAATACGTAGGTTAATATATACTTAACATTCCTTAGAAAATATCCTTATGATAGTGATATGTTAATGATAGATCAATATTCTAATAAACTAACCTTATTTTATGAAATTTTTAATTAAAATGCTTAAAAAGTTAACTTATTTTCATATAAATATCAAAGATAACTATTGTAAAATATCATGATACATACATAATCTTTCTAACTAAATTAAATTCATAGCTGGGGCCCTTATCTACATAACAATAGAATGTGTTTTTTACAAACACTAGGTGTCAGGTGTCGTGACTGATTTAATCGAATTAAATGCCCTTAATGATAGGCAGTTTAATATATTTGCATTCCCATTATTGTCCATCACTATAAAGTCCTTCTTCTTTTTTTTTTTTTTTCCAAATTCCTTCGACAGAACGGTTGGCAACAAAACAAAAAAAAACTTTGGTAAAATGCTTGCCGCACATCAGCAGCACAACAACAGCACAGTGGAAACCGAAATGGAGCGTCAGCGACGTGACTCTACAACATCAGAGTCCTCACTGGAGCATCTGGACTTGGGTCGTACGCCCAAGAAATTGGGTGGTAATGGTGTTACAACACAAACAACATCAACGCCACGTGACTTGACGGCAGTGACGTCGCGCAAGCGCAAACTTCGACAACTGCAACAACATCAGCAGCAGCAGCAGCAGCAACAGCAGCAGCAGCAGCAGCAACAGGATTTGCTAACTGATGAGGATGAGGAGGAGGAGGCGATGGATGAGGATGATATAGATGAACAGCAGGTGGCTTCCAGAAATATGGGACGCCACAAGCAGCGACGCAGTGGCGCCACTACACAGGCCTCCATTGTCGTTGATTATAGCAGCGGTGATGCCAGTTCGTTGCGCAAAAAGTTCCGTCTCAATCGCTCGGCTCCGAGTCTCTCGGAATCGGGATTTGTGGATGCCAGTAGTACAACCGGTCATAGTGGTTATCTGGGTAATAGTAGTACTGGCAGTACTACCAATACAACTATACCAGCCAGTGGTACCATCGTTCCATCATCGTTGGGTGGCGATAATGGTGTTGTTGTGACAGCAGGAGCCTCAAATAGCAGTAGCAGTAGTGGTAGCAGTAGCAGTGGTGGATCCGGTGGTTCATCACCGCAGGGATTGTGCTTGTCAAGCGGTGAATCTGGCATCGGTGCCGGGGATGAGCATATGAAATACCTTTGCCCCATCTGTGAAGTGGTATCGGCCACGCCCCATGAGTTCACCAACCATATCCGGTGCCACAATTACGCCAACGGCGATACGGAGAACTTCACCTGCCGCATTTGCTCTAAGGTGAGTCATTGCATTGGTCACTTTTTCTTTTTTTCTTTTTTTTTGTTTTGTTTTGAAGTTTCCGTTTTTGAGGTTAGGTTTTTCATTTTTTAGGTTAAGTTTGTAAAATATTTTTTTCTATTATTCAAACTCAAAATCAAGTTTTCTTTACAAATTAGTTTTTTTTAATGAGTTAATGATTTATTATTAAAAAATTAAGTATTTTATTAGGAAGTTTACTGATGACCTTTTGACATTTCCTAACCTCAATCGATGAATAGACAGCTGTCCTAGGATTCTTAATAGCTAATACCATTTAACCCTCAATTGCTTGATTACTCATCCACCTGTTCTCCAATTCTTCTGCTTCTTTCTTAAAAACAAAACAGGTGCTATCCTCGGCTTCATCCCTGGACAGACACGTGCTGGTTCACACGGGCGAGCGGCCCTTTAACTGCCGCTACTGCCACCTGACCTTCACCACCAATGGCAACATGCACCGTCATATGCGCACCCACAAGCAGCATCAAGTTGCGCAGTCGCAACAGCAGCAGCAGCAGCAACAGCAACAGTCACAGCAGCAGCAGCAGCAGCAGCGACGACAGCAGCAAAATCAGCAGTCACAGCAGCAACAGAATCCCGCCCAGCAGCAACAGCAATTGGTGGCCAGCACATTATCCGGACGAGCAGAGAGTTATGAGAGTGATGGCAGCTGCTCAACGGATGTGTCCAGTGGTCATAGTCATAGTCGCAGCAGTAGCTCCCTTAATCACAACAACAATAACTCGCACAAGGCTAACCATAATCTTAAGGAGGAGCTAGATGATCACGTTGAAGATCAGCAGGAGTTGGAGAATAAGCAGCGTCGCCTGAAGACCACCATCAATAACAACATCATTGATAGTGAGCATCAAGGGGATATCGATGATGAGGAGGCTGATGATACAGATGTGGCCATGCTAACTAGTACACCCGATGTGGCCACCCTATTGGCCGGAGCCAGTGCATCTGGTGCTGCATCGCGTTCACCAACACCATCGCCATCTGCCTCGCCTGCTTTGGTCCTCAATTGCCCGGCCTGTGGTGCCTCCGATTTTGAGACTTTACCCGCTTTATGTGCCCATTTGGATGCCAGTCATTCGGATATACCCGCCAAGTGTCGGGATTGTGAGGTCATCTTTGCCACTCATCGTCAGCTGCAGTCGCATTGCTGTCGCGGATCGTCCATCATGGGTGTCGGTTTGCCACCTCTACTCGGTGCCAGCAGTTCACCATTGCACAATGAAGACGCCGAAGATGAAGAGCACGATCATGATGAGAATCTCGAGCAGAAGGGAAGAATACCAACTCAAAGCGAGGACTTCTTCCATCAATTGTATTTGAAGCAAAAGACATCCAGTGGTGCCATCTCGCATCCTCCGTCTCCTATTAAACACGAGCCGGCGGATAGCAAGGATCTGGCCGATATCCAGAGCATTCTGAACATGACCAGTTCCAGTTCCAGTTTCCTGCGTAACTTTGAACAATCCGTAAATACACCCAGTTCGAGTCAGTACAGTTTGGATGGTCGAGATCAGGAGGAGGAAGCCCAAGATGCATTCACCTCGGAATTCCGCAGGATGAAGCTGCGCGGCGAGTTCCCTTGCAAGCTGTGCTCTGCCGTTTTTCCCAATCTTCGTGCCTTGAAGGGTCACAATAGAGTTCATTTGGGTTCCGTAGGTCCAGCTGGACCCTTCCGTTGCAACATGTGTCCCTATGCCGTTTGCGATAAGGCCGCCCTGGTGCGGCACATGCGCACCCACAATGGTGACCGTCCATATGAATGCGCCGTTTGCAACTATGCCTTCACCACCAAGGCGAACTGTGAACGTCATCTGAGGAATCGTCATGGAAAGACCAGTCGCGAGGAAGTCAAGCGGGCCATAGTCTATCATCCGGCGGAAGATGCTGGCTGTGAGGATAGCAAATCACGTTTGGGTGAGGATCTAGCCGATATGAGTTTCCGTTCGATTAGTCCAACGCCACCGCCACCGCCGGTCAACGAGAGCAGCTCACAGCTGAAGCACATGCTTTTGGGTGAGAATCATATGGCTCCCGTTGCCCAGCCACCATTGAAGATTCAGGTGAAGAGTCTCGATCAGTTGGTGGACAAGAAGCCATCTGTACCAGCGCCTCAGCAGCAGCAGCAGCAGCAGCAGCAGCAGGAGAAGGGCGGAGCTGCTTTGGACTTTAGCATGGATGTCTTGGATCTCAGCAAGAAGCCAACTGGTGGAGCTTTACTAACACCATCAGTTACTCCAACTCCAACGCCGGCTACCGTGGCTCCGATTGTTCCAGGAATTGTTACCCCTGACTTGGCCGCCGCCATGGAGGAGCAGCAATTGCTATTGGCTCAGCGACAACTGTTCGGCGGTGCCGGAGATGCTGCCTCTCAGTATGTGCAACAATTATTCCGCAGCCTGATGTTCCAATCGCAAACGCCGGGATTTTCGTTCTTTCCATTTATGGCACCACCACCGCCACAATCGAATCCCGAGAAGCCACCACTGGTGAGTCCACCAAATCGCTTGAATGCTTTGCCCGTTGGTGTCGGTGTGCCAGTGCCTCCCGGCGGTCCCGTCAAGATGGTCATCAAGAATGGTGTCCTAATGCCCAAGCAGAAGCAACGTCGCTATCGCACCGAACGTCCATTTGCCTGTGAGCATTGCTCGGCAAGATTCACGCTGCGTTCGAATATGGAGCGACATGTAAAGCAACAGCATCCCCAGTTCTATGCTCAACGTCAGAGAAGTGGCCACCATGTGATGAGGGGCAGAGGAGCATCCAATGCCGCCGCTGCTGCTGCCGCCGCTGCAGCTGCAGCTGCCATGGGTCAAGTTCCAGTTGGTGGATCAGGATCCTTGGCCACAGGCTCTAATCATCATCATGGCCATAGCCATAGTTCCCATGGACATGCTCCAATTTCGGAGCAGGTGAAATATGCCATCCTGGCACAGCAATTGAAAGCTCACAAGAACACCGATCTCCTACAGCAGGCTTTGGCTCATGGTTCTAGCAGTGTTGCTGGTAATCCTCTCCTTCAATTCGGCTATCCACTTGCCACACCCAGTCCCCTGCACAATGGCAGCCAGGGTAATGGTCAGGCCATGACCATGGATGATGATGAACCCAAGCTGGTCATTGATGAGGATGAAAACGAGCATGATCGTGAGATGGAAGCTGAGGAAGGTGATGATTTCGAAGAAGATGAAGATGAGGAGGAGCTGGATGAGCCGGAAGATGAGCCCGAGTTGATTGCCGATGAGCAGCCAGTCGAAGAGGAAGCAGAGGAAGAACAAGATCTGCCCAAACCTCTGGAGCAATTGGCCTTCGTTGCGGCATCCAATGAAGCGGCTCAGAAAATGGCCGAAACTATCTTGGAGCAGGCCATTAAAGCGGGCAAGCCGTCGAGTCCATCGCCCCAGGAGAATGCCACGCCAGTTAATCCAAGTGTAGCTACTACCATGCAGGAACCAGCCACCACCTCTCCACCCAGTAATCCAAGCAGTTTGAAAGCCATGATTGCCCAAGCCGAATCCGTGGGTAAATCCCTTAAAGAAGTTGCCAGTTCTCCGTTTAAAGATGAATCCCAAGATCTGGTGCCAGTGGCCAAATTGGTGGACAATGCCACCAGCCAGAACATGAGCTTCAATAGCTATTTCCGACCCAGCGATGTGGCCAATCACATGGAACAGAGCGACGAAGAGGGTCTGGTGGCCTCCGGTAGTGCCAGCGAGAGTAACAATAGTGGCACCGAGGACGTTACCAGCAGCAGTTCCGGCAGTGAGCCCAAAAAGAAGTCCGCTTATAGCTTGGCACCCAATCGTGTCTCCTGTCCATACTGCCAGAGAATGTTCCCATGGAGCAGCTCGCTTCGCCGGCACATCCTCACCCATACTGGCCAGAAACCCTTCAAGTGCTCTCATTGCCCATTGCTGTTCACCACCAAAAGCAACTGCGATCGTCATCTGTTGCGCAAACATGGCAATGTGGAGTCCGCTATGTCGGTTTATGTGCCCACCGAGGATGTTAGTGAACCGATACCGGTACCCAAGTCCGTGGAGGAGATCGAATTGGAGGAGCAACGTCGTCGGCAGGAGGCAGAACGTGAAAAGGAACGAGAGCTGGAACGTGAAAGGGAGTTGGAACGCGAAAGGGAACTGGAGCGGGAGCGTGAGTTGGAGAAGGAGAAGGAGCGGGAACGTCAACAGCTCATCCAAAAGTTGGCGGCCCAAATGAATGCCGCTGCCAATGCCGCCGCAGCTGCTGCAGCTAGGGCGGGAAATGGTAATGTCACCGGGTCAAATGGACCTATCGTAGATGCTTTGGCTGGCGGAGATTTACCCTATAAGTGCCATCTATGCGAGGGTTCCTTTGCCGAGCGTTTGCAATGCTTGGAGCATATCAAGCAGGCGCATGCCCATGAGTTTGACTTACTCCTGGCCAAGGGAGCCATTGAGAACGAGTCTCTCGAAGCTAATCCTCAACAGCAGCCATCACAGCAATCAGTGCATTCCGATGATGAGGCACCAAATGGTGGAAGCAGGGGCAAATATCCAGACTATAGCAATCGCAAGGTGATCTGTGCCTTTTGCGTACGTCGTTTTTGGTCCACCGAGGATCTGCGTCGTCATATGCGAACCCATTCGGGTGAAAGGCCATTCCAGTGTGATATTTGCCTAAGAAAGTTCACCCTGAAGCACAGCATGCTGAGGCACATGAAAAAGCACAGTGGACGGGCTCATAATGGTGATAATCCAGGATCCGATTGCTCTGACGATGAGCAGGTGAGCAGCCCGCCCAGCACACCACTACCTAGCCAACCACCGACCAGCGCCAATAACAACAATAGCTGTCACAACAACAACAATACCAATAACAATAATAATAATAACAACAATAACAGTGGCTCCAAGTTGGGATTGAAGCTGCCCAAGCTTCATGAGCTACTGGATAAGGCAAGTGAATGGCGTGCCAGCCGACTGGGTGAGCACAAGGAGAACATGGGCGAGGCCACACCATCGGGAGCAGCTGTAGCTGGATCAGATTTGATTGGCAATCTGTTAGGTATCAGTGATCAGGGAATTCTCAATAAGCTTCTGTCCTCCGCCGATGAGGCGGCCAAACTTCTTGGTGTGGACAACAAGTAAAAATCGATGGATGGATGGATATATGGATATCAACCAAAAGCCATAAATTCTGGAGTAGCAGCAGTTTTACACCGCCTTACACACACACATATACCAAAGCTTAAATAGTTTTCATTAATGGTAGTTTACTTTAAACAAAAAACAAGGAGAAATACTTAAATTTAAAACAGGGATGCGCCTTAAAGCTTAATTCTATTTTCAAAAAAAAACAAAAAACAAAGCCACAGGCTTAAACCAAAAAAAAAAAGGAGCTAAGGCTGGACTTCCCTGTTTTATAGACCATTTCCAACACTTATACATACATACATACATACATACATATATTTAACATTTTTTTTGGAGACCTCTTTTTTTTGCCAACCCTTATTTTAAGCGGTCCAACCAACAAACCACAAGCTAATCAAAATCTTTGGAGACAAATATTATTATTTTTTTTTTTTACCATTTTTTTTTCCTAGCCTATAGTGATTTATTTTTACGATTAACTTTAAGTAGCAGCAATGACAAAATGAAAAATAATAAACAAAACGAGAAAAACGAAAAAAACAACGAACATTTTAGCATGACAAACAAGAAAAAGACTTCAAAACAACACACTCAAAAGACAAAAATACACTATAAAAAAAAAAAGTAAAAATTAAATCTATTAATTATAAATGTACATTGAAAGAGGCCTTGAGAACCGCAGTGTGGCTTAAATTTAGTTATCTAAGGACGGAAGGCAGACAAAGTTCTGATGCTTGAAACTAAGTATAGTCAAGATTTAGATTTGATAAGACTAGTTTTTAGAGATATTTTTTTCGTAGGATCTTATTTAAACAAAACTCATTCATTGCTGTAGCCTAAAAAGCAAATAAATGCATATAAAAAACATCTTAAATAATATATAAATATATATATATAGCTATTTAAATATACGAAAAGCATGATTCTTATATAATTAAATTAGTGGACTTCTTACAGCAATAACCAAAGCATTTCGCGTTTGTAGCGTTGTTTAAGCTAAACGAAATTAAATTTACCCAAACGCATGCCTATATATAAATATATTTATATAAAGCACACACAACTACATTATATAAAAGATATATATATACATACATATATATGGTTCTATTTAATGTGGATGCAGCAGCAACAAACTACTGAACAAATTAAACTATGTACTTAGCAATTATGAATGTACTTAAACAAAAAAAAAACTGTAAAAGTGTACTTGATTGTAAACTCAGAAAGACACACGCAACGAGAATGGATTACAAATTGAATTCAAATAAAATAACGATGAAAGAACAAATAATTTTCAATGGTTTTTATAATATTTGGGATTATTAGTAGGAGTAATGGAGTTAAAAAGAAATTAAAATGTTTGATTTCAAGTTTTACAATTCTATCTAATCTCTTTTATGATAGAAATTACAAAAAATCAAATGTTATTTTTAAATTTACCGCCAAACAGTGTGACCTTTCCCCCATAAAGCTCAAATCTACAGTATAAATTGCATAGAGTTGGCAGCACTTCAATAACAATTTGAATTTCGTTTTCATACAAAAAACCATTTATTTAATTTTAAACACATTAAAAATTTCGTTATTTTCTAGTCTTACAATAATTCAACATAGATAATTATGTTTGCAAAATTCGTGATAAACTGAAAAACCTATCAGCGTAAAAAACTTAATTAACTGGTAGGATTTATATATATATATATACTGAACTGTCATAGATCTTTGTATAAACCTATGTTATATCGGTCTTCGTTAAATGATCGTGGCGCTGTGATCTAGGGAAAGCTGTCCGTTTACCACACGACCGTGATGGCGCTAATAGGGATAGGATGGGAAATATTGGTATTTGGAAGGAAACATATTGTATATAGATATATCAGATCATACCTTATTAAAAACATCCCGCATCATACGATTTGCCCTACGCTTGTGCTCTTCATTGATGCGTCTTTCGGCAGCTAGTTTTTCTGGCAAAATTTGGCAGCGTCTGTTAGTTATTGCTTTCATTTCTTTAGTAGTAAATATCCTTAATTGCGCTGCAGGACAATTGAAATGGTAAGTATTTATCATTCATTACTTATACAAAAACTTACAGGTAGCAGGTGGTGGTAGCTCATTCATTAGCTTGTCCAGTGTATCCAAGTCTATATTTTGCTTAAGCAGATTTTCCATCTTTTTTCGTCGTTCTATCCTGAGCATCTGCATTTTACTAAGAATGATTTTTCTTTGCTCAGACTCGGAACAGAATTTGGGACGTGCCAACTGCAGGCATTCCTGAAGAGAGTGTACATCCAAATTTTTTCTGCCCGGCGGTGTGAACTGAATGACATAGGCGATGCCACGTGGACACACCTGTAGGGTATATCTATGCATGATATCTGGATTTCTTGTTGTTACCTCAACATCATCATACTGATGTGTCGTGGTCGTTGTGGTCGTCTCACAAGTGTTAACCATGCCCATGGGTATAGACATATCCGAACTGATGCACATCATCGACGATGATGAACTACTGGTAGTGATTCTGGTAGATCTACCATTTGCCGATACTCCTGCTTTTAATCCTTCTGTTGCCGCCGCCTCTTTCTCGTTCGGTGTCGTTTCTGTGGCCACCGTTGCTTCCTGCGTATTCACCACCTGATAGTAGATGGCTCTTTCATTATCGGCACAGCTATAACCGGCGCTACCATCCATTTGTCCCGTGGCATAGCCATCGCCCGATGCTTGAGCATATTGCATAACTATATATTGCTCGTCGAGTTGCTGTTGCATTTCCTGCTGTTGCCTTTGAAATGTCTGTGAAAAAGAAAGAGATGGCATAAGTCAGAGAAAGAAGGATAATTTCGTTTTCCTTACCGGGCAATGTTTCTTACGATAATAATGATTGAGCTTCTGTTCGTAATGATTTTGTTTCTGTTGCAGCTGTTGCCGCTGTTGCTGGAGTAGTAGCTTTTGCTGTTCGTAGATCTCCTGTTGCTGGCGAAGCAGCAACTGTTGCTGCTGCTGGTTTTGATAATGTTCGCGAAAACGTTGCTGCCTTTGCTGGACAAAGGAACAAACGCTTTCACTGCGACCATCACCGCTAGTGGATGTAGACGATGGGATTATCGGAGTGGCCATCTTTTTACGATTCTCTGGTCCTTGCTGGACAAGATAATGTGGTGGTAGTGGTGGCGGTGGCTGTGTGTGTGGATTAATGACAGTTACTGTAAGTGGCAGGTTCCTGACTGCCACACCTGCTGATTCAATTCTCACTGGAGGCTGTGGAGTGGTTTGTGTTCCTAGATTTTCCGCTTCTACAGAAGTTTTAGCTTGCGTTCCTTGCTCCAACGGCGCTTTTGATTTCTTCCTTTGGCCATCGCTATCTGTTGGAGTTTTAATGAGATCGCGATGCAAACTGGGATCTGCTTGGACCAAAAATTCCTTTAGCCCTTCCAGGCGTCGAATCTCCGAACTGACCCATTTGATATGAGTCTTCCGCTCTGAATCTAAGCCGCCCTTCAAACGCTGTTCGTACTCGATTTCACTTTGAGTCATCGGATTTAGCCACTCTTGGAGTTCAGAGCGTTCAGCTGAGGTGGAGGCTACTTCACGAGCTGGCACATTCGTCTTTTGGGTGATCACTTCATGTGAGGCACTGGTTGAGCAACTATTGGTGAAACTGATGGGCTGTGGTGAAGGTGTAATGGCAGGTCTTAGTTTTCTAGGAGCAGGAACGGGTAAAGTTGTAGGCTCTGCCTTCGACAAGATTTCCTGATCAAGTTCAGACGTATTGGTTGCCATATCTTGACGTTGCGGAGGAGTCGAAACTAGTAGAAGAATTTAGTTAGTAGGGATTACTGTTTGGTTGAATGATTTACTTTACCTTTAAATGCCTCGTTTATGATGCTGGACACATTGCTTATCAGTGAACTGGTGCAGGAGTCTTCCAAATTTAGAAAGTAAATACGTTGGGCTATATTTTTAATAAGTCTATTTTTCCTTTTTTCACTGAGACTGCTAGTTTTCACCAGACGGCACAGTAATTCGATTCCTAAATCTAAATCCGCTCGGGACCCAGATCTTGATCTAATTCCTGGTTCAGTGGAGGAACTGTTGCCAGATATGGTGGTGGGTGGAATAACAGATGGATTCTGAGGCTGCTGGTTCTCCTTGGTCTCTTGTCGTCGACCAGATCTTGATCTAATTCCTGGTTCAGCGGAGATACTGTTGCCGGTTGAGGCGGTGGGTGGAATAACAGATGAATTCTGAGGCTGCTGGTTCTCCTTGGTCTCTTGCCGTCGACTGTCAAGGACCTTCTCAATTTGAGCTGCCATGTACCGTCGTTCCTGTTCGAGCTCTTTTTCCATCTTTTTTTTTTCTTTCCCCTGAGTTTCCTTTTTTCCATTGTCAAATTTGATCTTTAGATCCACTTGCGGCGGAGCCTTAATGCGCTGCTCCATTGGCATATTTTCTTGTTGCTGACTTTTCTGATGTCCCGCCGTGGTCAGCACAAAGTCGAAGCTACTTGCCGCTGAACTGCCATACAGCGTGGTGGCTATAGATTCTCGCCTAGAATTGGAACGTGAAAACTCCATTCTTGGACCAGACTGTGTTCCCAATCTAGAGCTATTCTGCGAATTACGTCTAGAGTTGTCTCCTTTGTAACTGCTTAGAGATTCGCTTCGCGAGTTACTCATCGATGTTCTGCGAGAACTGACCTGAGGATCTTGTACTCGGGAACTAAGCCTTAAATCTTGAGTTTTGGATCTGCCGACGGAATCTTCCTTCATGGAGCCACTTTGTGAACCCTCTCTTGTACTGTACTGTGTAGCAGCATTCTTGGAGCTGTGTTGGGAAGCAGAATTCCTGGAGCTGTATTGGGTAGCTGCATTCCTGGAGCTATATTGGATAGCTGCATTCCTGGAGCTGTTATTGTTATCTTCTGTAATGGAACTGCCGCAAGTTGACTCTTTCTTTGAACTGTTTCGAGAATCTTTTTGAATGTTAGAAATCTCCTGCGAATCCTCTTTCTTAGATTTAAGGGAATTCTTCAGGGATCGCAATGTGGGGATCAAAGGCATATCACTGCCATTGACAAAAGTACTAGAAGCCAGTGGTGGCATTGGTTTATCATGCGTTGGTGTTGGTAACTCCGTTTCGTGTTGCTGCAATTTATCCAATTCTGTCTCGGTTTGCTGTTGTATGGTCTGACGCCAACCGCACTCCTCCAAAACGGATCGTTCCAATGTGCTAATGTTACTTGTGGATACTGACCTCTTGCAGTAGCCCACATCGGCAGACGGATCCCATTCCAAACGCTTGTGAGACTTTAAAGCCGACTCCGGTGTCTGTGTTTTCTTGTTTTCCATAGCTTTTTGATGCTTGGTTGGTGTTCTTAGGTCCTCTACGGAGAGAGAAAAAGGTTGTGTAGCCGACATGGGTCGAGCTATAGAACTACTAGTTAACGTAATGGGAATGATGGTGTACTCAGAGGGTTCCGCCTGGGCTACTTGGTTTTTTAATACATTCAATTGGGTGCTGACGGTGGGACTACTAGGTTGTGGAGAAGGTGGCAGCTCTTGGAGTTTCTCTTCTTCTTCTTCCTTGCCCGGTGGACACTCCATGCTTCTCAAGCGACGCCTACGACTGGGTCGTGGTCGTGATCTATGTTCCTTGTCGCTTTTACAGCCTATTGTGGCGAATACTGGCGCCAAAACTGTACCCAGAGCACAACTGTGGGTGCTGCCGCTGGCTCCACTGCTTGCCGTTGACGAAAAGGCCATGAATCGCTCCAGTTCCCGATCCTCGGCCAATTCGGTAATGTACTCCCTGGCCTGTGGCGGCACGCGGGATGACTTCGTCGGTTTGCGATGCCGAGAACTGGCCATTCCTAATGGTTTGGACTACTCCACAGACCGCTCTATAGGAGTAATTTTGTTGTTGTATGCCAGTTTTCTACGCAGCAAGCCGCGCTTTGTGAATGGCAATTGGTTTTTAAATTTGAATTATTTGGCCGCGCAAACTTACATTGGATCTGTGAAGCTCTATGATTTCTTAAGGGTTTGCAGGAAGTTGTGTAGATGTTTGGTTCACGTGTTTTCTATATTTTCATATTAATATTTTAATGTTATTATTATTTCTAGGCGGCAAACAATCGATTTCAGGAGCTGCCATTGCGGCTTATCGGGAATCGTTATCCAGAACCGTCGTTACTACCTATTCCGATAGTTTGATTTTTAAAAGAAAAATATATCGAAATAGTTATATAAATAATTGCCTTGTATATTAAGTTATATTTAATATATTAAATTTTTCTCAACAATTTTTCAAATCTTTTTAACACGCTTTTGTTAGAAATTTTTAAAATTCATAATTTTAACATTTCGATTTTACTTTAACAGCCACAATCGATAATCTTTAGTTGAACCGATTCGCGTTCAGTGTTAGCTAACGGTTCAATCGGTCCGAAGGATTTTCAAAATGGCATACGCCGTCGTCTTTCGTTGTTTATAATTCCTGCTAGCTGTTGTTGAAACAAATTCAATCCTGCTTAGAAGAAATTATTAAACTAATTAAATATATTAAGTGACTTGGAAGATAGTGGATAATGTTGGAAACAAAGAGCATAGCTGCTTTGGCTTTTACAGAGACGCCGCGCAAACGCAAAAGGGAGACGCTAAGTGGTAATGCTCCCCCGCCCCCGCGAAATTTACAGGAACAACCCCCGTCCCAGGTGCGACGGGAACAGGATGCAGCTGTCACGGAATCTTGCTTCACCAACGCTGCCTTTAGTTCCACGCCCAAGAAATTAATGATCGGTCGGCGTCGTTTGGCCAAAGAGAATAGTAATCCTCAACAAAATCTCTTTCCTGGATTGGAGGTAAAGTCCATAGCCGATCTTGCCGAGACGAAGCAGCAGCAGCAACAGCAGCCACCTAAGCAACAACAACAACCACAACAGCTGCCCACAAATCCTTTCGAGGTACAGCGTCAGCCGCCGAAGAAGAAGAAGCGCGAGCATGCCTGCTTCGAGAATCCTGGACTGAATTTGGAGCTGCCCGAGAAGCAATTCAATCCATACGAGGTAAGTATACTTTTCACCTGTGCTTAGGTACAGTAAATACATAAATGAAAATCTTGTAACTCCCTTATTGCCTTTCCAGGTCATCCGTTTGGCAGCCACTCCCGCTAAGGGTTTCGTGAATCCCGGTCTGAATTTGCGTGGCAGTGATGCCCCAGCCTCGCTGAATCCCTTTGAGATTCATAGACCAAGTGAGGCATCGGAGGCAGCATGCAATCCATCGGGTGTGGCCAATCCTGCTCTGGCCGAAAGGGATACAGAGGATCCGCTGCCGACCAGCTTGAAAATCGGCTTGCCATTTACTCCGACTCTGGGTTGTCGCATCGATTTCCATGGCATGTCGCTGGCCCAGTTGACTCCCAGCAAATTGCTGGCCGAGAAACTGGTATTTTCACCTGTCCCAGCGCCCAAGAGATCACTGGGTGCCATTAGTGAGGAATCATCCATGGACATTGGCAAGGAGTTGGATCGCTACCAACTAGAGTTGGAGAATAGCATCAACGAAGCGAAATTAAGGAAGAATGGTGTTATAGTGGAGAGAGAGGTGCCCAGGAATAGTTTGGAGGTAGATTTACCAAAGAACACCAAAGTTTCGATGGTCATGGAGACGGATTCCCAGGAGTTGATGATGCAGGAGGTGGTCAAGCAAGATGCTCAAGTCGAAAGGCGTATGGTTTGCACCAGGACACGAACTCTGACTGAGATTAGCGAGGCACCTGAGGTGGAGGAGGACAAGGAGCAGCTGCTGGAGAAGGATTTGGAGGCGGAGAAACTTCTTGAGCAGGAAAAGATTCTAGAGCAAGAAATGCTCCTTGAGAAGGAAAGGCATGTGGCCAGGGAAAAGCAATTGGAGCAAGAAAAGCTTCTAGAAAGGGAAAAGCATTTGGAACGAGAAAAACTGCAAGAGAAGCTGCACGAGCAGCTCAAGGAGAAACTCCAGGAACGGGTTAAACTTCTGGAGCAGGAGAAGCTACAGGAGGAGGAACAACTAGAAAGGCAGCTCCAAGAGCAAAGGAATCTGGAGAAAAAGGAAGAACCCGATGCCGATGTGGCCTATGCCTCTGATGAATCCGATGAAGAACCCGATGATCTGGACTTCAAGGCACCAGCACGTTTCGTTCGAGCCTACAGACCCGCTGCCTTGCCCACCAAGGCAGCCAGCAAAGAGTCCCTTCACTCCATCGCATCCAGTAAATCCTCGAAGTCGGCCGAAATAAAGCCCAGTGGTGGTGGCATGAAGGGCATGATAAGGAAGTCCATTAGAAGGCTAATGCATCCAACTCACACATCGCCTGAGAAAACCGAAGAGAAGACTGAACATCATCATCATAACATTATCAATAGCATTCGGCACAGCCTGCGGCGGAGGCCACAGAAAACAGTCGATGTGGATAATCAAATGGAACCAGTTCTAGCGGATATATCCATTATCGATACCAGTGAACGGACTATGAAGCTACGCTCGAATGTTGCCCAAACCGAGTACATGACCATCGAGCAGCTGACCAACGAAAAGAAGCATACTCTAAGGAACAGCATCCGGCGGTCCACGCGGGACGTGCTGCGCCATGTATTCCATAAGAGTCACGATGCCTACACCACTGGCAAGTGAGATGGCTTCAAGGAGTGAAATGGGTCGATTTCTGGGAGATGAGGTACATTTTTAACGTTCTTTAAAATGATTTTTTGAGGAGTTTAAAGTCTATCTAAGAAATTCTATTTTATAGATCACTAAAATATGAATTATTTATTCATCTCTTAAGTATTTTATGTTACCATAAGACATCGATCCATTTCTCTAAGGTTAATACCCTACTTAAAAATTCGATTTTTTAGCACCTAGTTAAGTTTTTTAAATGCACCCAAAGATTGTCACACAAAAACCAGCAAACCGAAAGGAAACCATATTCATTTTTAAAAACCAAATCCATTTTGTAACTTTGAAAGGTGGAGAAGGTATCAACTAGTTTTAGTATATATATTAAATATTTTTTTTCGAATGTTCAAGGGAGTTCCCTTAAAAACAAATTTCTACAAATTTATTCACACAATGTTTAGAATATTAAGTAATTGATGTTTGCACGTTTATTCATATATATAGATATATATCTATGTTTGTCTATATCTTTTTATATATGCTTTTTAATATATATAACATTTGTTCTTTACATCAACTTTTTGTATGTGATTTTTTACAATAACAAAGAAAAAAGGGGCGAATATTGAGAGTAATAATATAGAGATATCGGTAGACCGATAATAATTCTAGAATTTGAAATATGTTTGGAGCATTTCTTAGCCTATTCTTGGACCGATGGTTCTGTGGGTTAAGGCTAAAACTATATAATTTGTGTTTACAGATATTTTTTCTTAAACATAAAATTAATATTTCATACATATATGTGAAGAATATCAGATATTTAACTGTTTTGAGTTTTAGATTTAATATTCTTAGGAATTTCTTTGATTCTATAGCTTTGTAGATTTCAGTAGGTAACAATTTTTGTATCAAGTTAAATTTTGATTACTTTCCCTCAATTAACAGTTTTAATTTTATATTTTCTTATAAAATATTTTAATTAGCTTTACTTTTTATTCATTTCCTATAATAAGCTTAACTATAAGAAGTAGTTTATTTTTATTTTTTTAAGAACTATTCTCTTGAACGGACAACTCTTTACGGACAAACATTTTCCCTATTTTTGTGCACTAAATTTTTTGGTTTAAGTTTCGGTTTTCTACATAGATCTATTTATAGACAGTTTGAAGGAGAGGTCGCCTTCGCTGATCGATCGGTTTGTAGGCATGCTGATAGACACTGGCCAAACGCCAGTGCTCTGGATAGCCTCCCTGTCCAGCTCCGCCGGCTTGACTTTGGAATGGCGGCACTAGGGTTTCGATATCGTAGTTCTTTTTCGAATATGGCTGTCGGGGACGTGGCACTACCAATACCCTTCCTCCACCACCACCTCCACAACCCGGTTCTATGCCCACAAAATCCCCAGAAGCATTGTGCTTGGGTACTCCGGCTCGAAAGGCTGCCTTGCTGGTCAGGCAATGACCATGTCCATGGCCACCGAACGATGGTGGACAGCAACGCGGAGCTGGGGCAACCTTATGGCAAAGACGACGTGCTGGGCGCCGCAGTAGAACATCTCGCTTGCACGGAGGTCCTCCCGTTGGCCTACACTCCATGCCTGAACAATCTTGTCCAGAATCTGGTCCCAGATATTTCTCCCGCAAGGCCTGATATGCCTTATCGCCCAGTAGAGGTGACGATTGATATTGCTTGGCCAGTCGATCGGGCATTCCGCGTCCTGGTAACTCAGCCAAGTTGCCAAAACTTACGCCACCATTTCCGCCTCCAATGCCAGATCCTCGCCTGCAATGCGAGGCACTGGAATCCCGGGAGACACTGCGTGCTCTTTGCCTAGTTGGCGGTGAATAGTCACAGGCACACGGATCTTCGCGATCCAAACGAGCTCCACCGAAGTCCGTTCTCTTCCTTAGTATATCCTTGTCAAAGAAATCCGCTTCACCAAGTGTACTGGTGAAGACCCCAGCAGATCTGCCCAAATCCGAGGATTGCTCTTCGCGCGGTGTTTTCACGCAAGTGAAAACAGCCGGACCAGCCGAGTCATTGGAGCCATCTATATGCCTGGCCAGACGTGGCTCATCTGCTGGATTGGCTGGCTTAAAGTCCCAGCAAATGGCCAAATCCATGGGACCCATTTTCTTGGCCGGTGCCGAGCCAACACCACGAAATGGATCGCCATTGCCCAAAGCTCTGGGCACAATGCCACCACCGGTTTTCGGTCGGAAGACTTTCATTTTAGTGCAATGAGTGGGTCCAGCATTGTGGGTCTTAACACCCACACCGGTGGCAATGGGATCGATGTCCAGAGCGAGTCCCGCATGACCACCGGATATTTGAGCCCGCCGAATGGCCAAATCAGCCACACAATCGGGCAGCGGCTGATGATCTAGATTATCTTGATGCATCCGTTTGGCCAGCTCGAAGTTAGCGTAAGCCGGAACCACCGGCGATGGACATCGCTCATTGGGCTTCTCTGTGATCGAGTGCAGTGGCATTTTCTTGATTAAATCCGGATCGGAGTCCAAGTTTCGTACACCCACCGTGGGTAGAGAGATTAAATCCTTGCCAGGATCAAAAGCGTTTAAGCTTAGTTCACTGTTTCGCTCCAAATGATCTGTATAGCGATTTTGTGCCGCTGCCAAGGCGGGAAATTGACGCCCCGCCGCCGAACCAAGTTGCTCTCGATACTTAATGGGTTGCGTATCTCTCGTGTCCAAAGTGAGGCGACTTAATTGAAGATTATCCGAGTTATCCCACTTCTGGTCAAGAAGCTGCTGATGTGAGGGTAGTCGGTACTGCGGCTCCGTCAAATCCCCAGGCGTGTAGCTGAGTTCCGGTAAGGCTGTTTGCGACATAGTTGGATGGATGGATGGAGTAGGCTTTCAGGTTCACTTGTTACATTTAGCGGAGCATAGCGAGATGATAGGATGAGATGAAGACGAGAATGATGGTATGAGTTATGTATAATACAATGGTCCTAACCTGAGGTTTAGTGAATGTGAATGTGAGTTAACCTTCGGTTAAGTTATGTCATGATTTATGGGGATGCTAGTGCTTGACTATACTCAAAAATTAATATCAAATGAAGCTATAAAATTTTATTTTGATTTTCCAAAGTTGAATAGACTCCAGAATATTACGAATGGCTTTTGGCTGCCTTGCGGTCCTTCTCCTTTTCTTTGCTTTTGTCCTTTGCTTTCTCTTTCTCCTTTTCCTTTACCTTTTCCTTGCCCTTATCCTTTGGCTTATCCTTGGGCTTACTGGGAGTTGTCGCCGCCTTCTCCGGAGGTGGATTCGGTTTATGGCGAGCTTCATAGGAGGCCGTGGATTCATTGGCATGCATGGCAGGTCGAGTTTTAGAAAATGCGGTAACAGTGCGTTTCCGGCGTCTTTTTTCGATGGCCACACAGGTCACCTTGGATGATTTCAATGGCATCTTCACGGTTCTTGGGACCTAGGAATATGTGCAGGTGTGCAAGTGAAAGTGCAGGGCTGTGTAAAAGCCAGAAGTATACCCTAAAAAAGGCAGCAAACTACAGAAGTGATTACTTTTCAACTTTGCCAAACATGAATAATCCTTTTTCTGGGTATACTTAAGAAGTTGAGATAAATGGTGACCCCGATTCCGACTCACCACCACTAGGCACTTGGCGCGTTTGCAGCGCTGGCTCTTATCGTTTAGATCCGTGATCTGCTGGAGACCCTCACACTTGGTCTGACACCTCTGTCGCATCCAATAGGGATCCCCCTCCTGGCCCAAGGTCGTACGATTATCGCAGGCCAATGCCCTTCGATTTTCCCGCTGGCAACTGCAAAGGTCACGCGGATATCCGACGAACTTGTATCGCCCACTCAGACAGGCATCGTAGTGGGCACAAAAACTGCGAGTTATTCGCCTTGGAAGTTCGTACGTTCCAAGATATTGGCCAAAGGAGTTGCCTTCCCTGGGGATTATGTTTTCGAAATATTAACAGAATAATCATAAAAATTAAAGTATATATATATCGGAAACACTTTTTAGGGGCTTGGATATATAATAATCCATCAAAACAAACGATCTCTATCGTTAAGTCAAATCTCGCTTTTTTGTTAAGGGGTTCCTTTTCCTTTTCGAGAAAATTGGGAAATTTTTTTAAATTTTTAGGTGTGAATGCAACTTTGTTGGGCATTTAATTACGAGTTCAACGAGGTAATACATTCTATATTTGGACCATTATTGGCTTAGTTATGAGCTAAGTACTGCCCATTTTTGGGGTGAAATGGGGATAAATCAAGTCTCTTTTTTGATAAGGTGTAACATCGTCATATTTTGCGAAAATGGATAAATATTAGGATTAGCTGTGAATGCAGTTTTGTTAGGAATTTAATAACCAATCTAACGAGGCATGCCCTTCCAGATTTAGACTACTATTAGCTTAGTTATGGGAATAATACTGTGACTCTAAAGAGGAAATAAGAAGAAACCGAATTTTGCATATTCGATAAGGGCTAACATCGTCTTTTTTTTCGAAAAATGGTTAAAATTTCACATTTTAAACTGTGAATGCAGTTTTGTTGGAATTTTAATGACGAGTTCATCGATGTATGACATTCTATACTGGGATTATTTTTGACTTTGTTGTGGGAAGAATTCTGAATGTTTTGGAGCAAAAATCAGGATTTTAAGTTCTGACAGAAGAAGCGATCTTTTCTAACGGGTTTATGTCCATAACTTAGATAAAACAAGAGGCACAGTTAAGATAAAGACAGTTTTGTAAAGCTAACGACCGAAACAAACTTTCCTCATCATTCGTTAAACTTTTTGTAGAGCAAAATTGTTACTTTTCAAGGTGCGAAGGCGCAGTTTTGTTGGAAATCAAATTACGAGCTTAGAGAGGTATGACATTCCACATTCAAATCATTATTGGCTCATATTCAAATATATATATTATATTTCTTCAGATACATTTTCCCAATTAGTTTGTGACACTTACTTTTGAATTCCGGGAAGCAGGTGCCCGTTGCTGGAGGCTACGACCTTGGCGTTTTTTTTGAGTCCACGTGGACGGGGTGGGGAAAATCGTGGATATTCCCAATTTTGTAGACGTTTCGACTCAAATCGGTTCTCAAACTGCAATAAACAGAAGGATAAACTATATATAAATTAAAACCCAGGATATGGTTAAAAAGGAGGCAGGGTTAAAGGCAGGATTAAGCAGGACTCGATAGACACCTGTTAGGAAAACGAAGTCTCGTCTCGAGTAATTCCCTTATTTATGGTCCACGGGCAAACAAACCAATTGATAAAAAAAAAGCCCACCCTGAATCCTCAAAACCAGAAGCAACCCTCTGGATAAAGTAGGCGGGAGGTGGGGCCAATTACACGGCGTAATCTCTATGCCGGAACATGTGTAGAAAGGCGTTTGTCTAATGCCACTTAATTCCTTGTTTGTGTTTGCCTTTCGAAAGCTACGGCCGGCCAGTTGTGTTTAAAAAACGAGACTCTGATCTTTAAGCCTAGATCATTTATCAGAAGGATTACCGATTAAACAGGTATAGGAATATAGCAAAACAATATGCCTGAAATTTATGAAAATTATTTACCATCATTAATAGAATATTAGATAATGGTTAAAAAGTAGTTTGAAAAGGAAACATAAAGAAAGTTTAGATGAAAAGTTAGACGTGGTTGGAATTTGAAAATATTATTAGAGGAAAGAACTAAAATTTCTTTCTTTTTAAGTAAAATCTATAAAGTTTATAATATTTCCAAGGAAATAGAAACTTGAAAGACCTCTGCAGATGAGCTGAGATGAGATGTCTTCCCACGCGGACGGATTTCAATTAAGGAATGCAAATGGACCAACGGCTGGTAACTCGATACTTGGGAAAACTGGGTTGTTGTCAGCACTTGATTGAGACCTTGATCGATGGGTGAGTGTGGGTGTATGGTTGTGTACAAAGGGGGAGTGACAAAGGACACACGTTCATGCAGCGCGTGCCTGCGTGGTCACCAACATTACCACATCAACTCAATGTTGTCGCTGTAATTAAATTTACACGGCAATTACACTCGAACAAATTCCAGCGTGAAAAATACAAATTGATTTTAAACTCAATTAGCAACAAAAGAGGCTGGCGTTTAACGCAACACCCACGATTACAACACACTCACTCACTCACGCGTCCAGATGGATGGATGGGTTTTGTGATTAAGATTGTTCCATAGTATCTGTTAGGATAGGATGGTATAGATAGATAGATAGATAGATAGTTTGCACCCCTTATCCAGAGGTCACCCCTCTAAAGCGAAGCGATGATTTTTATGGCAACCCTCTGGGGTGCAATTTATCACATGGTGTCCTTGCATTCCTCGCATCCACAGGATTAGACAGTCAAAAAGCTAGTTGGTAAACACGTGCAAGGATGAATGGATGGGATGGGATGGGATGGGATGGCTGGGCTTTGGCTTGGGCTCTATAAGGTGCTTCTCCTTCTTCTGCTGCACTTGTAGCCATGGACTTACGGGTGGTAAAAGTCCTGCTGGTTCGTTTGGTCCTTTATGTCCTGGGGTCGAGGCGACAAACACTTAAGCTAATTTCACGCTCTACCGCTGAATGTCCTTTGGTATAAAGTTCCGTATCCTCTGTATGCTTCTGCTCGTGCTCCTGCTCCTGTTACTCCTCCTCCTCCTTTTACCTTCAATCAATTTCGCTAACAGCTGTCCTCTTGACCAATTGGAAAGCCATTAAAGGCCAACATGTTGGATATTGGATATATCTTGATATATATTTTATGATATATCTTAATATTTCGAAATTCCTTCACCTCTTCCGTTAACCGATTCCTTTGCTATTGTGTGTGTATATGGGAAATAACTCTGGATCCAGTTGCGTGGCAATCGAAGGGGGCCAAAAGGCATATTGGCCTGGTCCAAAGTTACCGTTACCAAGTAAATAAACTTTAACTGTCGCTATTTGCAAATGTGCACAGGTCAGGGGGAGGGGTGGTGAGGTGTAGAAATCAAAGCAGGTTGAAACGGTAACGGTTACGGGATGCGTACGTCATGTCAAAAACAAAAGCCCCAAAAAAGGCGACAAATTTTCAAAAGGTTTTTCTTAAGTTCTTATTGCTATTAGTTTTTTGAAAAGATATAGAAATGTGGAACTAAAGTTTAAGATTTGTAAATGAACATTAAGTTTTTGAAAATTATTAAGAAGATAAGTAAAAATGATGAACCTAAACTCTGTAAGCTTTCCCAGAAAAGAACAGAGAAATGATGTACTTAAACTATATGGCAAACCTCTGTAAGCTTTCCCATATAGTTTAAAAGTACATAATTTACCATTAGTAACATAATTTAAACTATACATTTTTGTCGCCTGGCCGTTGTTTTTGTTTATAGAGACGTCTGTACACCCACACCCATAAAAATAGCAGCACCCAGACAGAGACAAACTGCAGACTGACGGAATGCAAGCTTCTTGCTTATCAAGTTAGAAAGGGATAGCCAAGAATCCAATTGGTTGCCATTGCCACGTTGTTGTTATTATTGTTATTCTCGTTGCGAATATATATATATATATATATATAGCGTAACCCATACCAACCAAATTAGGACATTATTTATGGGGATACTGAATACAGCCTCCCACGAATACAGGGTGTTTCATAGCTCACCTGCTGGGCGCTAAAATTAAAGGCCATTCTTAAATTTGGGATTTCGAATTTGTATTTCTTTCTTCTTCCTTAAAATCTGAATTTTTTTTTTAAACAAAAAGAGAGTCTGAAAATAAAGGCAGACGTGACTCTGTTTTTTTTGTTTGTTTAAAAAAGAGGCGGAGCTTTGCTTGAAGGACACGCCTGTTTTTGTGGGAATATACGTTGGTACGTTGGTTAGCATCTGGCTTTTCCAAGCGAAACGTCCAAACAAATGGAAAACTCAGCCACAGCAGCTGTGGTCCAAAAGTCAACGGGGGGAGTTTTCCCTCAAAGATGTTAAGGCAAAAAAGTACAGCACAGGAAATTTACTATTTAATATGTATATTTATTTTTTAACTGACTAACACACACACACACACACACAGTTTAGTTAGAGTTTATAAACAAATATCACGACTTAAGAGCTAGGCAAAAAAATTTGTCTTAAGGTTTAAGATTATTTGGCTATAACCTATAGACTAAGCTTTATTTTTGAGCTTCTCAAAATATTTGCTTTTATATGATACATGATACATGAAATCTGTAGAGTTTTAAGATATTCTATATTATAGTTAGTATATAGTTAACACTAAGCTTCTGGTTAGTTTATCTCTTAGGCTCTGTTAGTGCTGATTAAGCCAAAGTTAAGTAATATTAAAGAACTAAATTTACATTAAACTAAATCAGATACCAAATTTCTGTTCAGAATGTGTTTAGCTTAACAGAAAGATGGAAAATCTTTACAATCTTTGGACATCTTAAGAAAATTAAACCTTTGGTTAAGCGTTTTTAAGTTTGGAAAACAAAATTAGGAACAAAAACAAATATTTAAACCCCACATACACGAATCCAGTTGGTTTTTTAACAATAACTTTTTAGTTTTACCATCCAGCGGTTAAATAATAGAAATATAGATTATAGGAAAAAACTATATATGTATATGTGTTTCTTCAGCCGACTTTTGAAGAACAACCATAACTATTTGTTATAAATTATAACCATAAGTTGGCTATGCATTGCAGTTTACAGATTAGTTAAGTCAATGAATCCTTTCCTGCAAATTCAGTTCACTAACCTCTGGTTAAACTTGTAGTTAGACGAGCATTTTGGCTTTGCTTGGCTTTAGATAACTTTCAGATGGCTTCCTAGCCTAGCCTAGCCACGCCCTGTGAACCAAGAGTATTACCGCTCCCCCACCTCCTACGGGGGAGCGAAGAAATTGGCCTCGTTGAAGAGGCAACTGGTGGCGAAGCTGGAGGCGCCGGCGCTGTCTCAGGGCGTCTCCAGCACATGATTTAAATAAGCAATGTAACAGATGGCCAGCTTAAGGATCTCGATCTTGGACAGTTTCTTATCTGGCGGCAAAGTGGGCAACAATTTACGCAACTCAGCAAAGGAGACATTGAAGGCCTCAACACGTATCCTTTCCCTTGTTGCATGGGCTGTTCGATATTTAAGAGTAGCCCTTCTCCGGCGACGTCTCTCCTCACGCGACAAGCCCACCAATTCCGATGGATCCAGATGGGCAATGGGCGTTGTCCGACGTCTTGGTGCCGGTGTGGGCGGTGGCGGCGGTGCCGGTTGGGCAGCCGTTTCACAGGCCATTCTCGCCTGGAAACGCTTATCAATATCCAATGTCGTACTGGCGGCATAATCTTCGCTAACCAAATGCGGATTATTTGGCCCCACCATCTCATCCTCATCGGGCAGGTAATAGCGACTCAGAGAAATACTTTGAGGCGGTCCGGCCGTCATATGGGTCATGTCATAGACCATCTTCTGGCTGGGTTTCAATCTGCTTGACCTGTTTTTAATACCTGGAAAATGCAATAAGGAAAGTGTTTAGTTTCTCGAAACTATTATACTGTTACTAGGAAGTCAAGTATAGAAAATATTGAATTAATTTTAAAGATATATAATTATAGATACTGCGGAAAACGTAACCCTTAAGGCCTTAAACCAAAGGGTTTTCCACTTGCATTATTTATGGTTCATTTGTGGACATTTGTGATGAAGGGTGTGAACGTGTGTGAACGTGTGTGTGTGTATGGCACACCCCTTTCAGCCACATTCTGTTTGCGTTTTCTATTATTTTCATTTGTTTTTATTGTTCACATTGTATTTATTTTGTTTATTGTTTATTCGAAGCATATTTTCACACCTACACAAATAGCTAAACAATCGGCACGTTTATTTGCCCGCGGGAGTTGGCAAACCAACGCAAAATCTAAGGGAAACCCCTTTTTCATATTCCAGCGGTATTTATAATGGGTTTTTCCCGGAAAAGTCTCACGAATTGCATCAAGTCAAAGACGTGACCATTGCTCTCTGGGGCTTTGATTGTCATAAAATTAGAAGAGAAGGACGAGATAATGTCTCACGTATGAATAGAAATCTGATTTAGTTTAAGAAACTAGCAGAAAATGACCCATCGGGGGTGTCACTTTAGTTCCCAGAGAATTTTAAACTCTGGTGCTTAGGTCAAAAGGCACTGATAATGACAGTGACTCATTTAAATATTAATTCTTGTTGTTAATTTAACACTTAATACCTTTTCTTATATATTTTATAATTAGTATTATATAATATTGACTTGCATTTTAGGAGTAACAATTTAATAGATTTTTTATTTATAAGAAATTTTGTTTCAAGGCACTTTAAAAACTTTTTTTTTTTTGTATAGAAAAGCACCTATAAACTTGAACTTACAAGTATCCCAGGTGCAGAGTATACCAAGATCCTTGAGATAACTTGAAGATATCCTTTTTATCAATTGAGTTTGGCTGCTCGCCCAAAGGACACGCAGATAGGACTGACTTCCGGTCGAGAAGCTGCAGCTTCCTTTATACTCGAATTTCCAAATCAACCCTATGATTTTTTTTTAAGAGTATCCACCAATACCGAATAATCCACCCTCGTTGAAGATGCGCCAATTGTAGTTGACAAAATGGCGCTGATTTCGACCAGAAGACCGCCTCCTTTTCATCACAGAAATCATCCCCAATATGCTGTCATAACATTTTTATTTCTATATAAAACTACAGTTTAACTTACATACAGTGAGTTACTGTAGATTCAGTTTGTTTTCTAAAAAAAAAAAAAGAAATATATTTAAAAAAAAATAATACTTTCTTTACTTTTGTACTTTTAATTTTGGCGCCTAAAAATTTAAACTGCAATCGGTTAAACAGGTCTGTTAAGTAACAGCAATCGGTTAACATTTCTGCGCCTAACAGCACTATCCAGTGCTGCCCATCGATAGGCGGTAAAATACGATACTTTTCTTGTTATTATATTTCGTAACTACCTCGCTACTATTTTCATTTATCTCTTGCATTTTTCTGCAAATAATAAGAATAATAAATTAGAATGAACATCGGTAAGCTGCTCGCTCCATTGAGGAGCACCACATGGTCGGTGCGCAGCTATGGAAAGCATAACAAGAAATTTCTGTACAAGAATGGTCAGAAATTCGAGGGTATAACATACTATCCAAGGTAAGGGTTTTATAATTTAAAACACCTTACACTCGACGTTTATTAATATCAATTGTAGGACTTCAAATCACCAGGATCCACCAGTAGAGCCGGCGAAACTATTCCGGGTGCAACGAATTAAGCCGGTGAAGGGTAATCCCTACTGGGAAAAGCGCATTCTTAAGGACCTGGGACTCGATGGTAAACAAAGCGACTTTACGGTAGTCAAAAACATACCAGAGAACAATGCCCGTCTATGGAAGATCAAGCATCTGGTTAAGGTGACACCGGTGACCTTTCCCTATGGAGAACCCACTGCCCAGGATGTTCGGCATACGATACTGAAGGAGAATGGCGAGTGTTTGGTGACAAAGGACCTGGGACCCATAGAAACTCGTCTGGAAGCTCGTCAGGATTACGATGACCAGCCGAATCGACTGGATACCGATTTGCTGCGCAAAGATGCCCGCCTCAAATGGCTAAATCCATGGTAGATAAATGAACATTTTACTTTATTCGTAAATATATTTTTAAAATACAAAACAAAATGTTAAAAGCCATCAGTTAGTGGCAGGGTTTCTTACATATTGCCCATGATGACCACATTCAGCTTATAGCTGAAACTTGCTTAATTAATGGCCATGGCGACCTTCTTCTCCAGTGTCTTGCAACCCGTGACCGCAAATAAACCATGAATGCGATCGAAACTTATGGAATTGGTAATGATATCATTGATGATTTTGTTATCGGGATTTCGATTCCATCTACTGAACTCTGCCTCCAGGCACTGAATAACGTGCACCTTCTCCATGGGAAGAAAAGGAATGAAATGGTCAATTACGTGGGACTCGATCATGGTGGTCCTCTTCATACCGCCATCTAGATTGTAGGCGGCCTTCTTCAACAATGCCTCAAAATCACTCAGGCGTGATTCCTCACGAAGTTTGCCACCATTCATCATTTTACCCAGGTGATCAGCTATATGATTGCCTGCCGTATTTGACAGAAAGATAAAAATGGCTTGGGTGTTATCCGTGCCATCGACAAAGGCATTGTAGTCCACCAACGATGTGAGCGTATCAAAGACCCCACTGGGCATTTTGTCCACCTCATCGAATATGAACAACGATCTTGGGCATAACTGCAATTGGCCACGAACCTTCAAATTGATCTCTGCCTTGTAACGATCAATTAAATCTGCTCGTGGGAAGTCCGCCTGTCCCAAATATTTGACCACAAACTTGGACTTAGAACCCTCCAAATATAAGGCTTTGGCAATCTGATCAGCAACAAAGTTTTTTCCCGTTCCGGGTTGGCCATGGAAGCTGATGACCAACGGTTTTCTAGACTTTCTATATCCGTTTAAGTGGGCATTTAAGGCTGGAATGATATGCTGAATCGCAAGGTGCTGGCCAAAGAGGGTATTTTGGAGAGAGGATTTCAACTCTGTCGGGGAATACCAATTTTTAATAATTAGTTTTAACATTCATCTGTACATAGATAAAGATAACTAACCTTGTACCCTCGCCGGTATGCTCCGGTCGTCGCAGCATTCCATAATCTTGCAAATCGTATGTTCTTTAAAGTAAGTGCCAATTCCTAAGGCACCCAATCCAAGGGCACCCATCGTTATGGGTTCAAAGGTTTCGAGGGGCCGAGGCATAAACACCAGGCTAAGGCACAGTGGCAAAAAGTACGACCACTTCATCTTGGATTAAATGCACTTTTCGATATAGCTTGTTAAAGTTTCTGCTATCTTAACATTTCCGGAATCCAGACTGGATCTGTTGTCGGCATAGTGAAACGGTCACACTGTTGTTTTACATATGGCAACAGTTCTTAAACGATATATCTACATTTTAAAACAAACTGAGTTTATTAAAAAGAACTAAATTAAGAACTTATTAAAATTGTATGTATATATCACTGTTACATAGAAATAAAAATAACAGTTGGACCGCCATGAAGCTGGCGCCTATCGATAGGTGTAATCGATAAGTACGCTAGTCACTGACGGTGCACCTCTACTGTTTCTGGCAAAAAAAAAGTCGCGTTTTTTTTTGTGAAAATTGCCACAAAAAGTTTCGAAAGTTGGCACGGTTATTGCCACTGACAACGGAAGACTGTATAAACTGGAAAGAAGGGAACGCCATTTATATTCTGACCAGGATCGCCGGATAAGTTCAGTTCAAGAAGCTTTTTGTCGTCCCCCGCCATCGTGTTTGTGGGTACCGGCGTTAAAGAACGCTCAATTGAAATTGAAGCCAAAGTTTTGCACAAAATTCACGATAAGATGAGCCGCAGAAGAGCACATGATACGGAGGATGAGGGATATGGTAAGTGGTAGTCGATATAATCTCCAAAAAAGTATTGATTTCTACTGGGAAAATAAATTGCAGATCACCGGCGAAATAAGCGGAGACGTGTGTCGGAAAACCAGGAGATCGAAGATCGTTTGGAATCGCTAATCCTGCGAGTGGGCGAACGGAGTACCTCTTCCGTTGAGTCCAATCTAGAAGGACTCGTTTCTGTTCTGGAGGCCGATTTGGGAACTTTTCGGTTGAAGATCCTGCGCATCCTGTCCGATTGTGCCGTGAGAATGCCCGAAAAGTGCACCGTTTACACAACTTTAGTGGGTCTTCTTAATGCTAAGAACTATAAATTTGGCGGCGAGTTCGTAGACCACATGGTAAAGACCTTCAAGGAATCCCTCAAGCTATGTCGCTGGGATGCCGCCCGTTATTCGCTGCGTTTCCTTGCCGATCTGGTCAACTGCCACGTCATCTCGGCCACCAGTCTTCTCCAGCTGCTTGACACCATGATCGATGTTTCCAACGAAGATACAGTTCCACAGGTGCGACGAGATTGGTTTGTTTTTGCCGTACTGTCCACGTTGCCCTGGGTGGGCCGTGATCTCTATGAAAAGAAGGAGTCTGCTTTGGAGTCACTATTGTTACGGATCGAGGTCTATCTGAACAAACGGTCCAAGAAGCATCATAATGCGCTAAGAGTGTGGTCCTCGGATGCACCACATCCACAGGAGGAGTACTTGGACTGCTTGTGGGCGCAAATACGAAAATTACGGCAAGATAATTGGGCGGAAAAGCATATACCACGACCGTACCTTGTGTTTGATTCGATACTTTGCGAGGCACTGCAACATAATCTGCCCACAATTGTGCCACCGCCGCATCAAGATAATTTTGAGTACCCTATGCCATGGGTGGTTTACCGTATGTTTGATTACACCGATTGCCCCGATGGACCCAATTTGCCGGGTGCCCATTCAATAGAGCGATTCCTAATTGAGGAACATCTGCATCATATTATTGAAACATACCATCACGAGCGCAAGGATTGCGCCGCTCAATTGCTAAGCTTTCCATTCAAACACAAGATCCCGCTGGAATACTGCATCGTCGAGGTGATCTTTGCTGAACTCTTTCACATGCCAACGCCACGTTACCTTGACATCTGCTATGGCTCAATTCTAATCGAATTATGCAAACTGCAGCCGGCCACGCTGCCTCAGGTTTTAGCCCAGGCTACTGAGATCCTGTTCATGCGTATCGATTCGATGAACACGTCCTGCTTCGACCGGTTTGTTAATTGGTTCTCCTACCATTTGAGCAATTTCAAGTTTACGTGGTCCTGGGACGAATGGGACAGCTGCCTGCTACTGGACGGCGAGCATCCGCGACCAAAGTTTATTCAGGAAGTGCTACAGAAGTGCCTACGGTACGCAATTGCCATTTCCATTCTCTAATACCTTAGGTATTCTATTAACTAAGTTATTTTCCTACAGCCTTTCGTATCATCAACGCATTACGGAAATGATGCCCACGACATACGCCAAGTTGATTCCCATGACGCCAGTGCCAAACTATAAGTACGCCAACGAGGAGGCAGGTGAGTCTGGCCCCTGTATTTACGGATTACTTGATTTTATTTTGGGATTAGATCTGCTTACAACTAAGCTTACACATAGGATTATCTTTTTAGGGTTTTAGATTAGGATTTTCTTCTTTTGTATTTATTTATTTGGTACTGGTTTCACCTCGTTCTCCTCGTCGTCCACTATGATTGGTATCTCCTCGCCATTTTCGCCCACCTTAATGCTCACCGATCGACTGACCGATTTCTGGGTAAGCACCTCCACCACCTTGGGTGGAGCGGGTGGTGGCGGTGGTGCAGGTGGAGTTGCTGTAACAGTGGTTGTTGAATGAGGTGTTTGTGTAGTTGTTGTAGAGCTGGTCGATGTGGTGCTGACAAAGGCTTCGTGTCGATGACTGCTCTTGGCTTTGCTATCCTGCTCCTTGCGACGCTTGGCCCATTTGCTCAGCGGTGGTTCTGTACTGGTTGAAGTGGTTGTCGTGGTCGATCGACCAGCAGTAATTTTTTGAGGTGTAGTTCGATATCTACTTATGGAGCGCAGTGGGCTAAAGTGCGTCGAGGTGGACACAAAACTGGCACTCGTTGTGGGAATAACATGTGTCGTTCTCTCAGTGGTTGTCGTTTCAGTGGTTGTGGTGGAAGATGTAGTTGCCGGCGTGGTAGGTGCTACAGTTGTAACCAGTTCTGGTTGCTCCAAACTGCTAACTGGCCGTTGATCTCCATGCTTTTTGTCCTTGTTTCTCTCCTGATAATTTTCTTGCTCTGCGTCTTGTACCCCTGCGATATCCTCTTCGTGAGGCTGCTTATCCTGCAGCACATCGATGGGATTCTGGTGCATATATAACGGATCCGGTTCGGAATAGCGATACACGGTCTCCTCTAGCGGTTCGCTTTGCACAAAGGATTTGTCCTCATCCCCAGAACTACCGCCTGCATATATTAATAATGGTGGCACCTTAGCTGTTTGATATTTGGAAGCTTGTCCATAAATCTGCGGTGTACGCAACAGTAAGTCTTGCTCCTGTTCCTCTAGAGACTCGGATGATCCCGAATTGGAGTTGGGAAACTGAACTGTCTGATGGTGGGGATAGAAACTGGATGCTGTATTGCTAACTGGGGTGGTGAGTTCTGGAGGTGTGGAGCTTGGCAAGCGGTAAGCCAGCTCCGGGTGCAACGGATTTTCACCAGCACCAGGTGCTACATAGAAATGATGATGAAAATGATGAGTCACTGCACCCGGCGTGGAAGCCACTTCACCAGGAGCCACGTGACCAGCATTAACCAAATCACTATTGTGACCAGGAAATCTTTCCAATTCCGAATGTGTTCCAAATTTCAATGCAACCGGATAGTTTGGACGAAAGGTTGTTGGTGCCACATAATTGGGACGCAGTGCCAGATTGAAAAGTCCCGGAAAAATTTCGATTTTGGGACTTCCCTGACCCACCGCACCCTTAAGATACTCACCAATGTTTAGTTTTGGCGGAGAAGGAGCAGGCTGAAAAATACCATGGACAAAGGTGGCCTGCGACTGCTCCGCATTTGGAGCAGCCGCCACTGATGCGTATCGCTCTCTATCCTGACGTCTTTGCGCGAAACCCTGATCGTGTGTCAATCGTCCAAAGCTGGCTGGATAGTCGGATTCCTTTTGGATATAGCTCATCTGATGATGCGGCTGCCATGCCTTATTGTCCAACGGCGTCACACTGAACTTCATCTCGTAATGATAGTGACGTCCCGTATCCCCATCTCGATGGCGAATGCGTTGAACTTGCCATAGAGCCCGTCGCTGATTAGGATTCGAGGTGGGACATTTAAGTTGGAAGCACGTGCCCCCTTCCAAGAAACGGTAGGATGCATTTCCTGATCCTGGCAGCTGCTCTAAATAGCCCTTGGCCAGTGTTATAATATCACCGAAGCGTGCGGATGGTGTTCCTCCTCCAATTGCAGCTCCGCCCTGGGCATCCGCCGGAACATACGGTGTCTGCAGAAAGTCATGGTACTCGTGCAGCTGGCTACCCGAGTATTAACTTGAAGTTTACCATGGTCGCTAAATGGATATACAGACTGTACTTACCTCAGATTTCCAGCTGCTGCGCCAACAGCGGAGTCCGTGAAGAGTGTCACATATGTGACATGCTTTAAAGTTCGCTCCCAAGGACGCTCTAAGGGATTCCGTCTCTGATTCTGGGCCTTTGCCTCTGTCGGCTCCTCGTAGAAAATCCGCTTGCCCGTCAGTTGATGTCCATGTTTGGGTGTCAATAGAAAATCCCGTCCTGTGCCCACAATGGCACAGCCCAAGGGCAGCTAAAAATTATGGACATTAAACCAAATAGACTTGGAAAGTAACTAGAACTTTGAATCATTCTTGAATTCAAGAATTTCTTGATTGGAAAAAGTTAAATTTTAATTCTAAAAAATTGTCTTCGTTTTAAATGAAATCCTTTTTTCTTTGACACTTTTCTATGCCTTCTCCTCACTTACGATGGCCATGGGAACAGCAAGTAGCCAGCAAATATTCCGCATTGTCTAGGCTAGCACATAAAAAATAAATATTAACACAAAAAAAAAAAAAAGAAAAATTATTCGCAAAACGAAATACTCGTAAGTAAGCGGAGTTTTTTTTTTAAATGCGTTTGAGCAGCGCGCGCTTGAAAATGCGACTGAAACGCGTCAGCCAGTTGCGCTCGCTAATAATCCACGATGATGTCTGGAGCTATGGGTAGCTTCTGTAGCTTTGGTAGCTTCGTTAGCTTCTGTGACCATCAGCCAGCACCATCCATCTACCAACTAACCAGCTCTAAGCTGCTTTCGTTGAGGCAGCCAAGCGATGCGTCGCCGGCGGCGTAGACTTTTTTTTTGCGCAATCTGCAGTCGACAGACATAGGTATGTATGTGGATGTGTGTTTTGGCTTTTTTGCATAGCATATGGTTGTACGGATAGTTCATAGCCCAAAGAAGTTGGAGTCGCAGCTGAAATTGTCGGAATCGGAGGCATTTATGCAACACTCTCGGTTGGAGGACGGACCACCAGCATGTGTATGTGTATGTAGACCACGGCTGGATACCCTCCTAGACAATGGCAGTCTTTAAAAATTACTGGGAAGTTGGTTATATATTAAATGTTTACTTACCCAAAGATCCATACATAAGTTCTGGAATTTAAATTTCTAATCAATCGCAAGGAATTCTAATAAATTTTCTAAAAGTTTGTTAATATCTCTTCGTTATATACTTTGTAAAGATCTTTTTCTGTAATTAAATTCTTGGTTATTAAACTTTAAATAGTGTATAACATATTCAACTATAATGCTAAAGATCTTTCTGTGCTTCTTGATTTTGATTTCATTTTGGCTATAGCCTCCGTTTAAGCCCAAACTTTGCCTTAGATTTCCATTGAGATATGAGTTATAATTCGCTTGGCTGGAGTTTCCCTTTCGACGATAATACCGCCCGCCTCAGTTTTTCTTATGATTTTTTTTTCTTGGCATTCTCTTCTGACGGTTCCGTATGGCGATTTCACCTTGCCAGGGTTCTCTGTCTTTCCTGTTCCAAAGTAGAGATGACCTGGTAGATAAGATAAATCTACTCCATCAACATTGAACTACAGTAGAGTAACGTAAACGTACTAGTATATAGTATGTATAGATACGAGCTTAAGAAAGTATTTCCCCTTTTTCTTTTTTTTTTGGTAACGCTCAATTTGAGCTGAAAATCAGATTCCCGTGAAAAGATCTTTAATTTTGGCATTAAGTGAAGTTATTTGGAGGCGGTGGAATGGATAGGCGGAGGTTGTTTGGTTTGCAGGGGGGTGGAGGTAACAAACCGTATATATAAGCTCTTATTATTATGAACACAGAATATGTGCGAATTTTTCCATTGCCTGCAAAAAAAAAAACAAAACCCATTGCATGATCTTGACACATGCTAACTCCCAAACCAATGACATTGTCTAGAGATCGTTGGAGCTCTTGGGTTTTATAAACTAAAGGTTAAAGCTGATGATAGAATGGTTTTTGTAGAATAACAAAAAAACAAGAAGTTGGGTTTTTTTTTATTTACTTTTACTAAAAGAACTAAAAAAAAAAAAACAATCCATACGATAATTCCTTGTTAATTAGTTAGTTGGGAATCCATCCGAAATTCCCACCTTTTAATGGATTGCAAAAATGAATTGCGTATTTGCCATTACATTGGCTTGCCAAATGGCCGCATAATTAGCTACTCCGCATTTCCCTCCCCCCAAAAGAAAAACCCTTACCGTCTTGATCTCCACTTTGACATAATTGACGTAAGTGCCAATAAACTGAATGTAATCGAGGGAGCAAGCTGTGGTCTGCGGGCGGCGGGCGAAATTCAGAGGCAGTTTGTTAGTTGGTTTGGCTGAGCTGGAGCACCGCACCAACCGTCATTAGTAACGCACCGAGCAGAGAGCTCACCTCTCATGTGGATTTATTTCGGTGCTGGTGATGGTGTTGTCTTGTCTACAATTCCAGATTTCGATGGGGCTATGGAGTGGTGGTGCCGCTTGGTTCCACGCCATGAACCACATAACCAAGCAATGAAATGCGAATTGCAACGAAAGTGTCACCTAACTAGGGACAACAACGACTAATGCATTTTGGGGGGAAGCTATATCGACTAGATATGGATCCTTAAAAGATTTATAAAAAGTTATCTTGATTAGCTTTTATAGTTATTCTGGGAATTTGAACAAAATCATAACTGCCTTCTAAAGATATTGCAGTTTGGATAGTGAAATTTAATTAGAAAGGGATAGCAATAATAGGTAAAGACTTTTATAAACGTACTAAGAAGTCTTCATAAATAGAACTGAATTGAATTTAACAAGTTTTTTCAATCTCTTACTTGATCTAATGACGAATATACCCCATAAAAACTACAGGCAATACCATGTAAACAAATTATCTGAATCATTTCCTCACTGAATCTTTCTTTTCTTCTCTTTTCCCCCTTAAAAAAAAAATCAGCAAATTTACCGGGAACAACAGTAGCCCATCAACTGGTAGTCGCCATCAGGCAGAAGTGCACACCCGAGGAGGTGGTTAACATCCTAAAGGACATCCCAAGCAGCGGGTACAGCGGCGAGGAGATGTCCGATGGCAGCTTTAATGCTCTGAAGATCGATGTATTCGTCCAGACGCTGTTGAATTTGGGCTCAAAGTCGTTTTCACACAGCTTTGCTGCCATTTCCAAGTTTCATTCGGTTTTCCGTGCCCTGGCCGAAACGGAGGAGGCACAAATCTGCATCCTGCACAATATCTTCGAGCTCTGGTCATCGCACCAGCAGATGATGGTAGTCCTTATTGATAAGCTGCTTAAACTGCAGATTGTCGATTGCTCGGCGGTGGCCACGTGGATCTTCTCCAAGGAGATGACCGGAGAATTTACAAAAATGTATCTCTGGGAAATCCTTCACCTGACGATTAAGAAAATGAACAAGCATGTGATCAAGCTGAGTGAGTATTGAAGATTTTAAACTCTGTTAATATTTGATTTAACCCAAGGTATTTTCTTTCTATAGATTCCGAATTGAGTGAGGCCAAGGAAAAGCTTGCAAAGGCGGATTCTTCGTCTAGCGATTCAGAGGATGATTCTTCGCATAAAAGAAAGAAGCCCATAACACATGCAGACAAACCCTCCGAAGAGGTGAGTCTACAGTCGTTACATTACAGTCTTTATATAATATTTGATTGCTTTATCATAACCAGGTTGTTGAACGCATGGAGGAGAAATTGGAAGCGGCGAATGTGAACCAGAAGCGTCTGTTTCTCATTGTCTTCCAGAGATTTATTATGATTCTGTCCGAACATCTGCTGCGTTCCGATACGGATGGCCGTGATCCGGATACGGATTGGTATCGCTGGACAATTGGACGACTGCAACAGGTCTTCCTTATGGTAAGTAAACCATTCTCTATAGTTTTTACTTTATACTAAGCCATGGATTATTATTATTATTATTATTATGCAGCATCATGAACAAGTCCAGAAATACAGCAGTACATTAGAAACGCTGCTATTCACCTCCGACCTGGACACACACATATTGGAAGTGTTCCAACAGTTCGTGGCCCTGCGTGCCTAAATGTGGCACTCGGCAAGCTAAACCATCCCCAATATCCATTTACCATTTACTGCCCCACACACACACAATCGTTTTTCACTCTCAGTTGAGTATAGTTTTTGTAACACCCTTTAAATTTATTCTAATGAAATTCAGTTTGTAGGATTAACCTTGCTTAGACAAACTGTGGGTTATTTTTTGCCCTAATAATAAGATTAACTGTCCCCAATATGTGAACACTATATTAGATATATATATATATTTTTTTTAAGTATAAACGACAATTAAAGTTAACAGAAAGATTATGAAAAGATAACACAAATAAAGTCGAATAGGGTAGTTCTTTACAATGATAAAGATCAACATAGATATAAAAGTAAAATGATAATTGAAAGATTCAATGGTTGGGAATTTTTATGTTTAGGATTTAAAATTAAAAAAAAAAAAAACAACTAAAAAGGTAAATAACTTGACTGCAGACTTGACTACCGGGACTACCTCGTTGTGTGCTTATTCGGACACACAACCATCCCAAAAAAATATGCTATACAAACCACTCGAAAAATATTACACTTTTGTTGGGAGCAAGAAGAAACCAATCATTACTCTGATCTTGGTAAATATATTTATTCATATGTACGTTTTTGTGTGTATATATATATAGATCTGTTTTGTATGCGTTCAATATATGAAAATATACATATATATTTTCCCATCTACATAGTTTCGAGCGGCTGTTTTTTTGATCTTTGGCTTTCATTCTCATATCAGGTTTACGAATTGCAATCGAGGATAAACTATAGCTGTTTGGATAAGCTAATGACATTGTAGATTTGTAGATCGTTTCCATGTGTCCATCAACTGGTCCAGGTCATCATCCAGGTATCATCTTAAGAGGAGGTTCTCGGCTGGCTGGGTACATACTTTTCCGATGGCTGATACTGCCATTGAGCGCAGATGGCCTCCTGTTCGGTTTGATTATATCCGGCTCTAATCAAATCGTATCGATAAACCGGAAAAGGAAGAGCGTAGCAGGCATGCGATTCTTCAGTGAATTTATTTGTACAGAATAACTATTAGTGAACTGATGATCTAGTGGACATGCAGAACATGAATGGCAATCACACATGCATCTAAATGACTCTAAGACTAGGGCTCCATACTGGGAACCTAAACTGCAACTTATGACTACTAATACTACAAAAGGGAACTAAAGGTGAGTCGATTTTTGATCTATCAAAAAAAAAAGTTAACGATCGGAGAGTAATCTTTTAGTATTTTTATGGTAATATTCGGAAAGGGAGGAAGATAATATTTAATATATCTGTAGATCTTATCAGATATAGGTTGTTCTATATATTCCTCATAACTCCCGCCTATATAAAACCCTCTTTTCTTCGTGTATATTACTATATCACCCAATTACGCACAAAGGTAGTCGTCTTGGGAAAAACCCATTTAAAGGTATTCATTAAAATGCGTATTGTACGAGAACAATACGACTTATTCTCTTCCCAAGAATTGATGTTAAGTCTATGATAATGAAACTTTTCCTGCATAATAAACACCTATAAGAATGAGACTTTAACTGAATATAAAGCAGGATTAAACAAAGATAACTTTACCATTAACTTGAAAATCACGTTTTTTGCTGGTCATGTTATAAGCTAAGGCGTTTTTCTTTGGCAAATCAAGTTGAATGGAAATTTTCTTATTATATATAATATTACAAAACCCCAAATTATACTTTATATAGTTAACCTTTTTTTCCCCTAAAACTTCAAAGAACCCTTTTTTCGATTACTTCTCCAACCGTTAAGTATTTTAAGATATTCGCAAAATCGACCCACAACGTGGGGGACAGTCTTCGAGGGGGCATTCGTAACTCTTGCTTTTATCTCCAAGGGGAATCGAAGCCCCCATAACCTCGACCACTATAACCATATCCATAAGACGAAGGCCCCGGCCGCTCATAGTGATAGCCCTGATCCTGATATCTGGGCGGTGGTAGCTCCCTGGCGACCGGCGACTGTAGGCTATCCCAAAGGAGGCGAGGTCGCTGCACCACCTCCCGCAGGATATTGACCGCTGCCAAACCAACGCTGGCCAATTTTACACCCCATCGACGAGCCGTCGATTTGGCAGGGCCAAAATCAGGAGCGGCCAGAGATCGACCCTGCGGATGGGATAGGATTTTGGCTATTAAATTATCCCCATGCGGTGGCACATAGAGATCGGCCTGCCGGTACTCCGCCGGACAGTGATCGGTGCGGTAGTAGAAGTCCTCGAACCTCTGGTGTGCCGAACAAGGACTCCGTTCCTGGAAGCACGTCACCTGCACCACATTGTAGAAAATGGCACCCAAAGTATTGGCCGTTTCTGTATTTGCCGCCTGCAAACAACGCCGGAATCGTGCATCACAATCACAATGGCTTCGGGTAAAGGTTCCACGATTGCACAATCCTCGCCGGCATTCACCAACATTCAGTACATCGGGACACATGTCGTGTTCGCGACAACAGCGATCTTCTCGAGAATGTGCACCCAGATCATCGTAACTGGTGGCCGCTGTGCCTGGACCACACCATTTGGTTCCTGGATATATAAAGCCCAATCCACCGCGAAATTCATGGCCATATGATCCCTGACGGCGACATACCTCCTCCAGTTCCATCACCGATTCCCGCGGAACCTGGCGGATGCGACGCGGATCCGATTGCAGTAACATACGCTGGATATCGCCGCTGGGTAAGTGTATATCAAAGATAATTATTAGTTATTTGTGTTATTTTTTTATTTGAAATTATTTCAAAATTCTTAGAGAATAAGATTTAGTTTTTTGTAAAACTTCTCTAGTAGAACTCACCGATCTGTATGCATCTTGCAGAAAGGATGACGGGAGGATAGCTCCACCATAACGCTCATGGTCATGTCGGAGATGAGCACCGCTGATCCAGAAGTGGGTGGGACCACCGAACCGAGCCAAAGAAGCAACACCACCGCCACGGGCAGCGGTTCCCTCATGGTGCCAACTAGGATCGGAAAGAAGATTAACCATAAACATATATATCAATATCCATAAAGTAAGTAAGGGGCGTGACTGATCCGATGCGAAGATCTGCTTGAACGAACTGACAGCGCGATAATGAGGCGTTATGGTATGAGGTTATAGTGTTGTATGATATGTGGGCCATCATTAGCAGCCGTTTGCCGATCGCCCGCAACAGCTCGCTTTTTGCATTTCTATGGACTGCTCGTATATGACCTCTGGGCCACAAAACAGAATCAAATATCCATAACTGTGCACAGTGGTCCGGTGTCCATAACTTCACTTCCATATCATATGAATCATTAAGCAGATATCATCAGAAACTATATCAATATCATCTACATGATATGAATAACAAAACTTCACATTTTGTTATGATAATCACTTAGTTTTTATGCTCGAATTATCATTTTAATGGTACATATCTTGTTATGCTACAGATACAGTTGAACGATATCTGATATTTTGGACATTATGTTTTATTAGATTTACAGATGGTATAATAAAATTGGTAGGAAAATGTTCTTTATATAAAGTTAAAAAGTTTTGATGTTTAAAGATTATCAGATCTTCATGTTAAATACATTTTAAACAAGTACTAATGAATATTTTATAAATATCATAAAAATATAAAATATTTTATATATATTTTTTTTGTCAATTTCCTCTTTATACCACTGTAAAACCAACGATCAAAACAAAAGGCAAGGCAAAACAAATGATCGTGGGCAAAGGTAAAAAGAAGACAGGCAAAAAAAACAATTTGCAAAATAAAAGGCGACGGCTTGCGAATGAACGGTATTAGGTTGGTGGTTGGGGGTTGGTGGAGGAGACCCCCCAATAGGTAGTGACCTACCCCAAGAGCCGTTCGCTCTTCAGGCCAAAAAAAAAAAAGAAATCAAATTGAATAAGCAGTCAGGAAGAGCGGCGCCGGTTTCTTTTCTCTGTCTTTTTTGTCTTTATATTTTGTGGGTCAGTTGAAGGTGGAGGCGTCAGTTTGTTACCAATTCTTTGGCTTCTCTTCTTTGCCTTCCACCTTTGCTTTTGGCCAACTCGGCAAAAGGTGAAGGTCACCGGCCGGCCAACTCTGTTAATTAGTCAAAATAAAAAAAAAATAAGACAACAACAAAAAAAAAAAGAAGAAGTATAAAAACAATTTATGACACCAACTTGATTCTTCTCTCTTCTGTTTGCTTGGAGTTTACTTTACGTTATTATTTGGTTACTATATTTTGTTGTTGTTTTTGTTTTTGTATTTTTAATGCCAGGCCAAGGAACAATTTTACCCATCACTCGTTCATCACTCGGCTTGTAAAGCTGGAAAATAATTAATGATGACACCTTGCGACCGCTTATTGTAAGTATTATTTATGATGTTTGCACAATTGTTCATTTTGTGCCCACTGTGCGTGGGTGGGAGGGGGTCTAAAAAGGGAGGGTAGAGCTGGGTCACAATGCCATCGAACTGGAGCGAAGAGAAGAGCGTGAGAACTTGGTATCATGGGCGTAGGTCAGGCAAGAAAATAGTTTTGATACCCTTAAGTCCATTAAACTATATCAAAATAAAAAGATCATTTTATACCTTTCTAAAAATAACTATTCGACTTCAATTCACAGAACCCCCCAACTTGAATGATGTAGAAACGAAGAATTATGACTCTTGTTTTAAAAGCCTTAAACATTAGTTAATTGGATTGGAAAGGGAAATGAATGGTTACTTCGATGGAAACATATGTCCAGAAGACAGTCTGACATGTTATTAAGATATTAGAGGAGACGAAAATATAATGGCAAAAGTCAGAGGCGGAGCCTTGCCCCCTTGTCAACGGTTGAACTTGGCTGTCTGTCACTCCATATGCGAATTGTTTTTTGCGCCCGCAGATCAATTGTTATTTGATGTTATTTATGGACTCCGACAATGGGCAAAGCGATCAATCGCAATTCGCATTAATAATTCGCACCGACAAGTGACAACAATTGGTAATCAATTATCGAACCATTCCATTCTATCTAACCGAAGTTAAGTAACTCTCTGTAAACACCATAATAAAAATCATCTTCTCTGAATTATATTGGCTCGCCGCGCTTGTTGTTCGCATAATTTTCAATGTCAATGCTTTTGCTTTTTTTGGCTTTTTAATTTCATGGCGTATAATAAGCCAGTCTTTTTGGTCGCGCCAATGCAAAAAAAGAAAACGAAAACAAATTTAAAATCAAAAGCGAATCAAGTTCGCTTACCAGCATTTCCATCGTTTTGTGTTTATAAACCTCAAGTACAATGACCCAACTCAAAAATAAATTCCGAAAAAATAAAAACGGATACTTAAACCGTTTATAGACCTTTTGTGTGCGCCCCGCGAGACACTATAATTTTGGCTTTAAGCTGTCACTCAGCAGAAAGAGATCAACATCGGATCAAATCATTTGAGATTATTACAGTCAAACTTCTAACACATCACTTTCAAATTAAAACTGGCCACTCATTCAGCCAAGAAAATATGTACTTTGATCTTAAGTATTATAATAATTGCTGATTTTTGTACTATACGAATGGAAGAATACTATTTTTGTCAAAATTCCTGATCCATTTTTATCTTTGAGATCATGTTTAGCCAAGTTATGAAGGGAGTATAATAATTTTGCCAAATATATATTATATATAATAAAATAAATATAAATTTCCAATGAAAATAATGATTCTTGTCAAATTCATAATTTAAATGGGAAGAAATATTCAAACACATTAGAATTTCCCTTAGTTAATAGTCAAACTCCTGCATTTGCCATTATAAATATTTTTCCAAGTCAATTTGCTAGATTTATCGATTCTACCAGGCGAACAGAAGCAAGTAGCAGGCCTAAAACATTTCAGCTGATAAGCGAAATTGACGTTTGCTTAGAGGTGAAACGTGAGTACTAAATTCAGGCACGACCTTATGAAATACATGGGATTTAATTAGAATTTCGTGCCTTTCGTGCTTAACTCGTGATACAACATCGAAAACAATGTGGTTGCTCATCTCTAGTTTGTGCTTAGCTTCAAAACAACGGTTGTTTTCCAATAGAAAGAGGGGCTTGAGTTGGCAACCATATTGAAATGGCAGCCATTTTGAAAAAAAGTGTTTACTCAAAATAAACAAAAAACACCTGCTACGATTTCTGTTCGCCTGGTATCTGAACTCCCAAAATTGCCAATTTGACTGAGAAAAAATGATTTTTTGATCAAAATTTCAACGCATTTTGGGTAGCTGATGCCTTTAAAATACCAGGCGAACAGAATTGAGTAGTAGGTGGAAATCGCTAAATTTATGAGCTCCACGTAGGGATGGCCACGTGAGTACTGTTTTTCGACACCACCGAATAAATTACATGGGACCTTAAGATTATTTCGTGATTATCGTGCTAAACTCGTGATACGATATGGTAAACAACGTAATTGTCCATCTCTAGCTTGTGTTTACCTTTCGTGGGGTTTCAAAATGGCGGCTGGAAGTCTGGGAATGGCAGCCATTACAAAAAGTACAGTTACATATGCTCTCTCGAAGTAAACAAACAGCTTGCTGTGATTTCTGTTCGCCTAGTAGCTGAACTCCCAAAATCCATAAATTGAGCCAAAATTCAAACGAATTTGGATGATTTTATGTAAAATACCAGGAGATCATAAATCAGTAGCAGGTGTATGGCTATTAGTTTATTTCTGAAAACTTGCTTGCTACGGATTCTGTTCGCCTGGTAGCTGAAATGCGAAAATCACTTAATTTGACTGCGGAAAAATGTCGTTTGGCCCAAAAATATGTAATGGATTTTCAACGATTTTTCTTTTTTAATACCAGGCGATCAGAAGCAAATAGCAGGCGTAAATCGATCAGCTGATTGCTCTTTTCAACGTTTGCTTAGAGGTGTCAGCGTGAGTAATAATTTCCGGCACGACCCTTTGAAATACAAGGGATTTAATTCATTTTTCGTGCCAGTCGTGCTAAATTCGTGATTTGACACTTAGAACAACGTGGTTTCCCATCTCTAGTGTTGTGTTTACCTCCAAAACAACGGTTGTTTTCCAGTAAAAATGATGGCTGACAGTGGCAGCCATCTTGAAAAAATTTGTTTACTCAAAATAAACAGAAGTCACTTGCTGCGGATTCTGTGCGCCTGGTAGCTGAAATCCAAAAATCGTTCAATTTGACTGAGGAAAAATGTCGTTGGCCAGAAATTTTCAACGATTTTGCTTTTTCAAATACCAGGCGAACAGAAACGCATAGCAGGTAACCAGAGCTCAGTTATTTACAAAATTCTTAGAGATGTCCCCGTGATTGCTGGTTTTCGACACGCTCTTAGCAAATGTATGGAACTCGAATATTATTTCGTGTTTATCGTGCTAATATCGTGACACGGACAAAAAAACAATGCAACTTTCCATCTTTAGTCTGCGACAAGCATTTCTAACTGTTAACTTCTAGCGAGCTGAGTTCCTATTGGCTGACCAATCAGCAGGCTCGAAGATAAAGAACTTTTGGAGCCCAGCAGAAGCTTGCTATGCATTCATGTTCGCCTGGTAGAAACCCAGAAAATCGATTTCTGACCAGCGGCGAAGTTTACGACTTAGGAAATCAGTATTTTCCACATAACTAAGCCAATAATGGTCCGAATTTGGAATATCATATCTCGTTGCACTCGTAATTAAAATTCCAATCGAACTGTGTACCCACATTGAAATGGAAAATGTAAGTCATTTTTCGCAAATTTTGATGATGGTACCCCTTAAAAAAAAGTGAAAATCGGGTCAAAAATTATTTTCCAAAAATCAAACAATCAGTGATATGGCTGGGAAGGTGGGGTCGTTAGCTGCTCAAAACAGGCAATTCTTTTTCTGTAGGACAATTTTTAATCGATTTATGAGAAAAGAAAGTAGGGAAAATTACATATTTTCGCAAAAAAATCTTGATCTCACTTTTTATCCATAAAATATTCAGAATTTTACTCATAACGCAATAAGTACTTGTTCAAATATAGAATGTCTTATATTGTTGAAATTGTTAACAAATTTCCAACATTTTTGCATTCACATGCATTTGCATGTAAAATTTTAGTCATTTTCCACAAAAATAATGTGATGGTAGAGCCGGGCTCTCAGCTGCCAACCGACGTATACGTGATTTTAAGCACAAAAATATCAGTTTTTTGGCCATAGCACAGCCAAAAATTGTCCAAATGAGGAATGTAATACCTCGTAGAGCTCGTAACTTGATTGCCATGATTCCCAATTGGTTTGCATTCAAATCTGGGAAACTTAATTTTTGGCCCATTTTTGAAAATTTTGATGATGGTACCCCTTATCAAAAATGTGAAATTTGGGCCAAAATTGACTTTCCCAAAATCGAAAAACGAGTGATAGGGGTGGTAAGTATTGGTCGTTAGCAGCACAAAACAGTCGTTCTTTTCGCTCTGCGTCTTGTTTTGACCGAGTTAGAGCTAAAATACCGAACGTAGTATTGCAAATTTCTATTAGAAATCTGTTTCCAGGTTTTTTAGCTATTAAATCAGCCTTCGCAGCAACAAATCAGAGCAATAACGCAAAAAGTAAGTATAGAGGTTTTAAGTTTCGGTAGTTAGCTGCACAAAACAGTCATTGTTTTAGCTGTGCGGCTTGATTTTACAAAGTTGGAGCTAAGGAACTGCAACAAATCCGGGCTCTCTGCTCCCAACCGACGTATACGTGATTTTGGATGCAAAAATATCAGTATTTTGGCCATAACAAAGCCAAAAATGGTCCAAATGAGGAATGTTATACCTCGTAGGGCTCGTAATTTGATTGCTGTGATTCCCAATTGGTTTGCATTCAAATCTGGGAAACTTCATTTTTGGCCCATTTTTGAAAATTTTGATGATCAAAATCAAAAATATGAAATTTGGGCCAAAATTGATTTCTCGAAAATCAACCAGAAAATAAAATAAATCTGAAGCTTAGGTCGTTAGCTATTCAAAACAGTCCGCCATTTAGCTGTGTGACTACTTTAAGCCAAGTTATAAGAAAAAATACATGAAGAAATTATCACATTTAAGCCAAAAATTGTTATCCTAATTTATTGAAAACAAATTGACCAAATACAGAATGTCATACCTCGTTTAGCTCGTAATAGAAAAGGTTTCCATCCACAATATCATTTAACTGCAATAGACTTTTAAGCCATTAAAGCAAAAATAATTATTTCGGCAAATAAAAACGTACAGGTTAAATCTTAGGGCCGAAACGTTTTTTATGATTCCAAGCGAAATAAAAACCCTTTTCCAAGTTTATTTTTTTGTTAACGATATAAGTGCATGTAATTCAAAGGCTATATAATTCAATTTTTATTTGGGCAAATTGTAAACTGAGTGTTGGAGGTTTTACTGTAGCTGTTTGTTTGTTTTTTTTTAGGGGGCCATTAAACCCCAGGGAATGTTTGTGTACCTTGGTCAAAGTTTGAACTTTGATATGTCGACTTAATATACTAAAAATCTTCTGCGTCAACAGGCGTGTCTTGGATCCACAGATCTGATCATCAATCAACGATCTCCTGTTTTTGGATAGCCTCTGTATTTTTTATATTTTTTTTTTTTTATATTATTTCTTTTTTTTCGTGGTGAAGCCCTTCACTTGGACGCATCTAAAACTGGTTTCTGAGGTGTTCGTTTGCATTTTGAATGTCACGCTGCAGATGGAATGGAAACGCTGGTTCTTAAAAGCCACAATAACAAGTTGTAATCCCCTCTGAGAAAAAAAAAACAGACCCCTCATCGTTGGGTTATTGTGGAGCCCCCCCTAGCTCGGTGGTTCTCTCCAGTTGAAACGTGGTAATTGCCGGACTGTCACAGCCGTGTATCTCTTTTTTTTGTTGTGTCTGATTATCGCTGTAATTGCCGCAGAGCAGACCTTCCGACGTGCCACGTTCATAAAGGAATCTCTGTCCTTGTCCTCTGGCCAAAATGAGGTCAAGTTTAAGTGCAGAATACACACAACGAAGGTGTTCTTTACGGAAATCGATAAGGAAGGCTTTTCGCAGCTGTGGGACAGCTGTTAATTTTCAGTTTTAATTAGTTGCAGAAGCTTGGAATGTAAATGTGTTTTGAACTTAATTTTTATTACTGCACATTTTTTAATCATTTCTTTAAGTACTTAGTTAACCTTTTTAGCAAAATCTGTATTATTTCAGTCCTCTCCTTTGATAATACTCAATAGTTTTTATAATTCCAAATCTAATACCAATATCCTCAATAAAAAAAAAGACCCATAAAGTTTTATTTAATTATCACTTTCAAAAGTGTTAAATTTAGTATTTTGTAAAGTTAACACCTAATAAATTAACAATCAAATTAGGAGCAATATCTTATGTTTTTAGTAGCTTAATATTTTGGAAAGTGATCATAAAGTGGTGCCATCTGGGCAGACGATCGAATTAGGGCCAATCAAAAGACAAACAGAGGCTTGTCATTGTCTTTGCATAAATCGATCGAAAGTCGCCACCAATATCCATAAAGCTAACTGGACAGTGCCGGTCATTGAACGGTCGTCCCCTCCCCCGTTCAAGGTCGATAGACAAAAGATGGTCATAGTACCTTTGCTAACTCAAAATCAGACTAAATAAAAACTTCAAAACCAAAAACCAAAAAACCAAAAGCCAAAAAAAAAATCAAAAACCGAAAGCCAAAGCGAAGGCGTTAATTGCCTGAAATAGAGGAAGCGACTCTCACAACATTTTGAAGATGCGACTGCGGGGTAAAACCGATCGGAAGTTAGTCAAGAACATATTGTTGACTTTCGCAATTGGCGAAAACGGTCGAGAATATTGTACCGAAACCAAATAAAAAACACAAATCTCTGACCTTACCATACAACTTGATATAATATTAACCACGTGTGCTAATCACTGTGCAAATTTCACGGATTGTCGAGGTAATGCCATCACAGATTGTATGTGCCAAAAAGAAGAAAAATATGATGGCTAGATCTTGCTTATCGACCACTCAAATATTTAACCAAGTTGCCAGTTAGATATGTCCACAAATCAGCCGACTGAAGCCGATGAGAAGTGTTTGACATGCAAATGTCTAGCCAAATGCCAAAAGAGGTTCTTTTCTGGGACATTAGGTGGGGTTTCTAAGTGCCTGGGTTTCATAATCTTAATGGGTTATCCAAAGTATAAATACATCTTGGTTTTAAATTAAAGACCGCAATGAAAGTGTTTAAAAAATGTAATTAGGAGTTAACCATTTCTACGCTGACTTTAAGATTCTTATCTTGGTATTATATTACTTCTCCTTTTAGTAAGTTTAAGTTTTAAGCTTAAGCTTAAAATATTTCGTTATCTGTGAACATTCTTTACAAAGAACCCATTCCCAACTTATATTGGTGATTAAAATCTTTCAAGCTATAAAAACTAAGTCACCATATATCCTTAATATCAAAGGTTGAAATGTAAGATTTTTAAAAATTTTATATAGAAAATCTTTACAAAGAGTTGACATCTCCTAATGTTCTTAATCTTTCGACTGCTCTCACTTTCACTTGTCCGTTGGCAGGGAAAGCTGTGCTTTAATCCCAAGGTTGCCTGGCTGCCTTCACCTTTTGACATTTGGCCCACTCCGCCATTCCGCCTCTTTTAATATATTGGGCCACCACCCACTGGGCGCGGCCTTCGTGCGTGAGTGACCTTCAAAAGGTGGCAGCAGGTACAACCATAACAAAACGGCAAGGACACTACGCACTTCACATTAAAAACTTAAAAAAAACACACACACACACACAATTTTTACCTGGTAACGGTAGGGGAATAAAAGTCAAACGGGATAAGTTTCCCGTTTCGATGTATCGGTTTTGTGTGATTTGTTTTTTTGTTTTTATTTTGAATGGCCAAAAAGGATTCTTTTTAAGATGCAGGACGGCGTCGCATTCGTTTTAATGGTTGTAAATTTAAATTTAAATTTAAATATATATTTCAATTTCGATTTCTTTGGGACGGTGGAAGCAGCGAAAGAAACATTTCCGCGACGCGTTTGCGGCGCAACTGAACTTGATTCTGGCGCGCCGAGCTGTTAAACTTGGACTTGGCCAAAAACCAAAAAAAGACAAGAAAAAATCATGAAAAAAAAACAACAACAAATTGAAAAGCAGAGAGCCAGACCAAGAAACCGAGTTACAACAACAAAACACAGACGGACTAGAAGCTCGCCAGCGGAAGCTGCAGGCAGACCAGAGGCTTGTCCCAATGGGGTTTTTTTTGGCCAAAAACAAATTTTTTTAAATACAAAGTTTGCAGTAAGATAAACCATTATTTTTAATGCTCTAAAAAAATATATATTAATTTAATTAAGCCTTTATAATTTCACATTTTCCTGAAAACAAATTGATTACAAAAAAATCGAAAATATTTAATATATAAAAAGAAAACCCTTTGGTATTATGCAAAACCCCTTCGTGCACCTGCCTTTAGTGTACGCCCCTGGCCACGCCCACGACCACCAGTGCGAAATCAAAAAGCTTTTAGCAGACAGGTGGCAGACAAAAGCTCGGCACTTTGCCGATTTCAGGGGCTCCACTCGATTGGATTGAGCCCCCAATAAGCTCCAAGACCGTTTGAGCCATTCAGCGGTTTTAAACACCACTAAGCATAAGAAAACACTAGCATATTTTTTGGGGCACATTTTAAGTTGTATAAATTTATTTTAAATATACATTGTTTTGTGTTCGTGTATGAGAGTGTGAGTTAAAATGTGAAATGGAAAGAAAAGAAATAAAGATAGTTACTTAAATTTTAGCAAAAAAAATATATTTATATATTTATGTGTATCCGTCACGTAAGCAACAAAAAGATTTCGATTATTATATAGTATGTGAGTGTGGTGTTGTTGTTTTTGTTGTTGTTAATTCAATTTCTTACATCCCATATATATATATATATATATATAAGGGCCTAGATAGACTTAGTTTCTTGTGTTTTCAGTTCTTGTTTCAGCCATTAATTGATGTTCTTTCTTCATAAATTGCTAATTACCTTTCTATACAAATGACTTAACTTAAATTTATTTAAACTATTGCTGCTGTGGTAACTAAATTTTACTAACGACTGATGAACAAGGATCGTTTGTATATATATTTATATATATAGAATATAGGCTTGTTGATTAGTTAGTTTCTGCTTGGTTTGCTGATTGGTTTTAGTTTTCTTTTACTTTTCTTTTGTGTTGGTTGTGTATTTGTTTTTTTGTTTTTGTTTTTGCCTTTGGCGCCTCGCTCAGTCTTCGGTCCTTGGATTATTGTCCTTATCTGATGTTGGCAAACAGATTCAGCACAGATTTATTCTCCTTTTGGCTCCGTGCCTTACTGAAAACATTCCAAAATCGCAACGTCTCATCGCCAGCACCCGTAACAATAGCCTCACCATCGGGACTCAGGGCCAAATAGAGAACACGATATGAATGACCCGTCAGTTTGGCCACTTGTGTCAACGATGGATATTTCCAGACCAAAATCTGATTCTGCGAATAACCGTGCGTGGAGACCAGCTCCGATGAGTGCTTGGACCAGGCCAGATTACACACCTGCGAGCCCGTATCCACGCACTGCATGGGCTGGCCCGTCAATGTGTTCCAGAAGCGTATACACCGATCCGCCGTTCCACCGCCGCTGGCCAAAAGTCCATGATGATGCGGCGACCAAGCGATCGCCTTCACAGCCGCCATATGTTCCGTATAGGATTGAACAGGATTCACAGAATGCTGATTCCATACATACAATCGATTGTCATTACCGCCACTGGCCAAGTACTGATTATCCGGTGACCATTTAAGACCACACACCTCCTGCCGATGTCCAGCTAATCGGCGTTCCGATTGCAATTGCGGTGTCCTTGTATCCCGCTGAATAATCCAACGATCACGCGATCCACTCGACAGGATGTCACTATTCCAGGCCAATGCACCAACACGTGCTGAATGACCATTTAGTTTGTTGATCTGCTTATTGGCCGCCACATCCCAAACGGTCACGTAGCCATGATGAGTACCCACGGCCACGGTATTGCCACGCTCATTCCACGACACCGAGGTCACCGTATTTGCATCCGGACTGAGATCACACAGGCGGGTAACCTAAAAAAGGAAAACAAGACATTAGATATTCTATATAATTTAAGGTATTTCAGACACTTACCTGACTGGTGCAAGCGCTCCACAGATAGACACAGCTTCCCAAACCCACAGCCAGGACATTCTGGGAGGACCAATCGACCAAGTTTAGATAGAAATCATCCTGCAGCTCGGGTGCATCCAAGACTTTGAAGGGTATACGCGAGATTTTACGTGTGGCCTTGCGCGGCGAACGCAATAGCTTCTGACTTTTGGCGCTGACGGGGGACAATGAGTACGGGCACTCGCCATTGTAGTCCTAAAATATAATATATATATTTCGATATAGAAGTGTGGGATGGTCCATATTGTTATCTAAACAATTAGTAGCTGCTGCCGTTCCAGTTGCTGCAGTCGAGCAAGAAATTGCCAAAGCAAATGTGTCTCAATTGTAGGAATCCGTGAGAGGCAAAAAAAAAAAAACGTAAGAAAAAACCATTGGAGTTCACTTTGTTTGCGAGCCGCGTACTTGGCGTTCAGCAATTAACGCCATCGTGCTAAGAGTTCCGACCGTGTCCCAGTCCCTGCCCCCCTGGACATATGCTCTACTCCTCCTCCCTATCAAACGCCTCACCTTCTTTCCAACAGACAGAGAAATAAGATTTCCATTCAAAGAAATTCATTCTCAAAAGGTAGATCTTAACCACCAATAATTATTCATCTAATTAGATCCTAAAACTTATATAGTTTAAGGATTTTCAATGTTTCTAAACCACAAATCCAAACCGCAGAGTTTTTCTCTCCGTGTAACCTTACAATTCGCATTTGGCACGCATTCCGCTTCGCTGGTAGCTCTACCCTCTGGCTTTTGTTTGCATAGAAAATGCGGGCAGAGAAGTGTGTTAAGCGTATGCGTAAAGGGCCAGTAGTTATAGTCATTGTAAAGCCTCCTACTGACACGCCCCCTGCCCACTCAACTGGCCCCCCCAACTTACGCAACACAATTACAATTTGAAATGCGTGAAGTCGGAGTGGGAAAAACGAGATACACAAATACCAAAAACTCATTCAAAACTAAGCGGACTTTGTGCGTGCCAAGCTAAGTGCAATGTGTGAAAAAGTTCAGAGAAGAGTTTAGTTTGATAGAAATTTCGATTTGATGGCTAGGAGAATATGCTGAGAGGTCAGTAGAAGGGCTTTCTTCAAGACTGCATTCTTCTTGCTGAGAAAAATAAATGAAAAAGTTGAGAAAAAAAAAAGAATAACATCCAGCAGTGAGAAATAATATATTCCACATACGTTTCCGTGATGCTAGACAATTGTTTTTAATTTATGAAAATAAATTCTTGTAAAAAGAAAAAACAAATGAAGCTTCTCTAAAAAATGTTGTCCCATTTGGTTTTTGTGTTTTATAAGATTTACTTTTTTTTGTGGAAATTCCAGATAAAATATTCTGATTTAAAATTCAGGAAATAATTCACGATAAAGTTTTGATATCACGTGTGACTAAGAAGCTAATCAAAATAAAATACCTAACTACTACTAAATGTAGGCTGAGTAATAGTCTTGGGGCAATTAATTACACACTCATGGGTTTCATTAGGAATTTTTTAAAGAACCTTTTTTTTAGAATTTTGTATATTTTTTTTATATATATTTTTCAAGCACGACTCATTTTGCATATCGCTGGCCTGGCTGGCCTGGCACATACATTAGTTTTTTGGAACCGCATTTGTCATTATGGGTTGGTCAGGTTCCCTCGTTTGGAACTCTGATAAAGTAAGCAAACATCCCGGCAAATATAGCGCCCCAGTTAAACCGAACACGTAAGTCCCATATATATATATACGTTCCTTATACATTATATATATTTATATCCATTATCGGGTAGATAGGGTTGAGGTGCTTTGACCTCATGCCACCACGCTTAATTCGTTTAACAAATTAAAAATTTAATTCAATTAACAGAGAAGAACAAATGAAAACGAGATGTGGCATACAGAACTTAATTACAGAACTAGAGGAGAGAGATGTGCGTGTGTGGAGGCCTTAATGGTCACTTTACACTTTGAGAAAAAAAAAAAAGAATATAAATCACAGAGCAAAGAAATATGTGGTATATAAAAAAAGAAGCCCACAATTTAATGGCTTTTGAGGCCTTTGCTTCCATTTTCTGGGAATGTTATAAAGGGCAGTTAAAAACCCCTCCCCTTACCAACACCACCACCCCCCCCCCTTTTTGCGTACAAAAATCACCTCTATAAAGCGTACAAGCAACTGCCATTAAATTTAAATGTTTTTCGATGCCATGCAGAGTGCGAAGGAAAAAAAAAAAAAAAACGAGGTGGTAAAGTCTATTAGAAATTCAATTGTTAAAACGCTTAAAGTTTGTGGTTATTCGTGGGGGATTAAGGGGCGTTCAAGGCGGGAGGCATCAAAAGGGGGCAGTAAAACCCTCTGACAAATGGCAAAAGGAAATCCGACAACTTGTAAGCGATTAAAATCGCAGAGTGAGCTCTCTTGTGTTAACCTTGCGGTAGGCTTTACCTATTTATCACTTTTTTTTTTTTTTTTTGTTAACATTTTTGCGTAATTTTTTAGACTTTGGGTTTTCATACTACTGCATTCTACAGATTATATATATATTAAAGATTTTTTAAATATTATTTCAAGATCCTAAGCAATCAAGTTTATCAATCAGTTTCATACATCTTTCATGCTTTTAAAGATTTCTATTATTTAATTTGAACTTTTTAATATCTCCCCCCTCTCTGCCACTGCGTTAATGAATTAATTCTATTAAGAGCTCTCTGTTAATTGCAGTACAGTCTGGTACAAAACAGTAGTGTCACAACAATCATCATTCATTCATTCTGCTCAGCAAACACCAAACAAAAGACAAAAATGCGAGCTGCTAACAAGAAATAAGAAGAAATAAAAACTTGCCGGCCGGCATTTGTTAAGACTTTTTGTGTGTGTTTTTTTTTATATATATTTTTTTGTTGTTTTTTTTTTTTTTTTTTTTTTTTGTTTTGTGGGCGGCGCTTGAAGGCAGGCTTATAAATTAAACAAATAAACAGCCAACCAGCAGACAGAACAGAAATCTAAAAGAAGGGGAAATATAAAAAAGCGTGATTCCAAAATGAATTGGTGGCCGTGTAAAGGGTTAAGAAAGGGGCAGCAAAAACCCATGTTTAATGGTAATGTTGAACCTGTCGCTACGATCGTTTGGGATATCTTGGTTTGGTTCAGACCAACTTAATCACGCTGCCACGAAAATAGTCATCGCTAATGCGATGTTAATGCAAATGTCTGCTGCATAAATTAATAATTATAATAACAATAAAAACACGGAGACAACAAAAACAAACCTAAAGAGATGAGATTTTGTGGGCCCATGCCCATGAGTTAGTCGGTAGTTTTTTTTTTTTTTTTTTTTATCTATAATACCACTTAATGGCTTTTCGAAATGGGCAGACATAAGGCAAAAAAAAAACAGGTGCACACGAAATCAGCGGGCAAAGGGGTGTTAAATTATAGCTACTTAAAGCAGCCGTGATTGGATTGTTGGAAAAAAAAGAGAATGTAATGATAAACAACAAATAAAATAATACATAATTATAATTACTCAAAAACTCTTAAGCTGGCACGAAATTCACAACTCGAAGGTAGATTAATGAAAGAACTTAAACCGCTCCTTTAGTTTGCATGAGAAAATAACCATAACAACCTATATAAATGTTATTACTATTATTATTATTAAAAACTGTAAAACAAGATTTTTAATTATCTTAATGTATAAGGAGACTAATTGTATAGGCTGGCCCACGAAATATTTGCGTTTAAAAATATCAATTTTTTCCCAATTTTCTTCGAGCGTAAACTTAATCATTTTGTAAACCGCAAACCTTCTACTAAATATCTAACACATTGACAATTACATTCGAAATGTGAAAGTCAAAATTATCAATAGTTCAAAAAGCAAACGCTACATGGGCCACACTGTGTTAAAAGTAAAGGGTGGCCCATGAAAGATTTGCGTTTTAAAATCGCTATAAAAATATAAATATTTCCCAATTTTCTTTGAGCATAAACTTAACCATTTTGTAAAATCTAAGTTCAAAAAGCAAACGCTACATGGGCCACCCTGTATTAAAAGTAAAAGGTGGCCCACGAAAGATTTGCCCTAAAAAAATCGCTATAAAAATATCAAAATTTCCCAAATATTCTTCTTTATCATTTCGCAAACCGCAAACCTTCTACTAAATATCTAACACATTGACAATGACATTCGAAATGTGAAAACCAAAATTATCAATAGTTCAAAAAGCAAACGCTACATGGGCCAGCCACCCTGTATATAAGAAATCTTTTTAATATAAATATTTATGTGCTAACTATTAGAGAAATTAAACTTATTATTTTAAACAAAAACCTAGTTAAACCCAAGCTGCACCTTTCCTTTCTGAAACTTCAAATTTCTAAAATATTTTCCAGACTTTTACAAATTGTTCTAACAACTTCTGACTAACAATGATACCCCATTCATTCGCTACCAAAAAATTCCAACTCGTCAATGAACTCAAAAACCAATCCCCATTTTTTTTCAATCCAAATCAAAAAAAAAAAAAAAAAGTGTTGAGACCATATATTTTGGTGACTGCTGGACAACAAGAAACTACTGTAGAAAAAAAAAAAATACGAACAAAATTTTGAGGAGGTTGGGCCACCTCGAACAACACATTATTTATGACAATAACTTTGCGACCGCACATAATTGAATTACATATTGTTTGTTATGACCACAGAAAAAAATCAAAAATCAAAAAAACAAAAAAAAGAAACATAAGGGCTATATAGAAAAAATATGGGGAGTGGCGTGTTAATTGTGTGGGCGTGATATAGATGAATAACCAGTGATTTGTTGGGTAAATAATTGCAGGGCGACAGTGAATTGGATCAGCTCTCGTCAGTTGCCAATTGGCCAAAACCATTAGGCCAGCTAGCTGTGATCGCTATTAATAAGGAAAAAAAAGAAGAAGGGGGGCAAAAGTTTCTTTAAGTGATTTTTTCCCTCTTAACTGAAATTCCCCCCCAAAAAAAAAATGGGCACACAGAGATCTCAGTTATTGACTCAAGTGTCGTTTTAGACCACTGAAGTAGTAGTTGAAGATGAAGAACTCAGCGCGGTCCGGTCGGTCTCTCGACCACTTCAAATTCAGTTTCTTTCTTGGCATTATATATATATATATACCCTTTAATAAGAAAAAGAGTATATATATAAGATCAAGAAAGCAATATTTATCCATCTAACTATTGACATTGGAAAACTTCATATCAATCCTAAGTAAACTGTATTATTTGTTAGAAAAAATCTAATAAATCGCTTTGACAAGGAAGTTATCTCAAAAAAACCATTTCTGATAAATGAGACAACCAATTAATCTAGAAAACACAATTCAAAGTGTATTTACCGCGTCACCTTTAAATAAATTACAATTTTATATTAACTGAAGTGAGTGCGTGTCTACGTTTGCTCACTTGTTTGTTTCCAACGTAGGGATTTTGCTTTTGTTATTAATTTTTTGTGTTTTTTTTTTTATTTCTTTTGGGGTCTACTGATGATTTTTCTACCGCTTCTGCTGTGGCAACGTGTCAACTGTCAAAAATCAGTCAAAGCAAAAATATTCAACAAAATCGAGAAGGGCAAACAGGCGGCGGTCAGCGGACGTGCCCCACACGTACCTCTCTTTATTTATATATTTTTTGTGATTTTTTGTTTTTTTTTTTTCTTGAGGCAATTGAGGCAACATAAATCTGATAAGCAGGCAAATATGTCAGGTCTGCAATAATAATAATTATGATGGAGAATGGCGATAATTGTGATGGGGAAAGATCACCGGCGTTGCCAGGAATCTAATGACAAGTGGCAATGGTTTCCCCTTCCTCACATCTGTTTCGCTGTTTCAGTTTCTGTTTCTGTTTGTTTTTTCTTTATCTATATCATTTCTACCAAACACTTGAACAATCAGAGTCCACTAGCTATATATATATATATATATATATACAATTACATGGCAATGTTGATCTATTCACTATATATAGACATAGAGATCTACAAACACGTTGGGCATCATCATCATCACGCGCGGCGCATTGGAATCGAAAAGAAGAGTGTGTTAACCTCGAGTTTTGGTCGAACAACTTTTCTCTCTAACCGTCTTAGGCCTTTAGACTTTTCATTAAAACCGGTTTCCATCGATCAATAGATGTGTTTAGTTAGAGAGTCGGGGGAGGTGAGACAACTTGTGCGCCGGTCAAAAGAGATTTTCCAGCAAAGAAAAATCTCTTAGATGGTAAATCAAGCCAAGCCAAGAGCTATAGAAATCATAACTAATATTTGTGACAGACTGAAATTTATAATTCCCACGACCTGAGGTTTATTCAACTCTCCATTTGAAATCTTTTTCTTGTTCATTTTCATTTTTATTTTCAAGGAGAAGTACAAGAAAACCTCAATTAACACCGACTGCAAATTCAATTAAATGCATTCTGCAGTACACAATGGTCATGTGAAACCTCAATCAAAAGTCAAATTCGCTGACCTTTTTAGCATAGAGAATTCCCAGCATTTTTTTTTTTGGTTCTCAACACAAAAGATTGTTTATAAAATCTAAATTGATTTGGGAAAAGAAACGCCTTTTTTGGCTTTTTGTAAATAAAAATTATTTAACGTTGGTAGAAACTAGATTTTACACCGATAACTATGCCCAATTCGATAATTTCGATATCATATGATAATCATTTTTATAGGATTTTCTTATAAATTCCATTCTACCTCTACTTTTACCCCCTAATATCATTCATTTCTTAATTATCAATCATCTTAGCACTTCAACCCCTCTTTTTGATAATCATCGATAGTTTTCTATAGTTAATCTATTGATAATTTCGATTTGTTTCGATAAAACCTATTTCTCATTTCACATCAGTTGATTAACCACTAGGAAAACGTAAATGTAAATGGAAAACTAACCTGCTTGGTGGGTGACTGGTATTTGAAGAGACTCCGCTTCGCGGCCGGCGTGTAGGCATTTTCATTTCGCTCCTCGCCAGCGGTCTTTACATCGTCAATTCCCGATCCCAGGAGCTCGTTCTTGAGGAGGCAGGAGTAGGCGAGACTATCGCGTGCCGTTTCCCCGCAATCCCGCTGTTTCTTGCTCGTCTGCGGTGAGTTGTCATTGGACTTGTTGATCGAAGCAAAGTTCGTCTGCCAGTTGTTGTTCGCTCTGTGATCGGTGGAAATGTAGGAAAAAAAACATGAAAATGGCAATGCAATGAAAATGCCATAAATTATTGGCTAGAACAATGAAAGCTGGACTAGCCAAAGGGCATAGCTAAGAAGTACAAATTTATTTGGATCTTTTAAAGACAAAAGAGGTACTAATACTAAAAGAAGTTTCTAATTTTTTATCCCTTACTTATTCCCATTTTATACTCTTCAACCATGAACAATGGGAAAGACCAGAAAAATGAGAACATCAAAAAATACTTAGCCTTACATAAATAATTTATAAATGAAAAAAAAAAAAAATAAAAAAACGCAATGGGAGGGCACACAGAACGCAGACTAAATAAATTTATGCAAACGCGTTCAAATTCAATTTAGCCATATCGTGTGGCATTCATGCCTCCCCCCCACAACACTCAACCCCCTCCTAACATTGTTATTATTTCTATACATTAAAAAACATAAAAAACGTGTGCAACGTGCAAAAAAAAAAATTATTGACGGTCGAACTGTGCAAAATTTGCGAGAAAAACAACAACTAATAATAATAATCATTTGCCATGAAATTTGGCCAAGTGTGAGAGAATTGCAGTGCACTGTGAAAAACTGTTTACGAATGCAATAAGCGTTGACTTTGTTTAATAATACATTTTTTTTTTTTTTACCCCTGATGATTATATCTGGCAAACGCATTTGAAGTGCTCACTTCCACCTCGAATAAATCAAATTTCATAAGCGGATGGGGAACGTAAATTGAAGGAGGAAAAATATACATACATATATACAAACTGCAGGCGCGACGACGAATGTCAATTCAATCGAAAAAGGGGGGGGCTATCAAAGCCTCTATCAAGTTTTAAACAGTATACAAAAAAAAAATAATAACCCTCCTCCCTAACCGGAAACTAATTAATGAAAAAATCTTACAAAATGTTACTTCTTCGTGTCAACTTTTTAACTGAACTCTCACGTCTTTTGGGGTTTAGTGTTTAAGCCCAAAAAAAAGGAAAAAAAAAAATTTCGCACACAACAAAGTTGAAATTTCCCTGTTTTCCCATGAAGTTTCTTAGTTAGCCTTGGTTGTTGTCTTTTCATTTCTTCTTTTCTGGTCTTTTCATTCTACTCGGAACTCATTAGCGAATGACGGAGAAATATTCAAGTTCTTTGGCCAACAGCGATGCCAATTTTTCTTTCGAGCCTAAATATAGGAACAAAATGTAGTCATGAAATATGCTTTTAGAGGAATTTACTTTACGAATACGAATCTTAAGAATTAATTTAATATAAAAACCACTATTTTTTTGCAGCAATTACAATATGTAAATTACATTAGCTGACCATGTTTGTGGTTCGTGTTTGTTGTTTCTGTTTGCCGGCGGACATTGAATCACCGTTAGCTAAACGAGAGGCAGCCAGGTGGAAAATTCATAGGTTGGCCCGTAGGTAGTTGCTACATCCGCTGCTGTTTATTCTTTTTATTTTTTCTTTTGTACATGCCACTTCTTTGGGTTTTGTAAGCGGAAAAGATGACGTAGCAAAAAGAATAACGGACTGTGCAGAGTTCATTGCACTCAATTAAAATTACAAATTGTTATTAAGAAAACAATTAAAGGTTGTAACTCATGGTTACTGAGGTTTAGAAGGGTTTCAAATTAAATGAAAAATGTATTTTAATGGATAGAAGTTCTTTTTTAGGATTTATTTTGTTGTTAATAAACAGAAGAGATCAAAATTCGAAAGGTTTCCTGCTAAAAACTAACTAATATTCCTTTCTAACTGCCCAAAAAAAAATCCAAATAAATTTCTAAAACTTAAATATTACAAAATAAACCATTTGATAATTACAAAACCAAACTCACCTGCAGGGTATGAAGCGGTCGAGTGATGTGGGTGTGGTGGACGATTCGATATTATCGAACAGATTTCTGGCCACAGGACTGCAGTGCTTGAGGATGCGTTTCTCATATTCGGGACTAAACATCTTATCGGCTATCGTAACTAGCCACGTGTCCTTCTTTACACAAAATATTCAACACAAATTTAACCAAAACAAAACTTGCAAAAAAAAAAAGCCGTTCAAAAAATATATAAAAAAAAAATAAACGATAATTTGAAATCTTGATTCAAGTTAATACTACGAAAAACTGGTAGAAAATATATATATATACGATTTATATACGTTTGCTCTGCAAGAGATAAGAAAAAACAAAATAATTAATTAGAATGGTTTCTCTATGTATTTGGTATCTGTTTTTTTTTTTTTCGAATTTAAATAAAATTGTAATTTATTTGTGATGTTGCCTGACTACAACGACATTTTGGCTTTAAAGCCATTAATCAACGTCTGAGATTGAATTCTTGTTTTTTTTTTTTTTTTTGCGTTTGTTGGGCGCTTTAAGGCCTGGCTAATCAGCCTGGCAATTGCCTTTCTATTTTCGAGTCTTTTTCGCACCCATTTCGTTGGGGGCGTATCAATCACAGAATAGAACACAATAAATAGGGGCGACGAAGGGGCACCGAGTTGGCTGTCATGTATTTTGGATGTATCTTCCCTCGGTTGCGTTCTGCATACGGAAAAACATTCGAAAAGAATGGCTCAGACTTCCAAGATCGAAGCTAGAAATACCCCTAAAAAGGGTAGCCATTAAGCTGGGATCTCTAAAAGATATAGATAATATCTCTAGAAATTGTTTAAAATATTAATAATAGGGTCTACAAAATTGAACATTTTCCCCCATTTTTTGTAACCAAAAGTTAAGAAAAAGAACTCAAAAAATAACTAAATTTTCACATACATAAAAACACTTAACCATTCTTTAGTTACTTTCTTTTAATAACTTCTAATGTACTTTTTTTGCAATATATTTTACAATAATTTACTGCCCACAAAATGTTAATACCCTTTGTTAAATATGAAATATGATCAGCCCTTTCGGCTGCTAATTAGATCCGCCCCAGCGATCTATTTGAAATTCCGTAGCCCCTTCTTCTCTGAAACTTTTTGTATTTATTAGTTTTATATTCCTAGCGTGCTTGGTAGTAATTAATTTATGGGCGTTAAGTGTTGCTTGTTTGCGGCGGCGCTGCTAGCTTTTCTTTTGGAAAAGGTGTTTTCTCCTAGTTTTTTTTTTGCCTTTTTTTAAGGAACTTTCAGAGCCACAGCAGCGTAACCAGAAACAAAGAACTTACTCAGGCCAAACACTTCCGCATCGAGTTTAGTATTACAACTTTTTTCTTCTTCAGATTCCCTTCTATATTGTATTTTTAATATTTTTTTTTTCCTTTTTTTATACTTTTTTTTTTTTTTTTTGCTTTAGAAAATATAATATATAAACTTGTAACACAAATAACTGAAGACTGACAAGAGACAACAAACGACAGGTTACTACTGATCCGACAGGAGAATAAAAACTCAGTTTTATGGGTTTTCGTCGATATTCGTCGGAGGGTTGAATGGAGATAAAGATAAAGCTATTGACTCGCAGGTACCGCCCTCGGCAGGTACTAAGAACTGAAAATGCTGATAACTCCAAATACCGAATACAATGTAAATATTTATCTTCCATTATATACCTACATATATATATATATATATATATATACATATACATAAATCCATGACTCAAGCCCCGGTAATATAATTAAAGCCGGCGACTTAACTTGCTGATAACAGGGAAATTAAGGCGAAAGCGATAAGGCTTATATATACATATAGGGGCGCCTTTTAATACCACAAAGGGGGCGTGGCAGGGGGGAAACTTGGGGTAGGATTTAATTATATAAACGCCCGTTTTGACTCACAACGATGAGATAGGCGTGTGAAAATTGAAGTCATGTAAATAAAAAAGGGGATATTTTATGGGGTCCCAGACGATTTCAGTAGTAGAGCTCTCTGGGGGAGGTATATGTTACGACAGGGAAAATCCCTGGTAAGCAAACACAAAATTAACCCATTGATTGATTAAGGTTGTAGGTTGGTTGGTCGAATTTAAGGTATATCATTTTATATTTTAAATATATTAAATTCTACTTTATAAACTTTGCTATATATTATTTTATATATTTCTTTCAGAATTACTACTTCTTCAGATGACTTATACAGTGGATTAAAGATCATAGATTAAGGTTGATCAATTAACTTTAACTTTGGTTATATTTTTTTCAGAAATATTTTTGGTAACTAAATTTTACCCAGCACAAAATTATCTAAATCGAAAAAGGGATATTTTAAGGGTGTTATTAAATGACATTTTTGCCACCCCCTATTTTTTCCTGTCCTTGTGATTCCCATTCGCCTACTTTCTATCACACCAAATGCATTTTATGGAAGGTGACACGTCACACGGGGGAGAGTCACTTTTCACTTTTCACGACCTTTCCCATCTGTCTCTCCTCTCTCACTCTAACACACAACCATATACACAGTGATCAAGGACAATGAACCTATCCAGTTTTTGTCCCTTTCACTCTGTCTGTGATCTAAGACAATCTGTTTACATTAAAAACATGTGCTGGTAGTACTATTTTTAGTGTATGACTTTAAAAGACCGAGTGGGAAGGTCAACTTTGCAGGGGGAGAAGAAAAGAAGAGGAAAATAAAGATAAAGAATGCTGCTCTGTGGGAGAAGAAAATGCCAAGGAAATTCCATGGACTATAAATACAGCACAAAAACCGCAGTGGACGATAAGAAAAACCCGGGGGATGTGGTTAATTTAGTCTGCACCTCGCCGAGTTTCTTCTTTTCGAAATATATTTTTACGCCTTATCAGAAACGTAAACTGGATTGATAACGACCACAGACAACAACAAAAACAACCCCACCACACATGGGAAAGTAAGAGGGAGAGAGACTTAATGGGAATAATCGATGGTCACAGAAACAAAAACAAGAAAATTGCAATTATGTCAAGGACATGGCGTCTAATATGCCAAAAACACACTGCGTTTAAATATTTAACTTGGCAATTTGCACTCACAGATGTTTTTTTTTTTTTTTACTATTGTTATTACTTTTCCAATTGTGCAGAGAGGTAGACCTAGAGAGAGACAGAGGGTGAGAGATCGCATTACTCTCCCGTATGCAAGCTCTATCCCCCTTGCACACAATGTACAGCTAGCAATGGAAAATGGAAAGAAAAAATAAAGAAGAAGAGGCAAGAGAGGGGAGAAAACGACGGTTATCTGTGCCAGTCGTAACTGTTAAAACACACTGACACACACACACACACACATATAGAGACACTTTTCCACACTTTTAGTTTTCCATTCTATATGTATTTTCCAATATTCCATTGGTAAACTTACGTTTTTTGAATGATTCAAAGTGTTTAGTTTTACGCGCTAAAGACGGTTAATTTTGATTTTCGGACAGCAGGACGCGACGCAAACGCCTTTTTTTCTTGTTGTTTCGTTTCCCTTATTTTGCCGCTGCCACTCTGGGAAACTCTTGCAACTGCCGCTTTACTTTTGGGGGTTGTTGTTTCCGTCTTTTTGGAGTTTATGTCTTATTACACGGGCGGTTTTTAGTTTTTGAGCGGTGCGCGATTTCTTGTTTGTCGACTGCCGCTGCTGCTTCCTACATTACAACAAAAATGTTACGATTTTTCACGCAAACAAGCCAAGATGTAACCGTTTGTCCAGTGGCTAAAAAATACCCACAAAATGCAGCCCTAACTTATCAAAAATACTAGTTTTTACTATAAAATACCGATTTAGACCAGGTCAGCTGGTCGAGCCGTTATATTCAAATGTTGACAAATAATTCAATTTCTTTAATTTATTTTACAATACTTTAAGTAAAATAAATATTTTTTAATAAAATAAAAAACATGTTAGCTTTTTATTAATTTGTACTCTTGTTTATGTAATTTAAAAAAATATATATGAAATTTATTTTATACTAAATCGATATCAATGTGACCAATAAAATTAGAAAATGTTATCGCTTGCACTGAAAAAAAAACACCCTAACTAGAAGAACTATTTTAAAAGAGTATCTCAACTTAGAAATTCAAGCTCTTAAAACATATTTCCGAATATTTCAGATTTCTATATTCATTTGAATACATATTTTCTATATCGGTTTGAGAAGCATAAAACATTTTAGATTTTTATATTCATTTGAATACATATTTTCTTTATCGTTTTAAGAAGCATATAAAAAACAGTTTTAATGTGTTTCTTATAAAATATGATATACCCTTGTAAATTATGGTTTTCGGTAGTCCCCAAAATGATTAAAATCAAAACGAAATACTCAAAATTATTTATGCAAAAATATCATATGTATTTCATTGGATAATGCTTAATGCATGAAATTAATGCGCAAACGCAAGTAGTTTAAAAATGAAGAACATAAAAAAAAATGGGAATATAAATGATTAAAGTTATTAGCATCTCTCTTGTTAACATAACTTATCATCTAGCTTAGACAACTTAGCGTAAAACAGTTAAACATAGGAGACAAGATAAATACTATCAGATGTGCTGTACCATGGTTCTTGAAATCTTGAATATTTTTTAATTTGAAAAATTACATTTATATTGAGGGGGAAAACGGTCGGATGTTGGAGAACTGCTTAATACAGGCAATACAAAAAATATATGTATATATATCTCTATATTCTATACACTAACTGTGATTTTATAGCTACACTATGAATTTGTTTTATTATTAAGGCTTAGATATAAATATATATATATATATAATATATCTATATATATTATAAATATATTATATTATAAATATTTATATATCTATGTGTATTATGTGGCTTATATAGTTTCTTCTATATACATTAAAACGATATATCCGATGTGTGTGTGTGTGTTGTGCACATAAAAAAAAATTTAAATTACACATTTTTGTAATTTCGAAAAAGTAGAACTAAGATTTTAGGTTTTCCGTTGCTTAGGATTTGTACTTGCAAGTTGCTCGCCCCGCTTAATTTTGCGTTTTCTTTTCATTCTCATTTCAGTTTAGCTTAGCGCCTTCGTGTGGGGATCGTCGAAGCTGTTAGAGATGGTCCTGGCGATCCAGATCCTGGAGCTCCCGCTGTTCCTCCTGCTGCCGCCGCCCTACTCCTGGCACTATAACAACTAATGGCTGTTATAACGTTGCTGGAGCTGCCACTGCTACTTCTCAGAGACCACCGTTTGTTCAGGTGATCCGGATCCGCTGCTGCCAAGGCTGCTGTATAAGCTCGAGTTCCAATCGCCAGGGTCGGCACAACTGCATTAAGTTTCTTCGGAGATGGTGGGGGTCGTGCGGATATAGCTCCATTGCAGGCCTGCAGACGATTAGGTTTCGAATTCGAAGAAGATCCACTGCCGATTAGGCTACTTCCGCTGGAGCTGGCACTCAGGGTGCTACGTCGCAAACTCCTCCTTTGCTCACGATCCTCATGGGTGCGTTTCAAGCGCCTGGCACTGTTGGTTGCGGAATTGGAGCTACCATTTCCCCTGACCGAACTGACCGGATTAGTTGGTGTGCTAAAATTGCCCTGATTATTGACTCCACTTGCAGGTGATGAGCTGTTAACAGGTGTGGCTCCTCCTCCTCCAGCTCCGACAACCGAAGCAGGAACATTCCTTGTTCTCAGCGTTCGCTTGGTCATGTCTAGACCTAGAGCCAAACCCAAAGAGCAGATACTGCTACGCAACTGCCGCTTGTTAACACCACCGCTGGCAGTTAAACTGTGACTGCGACGGGTCATCATCATTGAACTGCTGGCCACAACATTAGCTCCATTATTGCCACTAGAACTGGCCACTACATTGACGCTTCGACGGCGATTTGCCGCTGCCGCTGGACTGTTGATGACGCCACTTGCTGTGCCACCACCACCACCTACTCGTCCTTCGGATGAATTACCCGGCGATCCGATTGCTCCTCCTCCGACTGTGCCACTGCTATCGCCATAGGCAACAATAGCCGCTGCACTGTCTGCTATAAAGGACTTTGGTTTGCTATGCTTGAACATCTGGCGGCGACGTGTCTGCATGTGCTGGTGATTCTCATTGGGCACGTTTCGATAGCGTCGCATTTGGCGCATACGCGGGGCAGACATGGATCCACACAGTCCCGCAGACTCACTAGACAGAGCTTCACTTAGAGATGAATTGGCAGCAGAGGCCACGGGTGAGATCTCTGGTTCGTGCAGCTTTTGGATCTGCCCAAATTTGTAGTGTACTGTATTGGGATCCTCTTTGCGGATTTCGGCCACTGTTTCCAGCACAGCAACGAGTCCTTGATCCTGTTTGACTTCCTGCTTCGTTGGCAGCTTCTTTTCTTGCTTGGGCAAAGGTTTTTCCATCTCGGGTAGCTTTTCCTGAACTTTTTTCGACTCTTTCTTTTCCCCAAGCAGTTCTATATCCACCTGAGTTGGTGTGGCAGGCAGAGTAGAGCTCACTTCGTTGTCCTGAAGCTCCTGTTCTTGCACAATCTCAATGTCTATTACACGGGCTTCTAACTCCTCCTCTTCCGATATCGTTTCACTCCATTCGGCAGCGGCGGCAATCATTGGGAAAGCAAATTCCTGCTGTCCTGAACTACTGATGGCCTCCACCTCCATTTGCTGCTCACGCTGCAGCTGCTGCTCCAGGGCCACCTGCTCCTCTTCGGCTCGCTCCTGCTGCAGCAGGGCATCCAATTCGATAAGCTCTGCCGGCTGTTGAGGCCACGTTTCGGTTAGCCGTTCTCTTTCACGCCTGGTTTCAAGCTGGGTTAATGAATAACCCTCTTGCTGCTGATAGTGCTGCTGTTCCTGGATAATCTCCAACATGCTACGATCCACCACAACGGATGCGGAATGGGCAGTGGTTTGTTGTGCTTCTACTTCAGCTGCTGCTGAACGGGAACGCGCCTCCTGTTCCTCCTGTTCGTTTAAAAGCGAGTTGTACGACTCGGCGAAACTATAGCTACTTTCCAAATGTTGCTCCAATTCACTTAGCTCTCGATTTTCAGCCCTTTCCGATGGACTAATTACTGGCGGTGCTATGCTGTTGGCATAAATGGCGCACTTATCGATGGTGGTATGAGAATACATGGTCAATGCTGAGCCATCCAATCGATCTGGCTCAGGATCGGGTTCTGGTTCGGTTTCGCCATTCCAGGAATTGTTAATGATCGACTTGCGCCACGTTTTCCTTGGGTTGAACAAACTCTGTTGCAAAAGACCAACTGATTTAGGCTCCTCTTCCTCGGAATGCTCTTCCTCCACAGTCTCATCATCTTCTTCGTGTTCATCCTCGTCCAGGCCAAAGTAATCGAAATCACGGAAGGCTTCTGGTGGTAAATGCCGCTTGGCCAAGGCACTGTACGGCTGTTCAAGCACATACTCATCCTCCTCGATAAGAAAGTCGGGGTAGTTGTTCTCCATATCCAAAGGGGGCAACTCCTCGTCGTCTTCTTCCAGTAAAAGTTCTACTTCAAGATCTGTATCGCGTGCCATCGCGGATTGGGACCGAGCTGGCGTGGGTGAATTATTGTGGGCCGCTGGTGTTAGTATCACAGTAACAACGGACGTATTGTCCGCCCGCATCTTTTTGGCGGCCCAGGTTTTGAGAGCTTGATCCACTAGAGCCTTGCTGGGATTCATAACGTCCTGTTCATTGAGTATTTCGCCTATTAGATGTTCCTTGCGAACACTATCCACCGCTTCCTGGGCGGTCACCACATTCCACAGACCATCGGTGCCAAAGATTAGGCATCTGCGAGATTTATATTATATTTAATAATGTAGCAGAAAAATCTCCAAAAGAAATACTTACCTAAAGGTACTGGGATCGATTTTGACCACCTTAACATCTGGATCCGGACTTACAACAAACTCCTTGAAGCGGGAATTATAGCTCCAGAGATCGCCCAAAGAACGGGCAACCGCTAGAAAAGGTATATCATCGACTTGAGTTCTACGACGAATAGGACCGCGATGCATTGGATCCCTTGGACGATTCCATACAACACGTGGAACTCCCGATTTGATGGCCACATTACCACCGGCCCGCTGGATTCTTGTCTTCTCCGCAAGTGATTCCGGTTTGTGGTCCGTAGTTAGTGGGCGAGCCCGCCAGTTGCGTTCGCCTTTTAACTGGTAACCCAAAACGATCCCAGAATCACCCACATGACCGATGTATATTTTTTCACGACGCATGAAGGCCACTGTGGCGGTGGTGCCAGCGGTGCTTAGGTGACCATTGGCAGTACGCGGCCATTTCTCTGCGGGATTAGGAAAGGGAAATACCGCGTGATTAGAAAGTTTATAAGGATCTGTTTAAATCGGTAGCCTAAAGTGTATATATTGAAGCCAAAAAAAAAAGTTTAGGTAATCTGGGCAAAGGATTTCACAACCTCATGAAATTGTGTAACAAACTGGAAATAAAGACTAAAAAGCTTTAATCTATTAATAATGCCCATGATAAGAAATACAACATTTACAAACTTAATAACAAATTAAATAACAAAGTAAAAACATTAGCAATACAAATGGTTTTACCAAAACATAATACATATATTAGCCTAGTTTATTTTGGTATTTTACTTCATTTCAAAAACATCTGTCACCATGACAATTCCCGCTAAAATATTTAATTATGCGATGAGTAATAATATTGCAACAGCAACTTTACAAAAAATGGGTAGCTGAAAATGGTTAAAAAATATATTTTCCCTCCCCCCTACAATTTTTTGGCGGTAAAATTGATATTCTAGAATATCAAAACATTATCAAATATTGATATTTTCCCACACAGATACACACATGGCATCCCTTGGATTGCTATGTATTTTGTTTTCGTTATGTGAAGAGGAAATGGGCACACATTTATTTTCTCTTTCCTCCCTCTCCTTCACACCATCACTCTCTCTCTGTCTTTCTCGCATTTCGAAACGCCTTATGGGTTTACGCCACCATATGGTGCTCCTGCTCTAACTCACAGCGGGGTTGCCATGCTTGGCGAGAGTACAGCCATATGGCAAGCCCATGGAATATTCCACTCGCGATAACTGTGCATGTATATGTCTGTGTATCTGTATCTTTTGGTGTGGGCTGACAATAGAGATGAGCGATTGAACGATGGTTGAGTCATCGTCGCACACGGTTGCATAATTGCCTAGTGATGGGATACCCAAGGGATCTGATACCGTTTTGGGGTCACTTTTTTTTTTTGCTGGGGGCGGCAAAACGGCAACCCTGATAACGGGGGAATTACCCGATTTGAATATCAACTACTTGTCAGTTATTTAATCTTCTGCGTGAGTTAAGCGCACGCTCATCACTAACGGCCGCCTGGCATTGGCAACAATTTGAAAACTAAATTTCATGGCAAAACGTAAATTAATACTAAATACAAATAATATAGAGGTTGAGTTTCAATATAAATGATATTCATAATTACGAAAAACATGCTGTTTCTTAAATAGGGATTTAAAGTATCAGATTTATGTATTTTCCAGCATTTTAAAGACATTATAAACTAATTTACTAATTACTTTCATATCGAAATGTTAAGATATATCTCCTGATATGATTTCTTACCTTGTTCCCGCCACATGGCGAAATGTGTGGCGATATATCCCTCGCGTATCGCCCTCAAGACATCTTCATCCTGATCCGACCAGAACTGTTTCTGCTTGACAATCTCCAGCATTAGGTGTTCCTTAGCGAAAAGCGCAGCTTCCGGACCGCCGTGTCCATCGTATATGCCAAAAAATGCATATTCCAGTTCGTGAGTGATTGGTGATTCCTGATAGGCGACGGAGAATTGATCTTCCATATATTTCCGGCCGCCCTGGCTGCATTGTCCCGTTACGCGCATGTTAACGCCAAGGGAAGAACAGGGCGAGGGATTGGAAGCACTACTTGAACTGGAATTGGAATTAGAGTTGCTACTCGTACTACTGCCGCTGCTCTCTGGAAGCAACTGTTGATGCGGTTGTTGTAATCTCGCTGGAACGATGGCTGCTGACCGGCGTAAACGACTTTGTGCCGCTCCACCGCCGCCTCTAAAGCGATTTGTTGTTGATGTAGAATTTATTTGTTGTTGTTTCTTTGGGTTTAAAGACTTGGCTGGTGATCCATCCTCCACATCCACATCCATGTCCTCTGTTTCGTCGTTTGCCATTACGATTAGAGATTCGTCCAGGTCTGGAATGCTGTTGCTTCTCTCTTTTTCATCTTCTTCAGGCGGTTCTTCCTCCTCAGGCTCACTTTCCGCTGCCGGTGCAACAACAACAACAGTACTGTTGGCATCCAGTGCTGGATGACAATCACTGTTATTGTTGTTGCCGTTGGGGCGAGAAGAGGACAGCTGCTGTCTGGGATTAACGGATACGCAGGGCGTAGTTGTTGCTGTAGTTATACTATTATTATCCGCATAATAGTTTATAATTTCATATTCCATACACGGAGCATCTGTATCCTGGGAAGTATCGCTAGTTGCCGATTCCCTTAAACGAACTACCGTTCTTTCTATGGCCGACTTGATTAGGCATTTATTGGTATTGGTTGTGGCTGCTGTTGTTGTATTTGCGGATGTATTAGTATGGGTATTACTTTTATTATTATTGGCGGGCAACATCTTCATCTGTTATTTTTGTTTTATTCCTTCCCGTGTTTTTGTTTATGTTACCGATGCGGTACTGCTTCTTCTTCTTCTTCCTCCTAGACGTCTTCGTCTCGCAGTGTTGTAATTTCCGATGACATTTGGCACTCTCACACGCACCCAACACAAGTCAAAAACAATATAAAATATATATATATAAAGTACAAGAAAAGGCGATTCAGGCCTCTCTCTCTATCTATCTTGCTCTGACAGCCCTTGCTTAAACCGGCAGAGCAAGCGAGATGACTATATATATATATATATCTATGTATTTAATATATGCTGCTGCTGGTGCTGCTGTGCTGTGTTGTGTATTTACGTTCGCCACTGAACTTGCATGTGTGCGTGCTCCATCTATAGTATTTAGTATTTTGTATTTGCAAATTGTCCGCCAAAATCTGATGAATTTTCCTTTATTTTATGCACCAAATTAAAATTATAGAAGATGCAGATTTAAGTGTTTTTTTTAGTTGGATCGGGTATATATAGAATAGCGTAGATGTAGCGCCCTTTTCTCCAAAACGAAGACTCCAATGCCAGGGCGCGCAGTTTCACCTTGGTGATTTGTTGTTTGCCAGCATTTTCTGCCGTTGTTTGTTTCCTTGTTCTTCTCTTTCTTTCGTTTATCCAGCACTTTTTTTTCTTTCTTGTTTTTTTTTTTGTTTCCAGCACGTACACATCCACACACACAACAACAAAATTCACGGTAAATTGTTTAACAGAAATTGTTGGAAAAAAACGAGAAATCAAATAGAAAGCGTGTGACCGTTGTGAAAGTAGGACGAAAATACCACTCCCGATAGGTCAATGAATAATACTGGAATAACAATAATCGATAATAGGGATGATCGTTTGTAATCGATAAGTACTCGTACTTGTACAAAATGCTAAATATATTATATATTTCTTAATAAGATGGTGATTTAAAAACTAAGAAACAATTTATTCAGGTTTCCTATACCTTTTTTATTTTATAATTATAAAAAAGTTAACTTCAAATATAAAATATTCGATAACTTAACTGGCTAACAAAGGTACCAACTACGACTTAGTAATAATAAGAAACAATGCATTTAGATTAAAAAAATTTATAAAAAATACTTCGTCTTTAATTTTTAAAATTCTAGCATATAATTTATATTATCAAAATAATTAAAATATTGCTTCGTATTTCCTATTATACACAATCTTTTAAAAATAATGAAAGTATCCACATTTCTGCGAATTTTTTAATATAAAACATCATAAAAACTATTTTATATTTTATGAAAAAGTGTTTCTAAACGAAATATCTTATGCTAAGTTATATTGTTAAATATATATAATTAAAATACAATATACGCCTCTTGATAACTATGAAAACGTGCTACTTGTGATACAGCTTTTACACAGCATTTATATGTACATATGTAGTTGTAAAGATTTTACGATATTCAAAATAATATAATGATTTGATATTTATTTAAAATTACGGAAGTTTCTATATCATTTATTTTTTTTGTTATAATTTGTATCTTAAATTAATACTAAGTAATGTATATGGTTTTATATATAATATTAATATACAATATAAACTACTTGATAACTGCGAAAACCTGCTACATGTGGTACTTAGAAATAATTGGAAATACAGAATATATATATTTTTTAAAGTTGTATACATTTTTTGGTATTGAAAAATATGCATATATTGACTGTTGGGGCATTTATTTTAAATTAAAGAATTAGCTATATTACATATATTTTTTTATAATTTTTATCTTTAATATTTATTCTGACTCATAAATATACATATGAATTATGATTTTAAAATCCTTTAATCTTATGCATATATCGATCTTTTTAGCACCAGCGTATGGAATTTACATACAAATTTTGAGCCTTACGTGAATATTTTTTAATCTACAATTTAAGTATTTTATATTTTTAATTATTTTCTATTTAATGTTCTAATAGAAAAAAATAAAAAAGGAAATAATTCAATTAAATTTATTTTCATTTAATGATTTTTACTGATTTTAAAAATCGATATTATTTTAATAGTCAGCTGTTTTTATCGTTAGCAACTCTGATACCAGTACTGCTGGACTTATATACCCATTTATCGAATATAAAGCATTCCCAATTCGATGGTTGATTTTAACAGAAAACAAATGCTTAAAGCAATAAAATGTGGCTCTTTAATATCTTCTTAAATTTAATTTAGTAAAAATATTTGTAACGAGCCCATTTTAACTGTTAATATCACCAATATTGTTATCGAGCCACCGATAACAGCCATCACTGGTGCCAGACGCAGCCTGCCAGAAGCGGCCTGCCAGACGCCGCCCGGTACCGACCAATCAGGAAGGCGTACGATTCGCATGTCGGCGCTTGTCGTCCGATAAATCGAAATCGAAACCCGAAATCGAAGCCGTTGCTTAGTTTATCACCAGCAAGCAAACCGCTCAGTAGTTCCATTTGCCGAGCTGCCAGACCGACCTGCTTCCATTCACCGTTTCCAGTATAACAAATCCAGGCGACTACGCTTAGCGGTAAAAACACCCACACACCCACGCACAACAAATCTTCATAGGGCCATATATATATATACATATATATATAAAACTATTTTTTTCTTGTTTGTTAACCCGGTTTTGGAAACTAAAGAACGAAAATTTCATCTGCTATTTGTTGTACAACACATTTTTTTCACGTTCTCTGTTCTCGAAGAAAAAAACAAGAAAAAGTGCAAAAAGCCGCGGCGTGCTAAATTTGTATTGCGTGCAAAATTGTTAAAAAGGAAAAAAAACAAGGCAACCCATACACACGCATTCAGTTTTTTTACACGCTGCTTCTAAATTTTTTTAAAGTTCGAGTTTTATATTTCATTAGAATATTATTTCGGTGACAGCTGTTGAACTCCAAGTGAAAAAAATCGCGCGCAATCAGCAAAAATTAAAAGGTAAGTACTGCAAATAGAATATAACAATTATCGTGTGTGAATGTTCTTGAATACAAAATGCAACGTTGTGCAATTTTAATAATGCGAAAAATTCCCATAGTGTAAAAGTATGTGGGAGAATACAGGGCACATGTATGCCGTGTTCTTTTTTTTTTTTTTTGCTATTTTTTTTTTTTGGAGCTACGGTGAAATCAAGTTTTCGGGTTGACGTCATTTTAATTATGCATAGAAACGCAGGTAATGGGCGAAAATTTTGGTCAGCGGTTTCGTTGTCGTTTCCGCTTCATATTCAGCGAACATTTTCGGCTAACGATTGATCAGGTGTCGAAGGTTTCAGGTCTTTTGCCTTATTAGGCTGGTTAAAATGCGCTAATTAGAGAGCAGGATGAATCCTACATTGAAAATTCGCGGGTTTCCAATTGCAAACGGAAAATTCAATTATCCTGCATGCATGTGCATCAGTATGTGGGCGTCGGATGGCCAGCAAAAAGCGCTGCATACTTGCAGGTGCAGGTCCCGGTCCTCTCGTTCTCTCTCTTTTCGCTGTCAGCCTGTCATTTATAATTTCATTTCATGTCAATGTTTTTGTGTGTGTGTGTGTGTGTTGTGTCAGGAACACTGCACACACAAAAAAAAGAAAGAAAAACAAGCACGGTTTCGCGCTTCTCTTGCTCATAAATATACAACTTGTGCTCTCTTCCGCTTCCTGTTCCTTCCTTGCTCTTCATCCGTCGCTCTCTCTTTCTGTTTAACTGTCAATGCAGTTTTCTAATTGACTTCATCAGAAGAGCAAGAAGAAGAGGAAGATGATAGAGCTAAAGAGGATGCTCTTGCCATCATCCATACACATACGCACATGCCATCCCTCTCACTCCATTGCCTTTGGCCACCTGTCAACTCTCGGTTATCTCCCTTCCACTCCTCATCTCCGGTCTGTCCATTCGCCCACTAACTGTTTTGCCTCCTTTGCCGTTATGATTTGTCTACCCTGCACTTTACTGTCAAACGTCAAAAAAACGAATGAACCTGTTAAATCGTAACAAATTTCAGTCTCAGACAAAGTGCTCAAGGGGAAATGTCATATCAATTCAGAAAATAAACGTAAAACGAACATTGAACACATCGGAAATTAATATCGTCGATCTCTGTTCCTGAAATGAGGATAAGCCACACAGAAGACTAAAGACTTCCAGATAGACATAGAAGCTTGCAAGTGAAACGCATAGGTAATAAATCTCTTATGGCTAAGATTATACTAAAACCTTATAAGTAAGTAATTAAATTCTTAAGTATTTGCTATTTTAATGGAAGAGGAAGGAAGATTTTTGAAGAATCCAAGATATTAATGAAGTTTATTTCTATCTTCAGTTTCTTATTATCCATTCAAGTTTTCTATTAAAGGATAATAATTTGAGCTCATCCATTTATAAAAACCCATTCCTGTCCGTATCAGTTACTTGTAGATTTATTGTAGGCAATCCTGACTGTACAAGTAAAATTGTTTACCGAAAAGGGGAGGAGGGGTGGGCTATTTTTTGTTATTAGTTTTATGTAGAACTTTGCTGGTCGCTTTAACTTTGACGCTTTGGCGTTTTCCAGTAAATTCGAGGAGAGTGGAGGGAATATATTGGATAGTGCGAGTGGGTGCCAGTACAAAGAGCCGGGTATCCTAGCGACTAAATTTGGTTGCGGTTGCTTTTGCCATGCCACGCCACTTTGGTACCCTTGCACCCACTTGGCCATATTCACGACCACCCACTTTTCCGCCCGTTGATTCTGAGGTTGCAATTGCAAAATGCCAAGCGCACTTAGTGAGCTCTATACGTTGGTATTTTGTGCTGTTTGCTTTGCTTTAGCCATGCTTTTCCTATGCTTTTCTAGCAACTAATAAGCAATGCCACTGCTCGCAAAAGTATGCTACGAAAAAAAAGAGCAGTTGCAATGGGATAACTGTGCATGTGTTTGTGTATGTTTGAGCCTTGAATTTGAATTAGTTGTTGGTGTTGTTATTTCGCAGTAGCCGTAGCAGCAGCAGCCTCTCTGTCATGGCCAACCATGTATGTATGTGTGCGAGGAAAATGCTAGAGGGAGAACGAGCATCTGCTCAAGGCCATGTTGCAGTGCACTGCTTGTGCTGCCATCTCGTTTGCTCTCTTCCATTTAAATGCATGCTGCATATGCATATTGCCTGTTAATTGGCATTGGTATGTGTGTGCGAATGCCTCTCCTTGCATGTGTGTGTGTGTGTGTTAATATGTCATCCTGTGGCTCTGATATTTGATTTGTAATACTGCCGCTTGTATTGCTGCTTGTGTTTCTATAATTAAATTGCCTGGCTCTTCTGCTGTATGCAAACTGTCCCGAAAAAGTATGCAATGCGCCTGCGTTAATAATTCGTACACTTGAAAAGACTTAAGGGGTAACCAATAACTATATAATATATGAATAAAACTAAACCCTCTTTTAGTAATAAGGGTATCAAAAGGATTGACTTTAGAGTTTAGATATAGTATAGATTTTCATTTATAATAATATAAGAATGAGAGGCAATGGGAATTGTTTCGGGTGTATTAGATATGTGTGTGTGTGTGTGCTGTGTGGATGCTAACTTGATTAAAACCCGCTCTTTAATTGAAGAAAATGCTAATAATGTTGCACGATGCGCTCGCCTCTCTTCAGTGGCGTTGCTCATCTCTCTCTCTCTCTCTCTCTTTTATCATCTCTCGTTGCAGTTGTGAAGCCAAGCAGCTAAACAAGCGCCACTTTTCAAACGATTTGAATCGAGTGCAGTTGTAAACACACGCAGAGTTAAAAACATCAGCCAAAATGTCTGATCGCAAAGCCGTGATTAAAAATGCCGACATGAGCGAGGAAATGCAGCAGGATGCTGTCGACTGTGCGACACAGGCCCTCGAGAAGTACAACATTGAAAAGGTAAGCTAATATGCTAAAATATGTTTTAAAATTTTAGTTTTAATTATTGGTATTTAAGCAGTGTAGCTGGTTTCTAATAAGATTATTTTTAGAACTTAATACCTTATAGGAAACTATATAAAAAGCTTGGTAAAATTTAGTCTCATAAATGAAGTCATCTGAAAACCAAAAATAGAAAAGGGTTTATATTCAATCATGCCCAATGATTAGGGGATGAAAGAAGGATTAGAAATAGAGAATGGATGGGACACACGCACAACAGGTGTTTTTTTAGTGGGTGGTATTTAGGCCTAAAACCAAATTGTATTGGCCACTAAATTTGATTGGAAAATGCTGTAAATGGTTTTTAAATACCAAAACTCATTGGCCTGTTGTCCGCGGTGTATGGTCATTAATTAATCAATGGGAAATCAACAATTTTCAGTTTGATCAACAAACTGGCTAAAATTGATGTTCAAACACACACAACTTTTGTGCTATTGTTGTGTTTTACATGTGAAATTAATTAGATAAATACATAAGTCTCTCATTCCCTGGGGAAAACCAACAGAAATTAAAGGCTTCGGTTTATTATTTTGCCAAACACAAGGTAATTAGAAATTAGAGACTGGCAGAGCAGCAACAGGATTATTATTTTGGACCAAAAACCGTAATTAAATTGGATTTACTACACGCATGCAAACACACACACACACACATACGCATATACACCTGGCTTTTTCATGGCTTTTTCCATAGTTTACCCTGTTCGGACATTGTTGCATCTCTCGTACGAGTATGGAAACATAAAACCCAAAACACTTTTGCCCACACTCTCATTCTCTTGCTCTCTCTCTCTGTAAACTTGTGGTTTGAACTGCGTTTGGCAATTTCACAATTTTGCGGTGCTGTGCGCCAGCCTTTCGGTTTTTCCCACCGCCCAACGCCTACTTCCGTTCAATTTCGTCCCGCCCACATTTCCATTTCCACTACCATTTCCTTCACTGACTCAACCCACTCACGAATCCTTCCAGTCGCCTACACGAAACTGCGTCGCAGTTTTTCCTTTTTTTTTTTTTTTTGGTTCTCTCGATGGGGGAAAAAAACTCCTTTCAACAAACAATGTGCAATATTTGCCTGCATTTTCCGGAATTTTTGTTTGTTTGTTTGTAATTTTATCAATCTTAACCTTTGCCCTTATCATTGTCCAGCTGCACTTTTGTTCGGCAAAGGCCAAAGCATTTCATTAACAATGGGAGACCGCGTATTTACAGTTTGCAAACAAACAAAAAATATGCATTTTTCCTTTATTAAAAATTCAAAAAAAAAAAAAAAGAAGGTTAAGAGAAATGAATCTGTAACCTGGATTATTGATTGTGATCAATATTTGCCTTATTGCTGTTACAAATCAAACAAATAAAAAAAGATTTATCTATTGAAAAATTTAATTAAATCTGAAAAATAAGTAAAGACCTTTTAGCTTTCATTAAAGTTTAAGAACAAAATTAAAATAAAATGCAAATAATGGCAATATTAGCTTTTCTGTAAACGCAATTTTCCGTGACTAACCTTTCGGTGAATTTAGTAGCCCTGAATTAAAGAGATTTACTTAGAAGAATGTACGTTGTGAGAGGATGGAAGGTGGTGGTGTGGAAAATCGGCGGAGGAGGACTGACCATCATTAACAATGTCCGGCAAAAAAACAACAACTAAAATAAGCTCTTGATTTAGTCGTCTGTGAATGCAAAGAACAACAACAACAATAACAACGGCAACAATAACAATAAAGAAAAACAAAATCAGCCAGCAATGTCAACAAAGTCGAAGAAATTGAATAATCAATAGATGTCCACGGGGTGGCATTAGAGGGGGGGCGGGCTGTGTAGTGCGATTGAAGGAAAACTGCCAAGCACACACACTACTTATGTACTCGTACACAGGGAAAAATAGGGAAAATCAAGATGAAAGGGGGGGGTGGTATAAGTTTATGTAAGTCTTATTACGAAATCAAAAGGTTTCAAATGGAAATTTCTAATATTTTTCTTATTGTTAAAGAAATTAAGATGATATTGGAAATCCATTTTTAAGGCATTTTAGTAAATAGTTTGATCCGTGTACTTTCTGGTCAAAGTGCGGACCCTGACTGAGGTCAGTGAAAAATATGGCTGGCGGGAAAAGGAAAGAAGGAAGGAAGGAAAAGCGGGCTGGAAAAACTGCGGGGGATTGCCATCAACTAGCGGGCCTTTGTCAATGCCAATGGCAGAAGACAACACACTGAGACTCTGAGACTGCGATTCTGCGACTGAAACTCTGAGACTGAGACACAGGCAAAAATGAAAATGAAAATGGAAATGTAGATGAGGTGTGGGAGCAATGGTGAGGGTAGACTGGGTTAGGTGGATAAGGAGGGGGGTTAAAACGAACGCGCGCGGGGCCCTTGAAAGCAAAGCAAAGCAAAGTAAACTTGAAATCACAGCGGAAGTGGATAAAAGGCCAGGGGGGAAAATGAAGAATATACGTTGGAGGAAAATCCCAGAAAGTGAGGAGGAGGGAGGGACAAAGCGATTCTGCTAATTGAGCAGTAAAAGCAAAATGTGCGTATACAGTGGATATCGGTTAACAAAAACAATGGAAAAACAAACACAAGTTAATTACAGCAGAAGTTGTCTTTTAAGTAAAGAAAAAGAAATGTATAAAAAAAAAGAGGAAAAAGGATTAAGTTTGTTTAGTAATCTTAATGAAAGTATTAAGATTACTAAGCTATTTCATTTCTAAAGTAAATTCAATTGATTTTTTGTTGTTAAATTTATGTTTTTAAGTTATCTTTTCTGCATATGTTTAGTTTTTTTAAGAATAGCCTCAAAATGGTTGGTGTAACAAACTCTAACTAACATATTTAGTACCAAAAAAACAGAAATATTTTAATTAATAACTAGCAGTGATTATCTTAAATATAAATTCCTTAGATTCTTGTTAACACCAATTAAAGTATATTTTTTACTATAAGCAGCAGGACCTGCTGATCCTAAAAGTAGGCTTCATATTTTGTTTTTATTCGCGCACTCCTCTTCTTGAATGTTGTGATTGTGGTATGGAAATTATCTGAGAGACTTTTAAAATAAGGAGGTGGAAAATAAAGTGTTTGGGGGGGGTTGGTTTGTAAAAAACACCCTCCCCTTGTTTGACACCCACTGCAAAATAAAACACCTGAACCACCCATTTTTGAGCCTACCTCTTGTTGCTATAAATAAAATATATATGCCACTCGATTGATTGCCTTTTTGTCTTTACTCTTCCTTTTTTCCCCTGTCGCTGCTCTCGCTCTTCCTCTAACCACTGCTTATTGCATAATAATAAGTTAACCATTATTTCTCACTGTGCATATATACTCGTATATATCTCTGTGTGTGTGTCTGTGTGTGTTTTCTCGTAGGTAATTAAATATGGATTTTTGTTTTTGTTTGTGCTGCGAGGCAAAAACACAAATTTAATTGCTTAGATGAAAATTGAAAAATTGCCGCAGTCTCTCTGTCTCTCTAATGGAAAAAAATGAATAATAAAAATAGAATAAAATTTGAAGGAAACCGAAAAATACACAAAAATAAAAATTAAAAAGAGAGGAGAAACCAGTGAACGCAAACTTTAACCTTTAGATGATGCTGCCGGGGGGGGGGATAGGAACACAGGCATCGAATTGACATGGAATTGAAAGGGATTTGGCCATTGCAAGTTTGGCAAGTCGTTCGGCCAAATAGTTTTTCTCGAATCAATAATTGACCTGGTAAAATCTTTTCTTGGATTTCCTTATTTCCCAGCTGATTATAAGTTCAAAATTCCAATCAGAGCGCGACACAAATGCAAAAAAAAAAAAAGAAAACAATAAAAAAAAAGAAAATATAAGGGGGGCAAAAAACAATTTTTGGTATCCATTAGATACGCAACTAATACTACTAGGGGGGAAAAAAAGGGAAGGAAAGGGCAGCCCCTTGGGGGCGCACAAGGGTTAAGTTCGGCCCCATTGGTTGTGGTACCTTGTGTATATATTTTTAGGGGTGCGCAACCTTTCAAGCAGCTTAAATCGTATCCATAGGCATTATGTTGCCCCCAGTATTTCTATGTATTTTTGTATCTGTATATGTATGTGTGTGTGTGTGTGTGTGAGCCGCGATTTAAAGGCAAAGCCCTAAATAAGCCAACAAGAGGGCCAAAAAAAAAAAATGGAAGAGGGGAAAAACAGCAAGGCAGCTGAATATAATTTTTCAATTCAATTATTTTAGAGTCTTAGCTGTTTTTTTTTAATAACTTAATTAGTTTTCTAGAACAGAAAGAACAAAATTAAAGTTTAGGGAAGGCGAAACTATAATTTAAGTTAATATTTTAGATTAAATAAGGCAATTATTCTTTGAAATTTGGTTGGTTTTCCAATTTTTTTAAGTCTAAAATATTAACAATATTTGTTTTTATATAACTAACAGTCCACTTTAGTTAGTTTTACTGAAAAGAAGACAATAAAAAGTTAAATCAATGTAAGTACGACAGGAACAATGACAGCTTTGATGGAAGACTATTTGAAAATAGAGGGGAAAAATAACAATGAAACTTAAATAAATCAGAGATAAAGTTATTTAAAAACAAATTTAATTAGTTTTTCTAGACTTTTTTGTTGCAGTTGTTGCAGTTCGCTTGCTTTTCACGCTGTTATAATCCCTTGAATTGGATTTTATTTTTCGTTTTTCCTGAGTGTGCCACAAAAGGCGGATCCTCCCTATGAACCAAACATACACACAGAAAAAAAAAAAATAATAATAAATAAAACGAGGAGACAAACATTTTTGCATTCAATTGTTGTTGCGGAAAGTTTATGCAGTTTTTTTTATTATTATTATTATTTTTTATGGATATTGTTTGTGATTTTTTGCGTGGCCAAAAATGTTTAATCAATATGCGGGCAGCAGACGAATATTTGTATGTAAATAGATTTTGTGTGTGTGTGTAAAAAGCAAACACATGCACATGCATCCATTATTATTGACACACATTCATTGAATGCGAAGTTTTTCCGCTTTTTTTCCATTCCTTCAAAACGTGTCCAGGCACATTTATTGGGGCTCAAATGCCAGAGGATATTTTCCAGGTGTGGTCTAAATGGACAGGGAATTATCCTGGCGTTTCTTGCATGAATTAATTAAAGCCCTGAAAGTGTTTTGTATTTACTATTTCTGTTTTTTTGTGTTTTTGCCTAAAACTTGCCAGTCTTTGATTTAAGATAACAAAATATGGGAAAATAATGGAATTTCGAGCTTTAAACTTTAGATTTTACTAATAAATTTTTGGAAACTAAAGAAATTCCTAATAATTAAGGGTTTTCCCTGTGTTTTGCATTCCAGAATGGCTAGAATACAAACAAATTCTCTTTATGTCAATCAAATATAAGAAAATTCCTTTATTACTTTGAAGCCAGCTACTAGCAATCACTTCTGCCAAAATGTGTCAGTTACCTTCCCCAAAAACATAGCAAATTATATGACCAAAATTGCAATGTCGATTTCATTAGGCTACATATGTTGTATATATCATATATATATATATCTTTATAAATATATATATTTAGTGGCACAAAACTGAACACACGACACACACTCCACTCCAACCCACTCGATGGTTTTTAACCCCCCTCTTGCCACTTTTCCTCAGTATGTGTGTGTGTGTCAGAATGTTCATTTTGTATTTTTTTGGCGTTGCCAAAACAAAATTCCATGGCATTGCTAGGGGGGGCGGTTGCAAAAGAGGCCTCACCCCAAACCAAATTGAATATAAAACAATCAACTTTATATTGTCGTCTGACACGACACGAAAATATACACGCAATATGGGCTAAAAGAAATGGGAAACAAAACACGTATAAAAGAAAAAAAGGGCCTAAAGAGAAGTTCTCAAAAATATAGAACAGCTGGAATGACTTAATAGCAATGATCGCTAAAGGATTCCATTACAGGGGGGGCAGTTTAGGAAGGGAAAACTATTTCTTTTAGCAATCATAATGCTAAGAATGCTAGAAACTTAAGTTTGATTTTAGTTTTTCAAGTTCTTGAAATCATAAAAAACATAAATCAAGACATTTCTTAAGGGTATTAAAGGTATTTAGTCCACTATATCAAAAACTATTATCACCTAATCTAACTTTTAAAGGAGGTTCTACTGTATAAATACGACAATAATGACGACAACTTTGATTGAGGGATAGCCAAAAGAAGGAAATGGATAATGGGCACTCAACTAAATCAGCTTTATATTGTTTTTAGTCCGCTTTTCTTTTTTTTTTTTTTTTTTGGCTTGTTTGAGGGTTTCGTTGCTTTTCTTGGCTTGTTTGTTCTGTTTGTTTTATTATTGGTTCGTTATTTTTCCACTGTTTTTTTGTTTTGAGGTTACCGGGTTAAGTTTATGACTTTGCACGCATTCCCCTGCAATAACAGTGGCCCCACCTTCGTAGTAGTCCCCTTTTCATTTTGAATCCTCCACACCCATGCACTAAATGAAATCAACTCCAAGTGTGGCGCCCAAAAGTATGGTAAAAGCAAAACTTTCAGATTGCCACAAACTTTCCCAACAGCACAATTTTATTCCTTCCCATTCTTTCTATAGTTTATATTTTTTTTCCCTTTTTTTTTTTGTTTTTTATTAAGCTAAACATTCTCCATCTGCTTTCTACATTCTTGGCGTTTTTTGACACAGATGTTGGGGAGGGGGGAAACGGATGATAATTTGACAAGAATCTAGTGCTGAAGGAATGTCTTTTTAAATTTGTCTTTATTTGATCAAATTAGCTTTAACTATGATAATTAATATGATCAAAATTGTACTAAGAGATGTCTTTTACTATTTAAAGATATTTTCTTTACTTTTAATAACAAGCTCAAAGTTAAAGCTCCTCAAACTGTGCTATAAAATTCCTTTAAAGGCCAAGTTTCATATTTATCTGACCTCCATTGTGCTTTTACTATATATATATCTGTGGCTTGTTGGCTGCTGCGTGTGGCTGCGATTGTGTGTGTGTGTGTGTGTGTGTGTTTGCGTAACCCTGGATTTAGCCGCCAAAACGACTGACAATGACCTTTGACATTTGCCAGACTAAACTGCAACGCAGTGCTTATAGTACTTTTTTTTTCTTTTACCACCATTCTGCAACGTTTTAGCACTTGTTTTTTTTTACACTTTGTTTCACCCTTTTGGCGCTATTTATTTCTAGCCATCCTCTCAACCCTTTCTTAGAAATTTCCTTAATTTCCACCACATTTCTTGGTCCCCTAGTTTACCCTCGATTTTAGCCGCATATTCACTTTGTGGTTAGTGCTAGTGTTAACATACATAATTGGCCTTTGCCTCAAGAACTGGGCTTTAATTTCAACCAAAATGGCTTAATGCGAATAGCAACAACAACAACAACAACAATCATAACTAACTCATTAGCAGAGAAACTTTTACCTCGACATAACATTTCCCCCTCTCGTTTCTTTTTTGCGCCCCTCACTTTTTTGGGTTTGTGCGCGCTGTGCTGTGCTGCCTGTTTTTTTTTTTTTTTTTTTGAGGTCACATTTTGGGTTACCCCAGTGACAGACCGACCGACCCCTTTTTGGGTTGGAAAAATAAAAATGGTAGTGGGGCAAATTCAGGAGGAAAATGAGTCTTTCGTTTGGCATTTTATTGAGTTTGCCGTTTGCCGCTAATTTCGAAACAGTTAGCAGCCACTTAGGCATTTGTTTTCGCCTGTTTTCGACTCCGCTTATGGTGTGTTTTTTGTGTTGTTTTCGGCTTTAGTTGTTCTCTTGTTGGCAATTGCATTTTTGACAGCTTTATGGAATGTGGCGTTAACTTGTTCGACAATTGGCAGCTGCACAGGGTGCAAAAAGTGTAATATACTTTGCGAAATTGAATTACCAGCAGCGAGAGAGAGAGAAGAACTCATCAATATTTGATTATAAGATGGGGGGAAGAAGTTTGAAATTTCAAAATCAAAAGGAAAAAGGAAGTGTGCAAGCTTCTGCTTAACTTTTAATAATTAAAATCAATTAAAAATAAGTACTACATGATAGGTTTAGATCTGAAAAGAAAGATATTTTTGACATTATAACTAATATATACATTTTTATTTATCATTTTAGGATATTGCGGCCTACATTAAGAAGGAATTCGACAAAAAATACAATCCCACATGGCATTGCATTGTGGGCCGCAACTTTGGATCGTATGTCACCCACGAGACGCGCCATTTCATTTATTTCTATTTGGGCCAGGTGGCCATTTTATTGTTTAAGAGCGGTTAAAGTATTGTCGAGTCGGATGAAGTGGTGGTGAGGAGACTGATGGAGATGCAGCAGCTGCACCGCCAACAACAACAACAGCAACAACAACTACAACAACAACAGCAATTGGAGCAGCAGTCGCCGCATTTCATGGCATCAGAGTACGAGGATCTAGAGCAGAAACAGGAACAACAACATAACCAACAACAGCAAACACAGCACCAACAGCAACAACAAAAACATCTATATCTTAAGGATGCGGAAATGATGACCGAAAAAACAGACGAGGAGCAAAAAGAGGATCAGCTGCAGCCACAACAAGAAGATCAACAAAAACAACTGCAGCCGCAGCTAGAACACCCAGAAGATTCAGATATGGAGCTGTCTGATGATCAATATGTAGAAGAAACTGATGAGGAGAATAATGGCGAGGTGGTGGATGTTAACCAAGATGACGACAACGGCAACGGCAACGGCGACGACGACGACGATGATGATGATGATGATGATGATGATGGCACTATTGTCGAAGACAGCGATGCCACCAGCTGTAGTAGTTGTCGTCGAGCTGAATTTGAAGAAAATCAAGAGGAGCAAGTGCCCCAAGCAGAGGAACAGCCACCACCTTCTAACCAGAAAGATGATAAAATTGATCTATAGACGAAATCTTCATCAAAAAAAAAATAGAAAAGATACACGCGCACCATTTTTAGCATGTTTATCAAATGCAAGGAATATCTGTCCTGTTTTCGGGGTATTCCTTTCATCATAATTATATGCCACGCTGGAGAACGTAAAGAAGAGCAAAACACACTATTGTACACACATGAGGAACACACTCTTGTAGACAAGCATGAACCAACGATATTTTGTTTCGAAATCATCATTTCCCCATCCGAAACCAACCCCCCCGCCCCCTCCCTTTTTTCCCCCGTTTTCTTGTTCATTTAACAATAATAATTAAAAATTTTGATGTGTAGAGCCCCATGAATTGAACTTCTGTAAAAATTATTTTTGCTTTATTTTTTTTTTCCTTTGGAGATGTGTACTATGCGCTGGCGGTATGCTTGGCCTTATAATTTACTTATTACCTGCAAATGCGTAATTAAACAATTGTTAAGTATAAATGAACCAAAAACCATGTGTTATATTTAATTATTTGCATTATTTTTGGTTTTCCATTTGAAATTTTCGTTGGAGCTTAGCAGAGGCAAGAACCCACACACACACACACGCCCATACAGGCACGTACACATAGCACAGGCAACAACCACCACTACAACCGAACGAGCAAAGTAGAAGAAAAAAAAGAGAATTTGTAAGGAAAACTCACATATTTTTTCTGTCGGATGGATTATTTATGTGTATTGAACTCTCTCAACACGTGTAAACGGAAACCAAGCAGAAAATATAAGAAAAAAAAAATAGTATAATGTGAAATTTGCATACACACACTCACAGACACTTTCTGCACACCTAATAGATACACAGAGAAAAAAATATCATGAAATTGGCATGCATTTCCCCATCAAATTGGTATTTTTTCCCTTTAATCTTTTAAAAATTATATCAATTTGATATGTATTTTAAAATAATAATTAAAAATCTTAATCTCTGCATTGGGAAGTTTTGAAGATACGCATTTGAAAATTGCATTTTAAAGCTATTCAATATTTAAACTACTTTTTCATTTGTAAATTGAAATTTGTTATAATCATCAGGTTCGTTAAATATTTGAGAACTTCTAAAAAGTTACGTTTCCTGTTATTGGAAATTTTTGTTATAAAATATAAATTATATGTTCAACATAGGAAAAATTTATATATGATGGAAACAGAGATCTTACTTTTGCGATCATTTAAGATCTTTAGTAAAGGATATATTTTGGAGTGGTTTATTTGGAGATGGTAGTTTTGGATCTAGAAACATATTCTCTCTGTGTACTTAAACAATGTATTATTCATTGCTTACGAGTAAACCAAATCGGTGTGTGTTCGGACATGGATTTTCCCACCCCCCCCAAGCCCCCTGTTTTCGTCCATTCTACTCCTTTTGCTAGCTAAATCCTTTTTCTTGCTTTTTCCCTGGATTTTGATAGCCAACAACAACAGAAACACAAAATACAACAATTACAAGAACAAATTACAAGCAACTCGAATATTATGTGTGTATGTGTATATGTATTGTCCATCCACAGCAGCAAAGTATGCAACAACAATTTTTGTAGAAACTGCAAGCAGTAATAAAAAAAAAAAACAAATAAAAGCAACAAAAAAAGAATACAAAACGCGGAGAAAGCCGAAAGCAAATGCAAAGACAAACACAAAAAAAAAAATGAAAGAACAACCCAAGGAAAATATAATTATCATCTTGTCGTTTATATAAATGTGTGCTATGTGTTTCTTCAAATCGGATTTATGTTATGCAAAAAAAGAAGATATATAAAAATTCAGTAAGAATTTCCAAAAGAAAAGATGTCAAGGAATGAAAGCGAACAGTAAATAGAAAACATGGAAACCGAAAAAGTAAATATATATATATTCATGCAAGAAATACAAAATAAAGTAAACATTGGTGTAAATTAAGCAAGAACTTAAGTAAAACCTACTAAAAGAAAAACCAAAAAAAAAATGAAGCTTAATACGTAATTTCCTAACAACAACAGAAGACATTTACATATGCAGCACTCACATACACATACACACTCGCAAACAAAAGGACACGTACGTACATTTACCGTTACTTTTCACACACCACATGCAGCACCACTCTCTCTCTCTCTCTTTGGCTATTGCGTTTTAGATTATTGCTCAGCACGTTTTTGCGTAGACACAAACTATTTATGCTAACGGTAAGATACAACCTCCTCTCTCACTTACAAACATACACCCACACTCCTCCTCAAACACACTCACACACACACTTACAAAAACAAAAAAAAGAAGAAGACGTGAAAAACGTAAACATTTTTTTTTCTTAAAAATCGGAATGGCGAACTTCTAACGGGAAAGAAAACACAAAAAACACACACGAGAACTTCTAATAAGTGTTTATATATACAAATATATATATATATATGTATACATATAAAAACCAAGCAAAAAAAAAACGATAAGAGCATAATTTTTTGTCACAATGCAAAATATTTGTGTGAGAAACCAATTTTTGATGTAAAAGAAAACAGAAAACCAGAAAAAACGCGCGGTAAAAATAATATGTGTGTAACGGTAAAAGAGAGATAAAGAAAGTGAAAAATTGATTTTTTCCCCTTAGTTTTTCCCAATCAATCGATCCATTTTCTCATTTTCCGTTAGTAACTTTTAAAACTCAAATCTTTTAGCTGCCATTTCTGATTTAAAACAAAAAAAAAAAAAACCGAGAAACCAACAAATACAAAAACTAGTTTAAAAACATAGTTTGTAAACCTTATTTATTTCGTTGTATCTGTTTAATTCTACTTTGTCTATTTCTATTTAACTGGTTTATTGTGCAAGAAACAAACATTACATAAGTTTTTGTAAGAGATTAGTAAATTATGTGAGTTGAGGGCGATATAGAGCAGAATTTGCAAATGCATAACTGCGATCGCGAATGCGGATTTATGGAGGCAATTTCAAGTAACAATACGAGTAAGAAATGAGAAAGCAAGCAAAAACCAAATGAGATCTTCAATGTGAAATAAAAGTACTTCTTTGAAACCAGTGTTGTTTATTATTTTGGGCGGATAAATTATGGTTAAGTAAGTATATATACATAAACTTCTTTTTAAATGGCTATACCTAAAGGGAACAGTAATGTATTCTTATACCTGAATCAGCGATAAAAAATAATTACAAAAACATAAATTTAAAAGAAATCAAATGATCATTCATATTTTTGACACTAAAATGTAAAGACAACGAAAGCTCAATTTAAAAAATGTAGTATTTTTTTCTAGTATTTGATGAACGGGTCACACCATTCGCTAAGTAATGTGGTATTTTCCACTATACCGATGTACGGTTGTTTTAGTTGTGCAATATAGAAATTGATAAACTAATCTCGCTACTTTTTTTTTGTGCGATTGTTTAACTTACAACGACGCGCGGCGGTGCGACTGAGACACCAATAATTATAGCCTGCGATTATAGATCCGGATAATCCGCATATAGAAATAACCCCATTCAACCGATTTTATTCTCAGTCGAACGAAAGAAAAACATAGCGAAAATGTTGCGTACTCTGTCACGCGTTAGCGAATTGCCAATTATTGTTAAGCAACTGCAAAAAGTACGTAATACCAAAACCCGCTTTGCACCCACTAACATTTTTAATTGTTATCACTAAAACAAAAAAAAAAAACACACCATCATTCAAATAATGAAAACACAAAAAAGCGTTGCCATAACAACAACAACAACAATGGATGGCGGATATATAACAACAAGAACAACAACAACATCATCGGAAATGGGAGATATTCATCGTCGTTTTTCGGTTTATTCCAGAATGCAGCCCAAGCAGGAGTTTCAAAAACCAACAATTATGCCACGGAGGCCACCATTCAAGTGAATCGGGTATGTATCATATACTATATCTAACAGAAATACTAAAAAAAAGAAGACAAAAATATAAGATTACATAATGCGCTTTTTGCCAGATAGCAACGGTTAATGGGATTCATTAGTGTGTAGTTTGTGTGCGTGGAGGTGCAGGGTTGCATTTGGCGTGTTTTCTTAATTTGCCGGTCAACATGTTCATTTTGAAAATGACAAGGTCACGAAGTAATTTGTAGTTTTCCATCTCCCACGCTCTTTATCGCCGTTTGCTCTTTGCGTGGCCGCCGCGTGACTGTTCACGCACAATAAAACATATAGTCTTATCAGCCGATTCACCGATTTTCATCGTCCTCTCTCTATCTGTCTCTCTGTTTACGCCGATTCTCACGCCATAAATTAGCCGCCATAAATTGGCATAAAACAAAGTTGGCCACAAATCTTAGCTGGGTAATTTTGGCTCGTACTTCCGGAAACTTTCGAAAATTGTATAGCTTAGGCAAAAAATACTCATACTGATTTTATTTTATGAAGATCCTACTCGAATTTTATACCACTAACTGTTATCAGTTTATAACTTATCATAGTCTCACCTTTCCGTTACGTTGTTATCAGCTGTCTGTCAGCTGTTAATTAATTTATTGAAATAAAAAGGAAATTAAAGGTTTTATTGTTAGTGATTCCAAAAGTAATAGATTAATGTATGGTTATTGTTAAAACAAAGTCCTTGTAGAATATATCTTTGATGTAATCATTGAATACAACTCCTAAGGGTAATCATCTAATGTTTTCCCATTATTCACAGCCCTTCAAGCTGCATCGCCTAGATGAAGGACCCGCCACTGAAGTCAAACTTACCAAGGATGAGGCCCTCAAGTACTACACACAGATGCAGACGATCCGTCGATTGGAAACGGCCGCCGGTAATCTGTACAAGGAGAAGATCATTCGTGGCTTCTGTCATCTGTATTCCGGCCAGGAGGCTTGTGCCGTTGGCATGAAGGCGGCAATGCGAGATGTGGACAATATCATTTCGGCATACCGTGTCCATGGTTGGACCTACCTGATGGGCGTTTCGCCGAGTGGTGTGCTGGCTGAGCTCACTGGTGTCCAGGGCGGTTGTGCCCGCGGCAAGGGTGGCTCCATGCACATGTATGCACCGAATTTCTATGGCGGCAATGGCATCGTTGGTGCTCAGGTTCCGCTGGGCGCTGGAGTTGGTTTGGCCTGCAAGTACAAGGGTAACGGTGGCATGTGCCTGGCACTCTATGGTGATGGTGCCGCTAACCAGGGACAAGTGTTCGAGGCCTACAACATGGCCTACCTGTGGAAGCTGCCCGTGATCTTCGTCTGCGAGAACAACAACTACGGTGAGTGGATATAAAGATACAGATGTCATTTATGATTTTTATATTACCAATTTTCTTATTTATCCCCCAATAGGTATGGGTACAAGCTCGGAGCGTGCTTCTTGCAATACGGACTACTATACCCGCGGTGATGCCCTGCCCGGAATCTGGGTGGATGGCATGGATGTGCTAGCCGTGCGCAGTGCCACCGAGTTCGCCATCAACTATGTGAACACCCACGGACCTCTGGTCCTGGAGACAAACACGTACCGGTACTCTGGTCACTCCATGTCCGATCCGGGCACATCATACCGTACACGTGAGGAGATCCAGGAGGTGCGTCAGAAACGTGATCCCATCACCTCCTTCAAGGAGCTGTGCATCGAGCTGGGTCTTATCACCACCGATGAAGTTAAGGTAAGTTGGAATAGGTTTATTAAAAAAGATGGTACTATAATAAAAATACACTTTTCAGGCCATCGATCTGAAGGTGCGCAAGGAGGTCGACGAGGCCACTGCCTTCGCCAAGTCCGATGCTGAACTGGGTGTAAGCCATCTCTGGACGGACGTCTACTCGAACAACCTGGAGCCCAAGCTGCGCGGCACCATTGCCTACGATATTGATCATATCCAGGAGCACAAGGGTGTCAATCACTAAGTCAGCGGGCCAACGAATTTGATTCGGGAACTCACAAGACACAAAATCGATAGAAAGCAAAATAACAAACACCAAAACAGAAATCACACACAGACAGACACGAAGACACTTTAGACTCAAACTCAGACACTTAGACACAAGCGAAATCTCTAGCTCTTAAGCCGAATGTTAAATAATGATGAGAACCCCGTAGGCCGGACCCGAAGAAAGAACCCACTAAACAAAAAGCTTAGCTAATCGGAGCACTTTAATCACATCGTAGTGCACCAAACCAACCACATTACTCTGGGGAACTGCATTGGATATTATTGTGAACGTGTTCAATATGGATAAAGCGAGGTGTAAATTGTTGAAAAAATATAAATACCTAGAAAAATTAACCAAGTGTGTTACTAACTTAAAAGTTAAGGTCTCAACTAGAAGATCACTGAAAGTCTTAGTATTGTTTCTAAGATTTTTAGGAAGTCTTTGGTTTATCAAACTTTCCGTTTAAGATGAAAAGATGTATATTAACAAAGTTACAAAAATCTTGTAAAGATCTTGTATATTTCCATCTCTCTCTGTTTTGTGATAGTTTTCAATCTATGTTGATTTTCTTTTGCTTTCATTGTCGCTAAGCATAGAACAGAAATTCTAGCCTTTAAAATATTTCAAAATTTAAGTGCGCGGCAAATGTGCTTTTGACTAGAAGACCAATCTGTTGTTCCGGTATTTGGGAGTTCATAGCGAAGTACAATGATGAAACCCAGCCGAGTTCGTTTTATGATGAAATGCAACGGATTACGCTACTTTCTTGATAGGACCATCCTCTCCAGGACAATCAGACGCCACAAATGTAGCTGTTTGACGCTTGAGAATGTAAGTGACTAGCATATTATAAATGAATATAACTAAGACCATGAAATGTAATAAAAAAAATTAAGGATAATAAGGGTTAACTCACAATCTTCTAACATTTTCTTTTTTTTATTTGTGATTTTTAAAAACTTAATATTTAAAGACACTAAATGGTTATGCAAAATGCATATTATTAGTAATACCACACCATAAAAATTATTACCCAACACAAGATTTCGCTTGTCTCGAAAACAATACTGCCAGGAGTTAGTAGTCAATATTGCTCGGTGCTGCCACTCATTCTATTCCGCTGAGCACGCTTAGAAGTTCTACATATTTATTTTATTCAATAAGAGGAATATTAATTAAATGGGTTATTTTAATGGATATGTTCTACCCGTTGCAGACATTCAAGTGCTACGATCTGGAAACGGGGCCGACGATGGACGTGGAGCTATCCCGAGAGGACGCCCTGACAATGTACACCCAGATGTTGAAAGTCCGTCGATTCGAGACTATGGCCGGGAATTACTACAAACAGCGCCAGATCCGTGGTTTCTGTCATTTGTACAATGGTCAAGAGGCGATTGCAGTTGGGATGAAACAGAGTTTGCGACCATGCGACTCCCTCATAACAGCATACCGTTGTCATGCCTGGACATATTTAATGGGCGTTTCACTGTACGAAGTAATGGCCGAGCTGTTAGGCCTACGTTCCGGGTGCAGCAGGGGCAAAGGTGGCTCCATGCACATGTACGGCGAGAGGTACTATGGCGGCAACGGGATTGTTGGTGCCCAGGTAGCTGTTGGTGCAGGGATAGGCCTGGCACACAGCTACCGTAATGACAATGGCGTGTGCGTTGTTCTCTATGGCGATGGTGCCGCCAATCAGGGCCAGGTCTTTGAATCCTTCAACATGGCCAAGTTATGGTGTCTACCATGTATATTCGTCTGTGAGAACAATCACTATGGCATGGGTACACATGTCAATCGTGCCTCGGCCATGACGGACTTTTATATGCGTGGACAATATATTCCTGGACTTTGGGTGGATGGTAATCAGGTGCTTGCCGTTCGCAGTGCTACAAAATTTGCCGTGGATCATGCCCTTAAGCATGGACCAATTGTTCTTGAAATGCAAACATATCGTTATGTCGGACATTCCATGTCCGATCCGGGTACATCATATCGTTCCCGTGACGAAGTCAAAGCTGCGAGGGAAAAACATGATCCGATCATCAGTTTCCGTAATCAAATAACTGAATTGTGCCTTGCCGACGATGAGGAGCTGAAGATTCTCGAGACTAAGGCCAAGAAATTTGTCGATGATGAATGCAAAAAGGCTCTTGCCGATAAGGAGGTTGAGCTGCATGAACTTAACACCGACATATATGCCAAGAATGTGGATGGTAAGATTCGTGGCGTATCCGGTTACAATCTTGAGCATATCCGGCTGTCGGAAGTGTGCTTTGGCAAGCCCAAGAAGACACCGGCCAGCGAGATCAACGATGTGCCAGTGGGTGCAGCTATTGACTTGGCCAAGGCCAAAGAGAGGAAAGCAGCTGAAGCTGCAAAGGCGGCCAAGGCGGCCAAGGCTGGTAAAGATGGCAAGAAAGGCAAGGATGACAAAGCTGCCAAAGATCCCAAGGCTGCTGCTTCACCACCTACCAAGTCAGCACCACCGGCCAAAGCACCACCAGCCAAAAAACCACCAGCAGCACCCAAAAAGTAGCATCCACATTCTAGCGCCTCATCGAAGTTCTCAACCCTATTGTGCTCTTGGCAAAATTACTTAAGCTGATTTCACAACCAAAGACCATCCATGTAATTTATAAAAGAAATCAATTCAGAGACTAACTGTTACTAATCTTATTTTAATTTTACTAACTACTATTGTTGCTGTTTTAGTATTCGTTGAGAAGTTTGTTATAGGTAGAAGGACCTTATTGAAGTCTGTATATTCCTTATCACAGGCAATAGCCGAGTCGATTAAGCCAGGCCTATCTGTTAGTATGTTCGTATGAGATCTTAGAAAAGAAACTTGGAAAGCAGGTTCTAGAGGTTCTTATTTTATAATTTTCCTGAATAATTCGCGCCTATACATTTGTCTTCCTACTGTTGAAAGTTTAAAACCAAAGCTTTGGGATAAAAAGTGCCCATTGCATATGGGGAAAAAAAGCTCTACAACGGACACCTGTAAGAGGTCAAAATTTTGTATAGAATCACCCATTCCTCGTTCTTTAGCTGTTAATCGAGCGGATCTGAGGAGAGATCAGAACGGTCCATTCATTTATCATTCGCTTAAATGGCGGTCGTGTCGCTAGCGGTATGATGAAGATATATCTATATGTGTATGTATATATTGATATATATTGTTGTTGCTCTTTTTACTTTGTGGGATGATGAGAGACACGCGCTATATGCCCGCCCTCTCGCTCGCACACCTGACCAACGTCTGCGCCATATATTCGATTGGGGAATTCAGTCTGGCGCTGATCTTCGCCAAACCGATACGATCCGATCTTCACGTGCTAACCAAGATCGTTCCTGTTTCGATTTTACACTATATTTTTTGAATATCGGGATTGTGTGTGTTTTGAAAATATAAAGTATATATATTTTTTTGATATTTTTATTTAGTGTGAAGTGTGAAGATTTCTTAAGATGAATATAAGGTGGAATATATTTTTATAAATCAACAAAATCTTGAAAAATAAATACAATGAATTAGTTAATACAAATACTTCATCATAATATGAAACCAAAATAGTTTTTAAATAATAAAAACTACAAAAAAGAATAACAATTTTTAACTACATAAAACAATAATGAAGAATGTTAATAATTATACTCAATTAATTTGTCACATTAAAAATGCATTTCAAAATGACATTTATTATAACATAAATGACAAACAAATTAAATTGAAATGACATATAAACCATGAAGAAAACGTAACTATTGAAATCAACTGGAATAAATGTCAATTCATATAACACAATCAAATTTAATAATCAATTTGGTTTTTATCATAATATCTGCTGATTCTGCGTTGACTGCACATTTGATCGATTTTCGAAGCCTTTATTTAGATGCAAATATTTTGCAATCCAATTGCCAGGAAGCCTTTTTCATTGTCGTTTTCTTTTTTTAGTTTTTTTTTCGTGTTATCTCCATAATTTCGGTGGGTTTTTCTGTGAAAAACTAGAAAAGCCCAACGGCTAGTGTCAAACAATTTTCATTTCGATTTTGTTTTTGCTTTCTTTCTTTTAGTTTTTTTTGGCCTTCTATTTTTTAAAGGCTTCAGTTTTTTTCGGCTTCATGCTGTTTTCATACTTAGCACAGCTCTCTTAGCTGCTTTTTAAGTTATTTTTTTTATTTATTTTTAAATACACGTTGTGCGTATTTCTTTTATGTTTTTGTTTTTCCAATTGTTGACAAATCGTTTGTGTGTGTGGCAGTAAACTGCAAAATTATGGAAAATTTTAAAATGAAAACTCATAAAGATATGTGAAAATGTTTGAATACATTAATTAACAACTCAATGACCGAAAATAAAAGAAAAACAAACAAAAAGCATCTGTAATTGATGGATTTGCTGGCAGGACCAAAATTTAATTAGCAGCAAAAACAGTCGGCGGACCAAAAAGAAAAAAACAAAACAAAAATCAACGGAACATTAACTCGATTTTACCAGGTATAAATTGAATTTTAATTAAGACTAACATGAAATAATATTAGTATTTCGCATGATTGAAAAAACAGGAAAATAAAGTGTCTTAATATTAATTTAAAAATATGAAAAAAAAAAACTTTAGCTTTAGCTCATCTCCTCGTGATCTTTAATTGATTTGAATATTCTGTTTTCTGGCAAAATATATTTGAATATCACTTAAGAATGAAGACGAGTGCTGATCAAATATACTCAAATCAATTGAATTGTTTTCTACGCTCTTCAAGTGACACACTTGAGCAAAATATTTTCAAGAGATCATTCACGAATATACATACAAATATATATATATATATGTATATATAGTAGGATCCAGGGCCAAGTCGAGTGGCATTTGTTCAGTATTTCCGCTACATTTGCATAGTCGGCGGGCGAGAAGAATTGGGTGGGTAAGGTGAACAGAATTGAGAAGATGCCACTCTGTCCACAAAGCCGATCAAAATATTCATTTCAATTTCAATTCCATCACAAGACATTTTCATTTTCAATTCTCCAGATCTCCCTTCTTGCTCTCTCTCTCTCTATCTATCTATCTGTCTTTCAGTTGAAAAGAAATTAAATAAAATGTGAAACACATGTGATGGAAACTGAAATGAAATTGCTTTTGCCAGTCTACATGGCGTATACTCAACGCAATTGCCACAAGAGCCAGGGATCTGCTAATCCCAAGCATCTAATAAATACAATCAAAATTGTTTGCCGCCGTCTCGAAGTCCCCAATTGAATAATTGAACAATTCTAACGCTGTGGTCGCTTCTTCTTCTTTTAGGTTCCTCAAAGAAGATCTATTCATGCGTTTTGAGTTTGTAGAATGTCGGAAGAATAAACTGGTTCGGTTTGATCTTGGAATGTAGATCAAGGTGCAGATGAAGCCCTCTATTAATGCTGATTTATTCGGTTGAAGAATTTAAAATAATGAGCCATTGTCTTAGGTTATTTATAGGCTTTTACGGAAGCTTTAAGACTTAATTAAATTATATTTATTAGAACTTTTTATTGGAACTTTAAAGGTCATTTAAACCCTTGCCTATGCTAAGTTTTTATTTAGAAATATTTTAAAGTTTTATTACTGAAAGGTATAGTTAAAAAACTTAAAGGCAAAAATTCTTAAAAGTGAACTAAAAATATATCAAAAATTCCTCAATCATATAATCAGCTATCTGAACAATCAGAGATAATCTTAGAACTTATTTTCGGTCCTGATCTTTGCAATGTTTATGTTCTCGGGCTTTTACCATTAGTCTTTTATTTCTTTTTTTTTCTCATATTTTTGCGGCACGATTTCCTATCTGTCCTCTTCACTGATCAGAAGAAAAAAAGAAATATTAAAAAAAAAAAAACAAACTGATGACGCGACCTTGAGTTAAAATAGATTTTTATGCGCAACATTTATATTTATTTATTTTTGTTTCTGTTGGACGCGATCGCCGCACGTCACCAAATGCCAAGCAATTTGAATATTTTTCTTCTGAATTTGTTTCGATGCCGCTTTTAACCCCTAGAGACCTACCCCTCTTGCTTGTTGTGCCCCTGTTAACCCATTAAAATTGTTGGCCAAGAATGCAGCTGGTATCGAGCATATACATACATATATATATATATATATATATAGAGAGAGATAAGATCTCACTGAATTCAAGTGGAAATGCATTTGCATTTTCATCGGCCAAGTGCACATTTAAATCAAATGAGGCGGCCAGCAAATTGAAATTAAATTGCCAGCAGAATGGGGAGATAAAAATCCTGAAATATTTTCAGCCGCAAATCAATAATTTTTACTGCCGCCTGCCTGCCTTTTGTTTTTGGAGGTCGTTTACTCTTGTAAACGAAACCATTTCCATGAAAATCATCAGCGTTAGCTATTAAAATTTTAATGGATTTTTAATTGTTAGATAACCCATTAAAAACCATGAACAAAATGTTGTCATAAAATTTAAAAAAACTATTAATTAATATATAAAAACATCTTCCTTAAGGCAACTTTACTCTGTGATGAAAATGTCCATTTCAAAGTACTTAGGAAAACGACAACATTTTCTGAAAATTAGTCAGCAGGAAAACCATTTGGGCCACATGCGAATTTAGTCATAAAAAGTGGATTAAATTGTTGAGATAAACAAAGAGGCATAGAGAGGGAAAACTGGGAGAGGGGCAACTGCAATTGAGAGAATGACAATATTATTTATTTAATTTGTTTTCCTACTAAAAACCAAAAATAGATGGATAAAAAAAAATAACAGAAGAGAAGCAGAGAAAGAAAAGACCAAGAAATGAAAACCAAATCACGAAAATCGAGAGGCGAACGTGACAAAAAGATATATGAATGATTCTTAGAACAACAGGAGGAGTGAAAAACCAAATAAAGAGCAGCTGAACGAAGCACAGATGACAGAAAATATCAAATCAAATGCATTCAACTGGCAGGTGAGACATGACAGGAAAAGGCTGAGCACGAAAACAGAAAAGGGGGGGGGGGTCTTGGAAAAGCTATATCCATTAGGCAATGGACACTGAATCAGCAGCAGTAGCACCAGCAGCAGCAGCAGTTCGTCTAATGACGAACCCCTCAAACCAAAAATAAACAAACGAGAAAAACGAGAGGAAGTACTAAAACCTCTGACAGCCCAATGTCTTTTGGCTAGATGTCTCCTTAGCCCAGCAGGGGGAAAAGAAAACTCAGGGAAAATGACTCAACCAAAACGAATTTTGCATCAGGTATCTAATTCTCAAAAAAAGCAAAACAAAAAGAATACCTATTCTAATTTTTGACAGATATTTGTTTTTCAAGAAACATCTTCTCTACGCACTTAACACAAAAAAAAAGAGTGATGGAAAAACAATAATTCGTGGAAATTATTGCTTAATAAATACGTCATTCGATTGAAGAAAATAAATAAATAACATTTTGCAGTTCATTGAATTTTTGCTTAATTCATTTTTCTATTAAATTTCACATTTATTGGCTATTAATTTGTTGCCTTTTCTTAACCAATAATCGTTAAAGAATTTTAATTACAAACACAAACTGGGTAGCAATATAATTCATTAATGATCTATCAACTTCATTTTGTTAATTTATAATAAAAAATTCAGAAATTTATATGCGTAGTTCAGGCTTAAAGATAAAAGAAATAAGTAATAGAATTAATGATTAATTTTTAAAAATATTTCCACTTACCTTAACTTTACGAAGCCCATCGCAATATTAGCCACTTTATTTTTGGGGCCCAGTTTGATGGTAGGTTTTCAGCCATTCTGGTCACGTAATTTGCCTGAATATCGAATGGCCAGCGATAAAAACGCATCGAGTCAAATGGCAAAATGTGTGGAATTGAAATGCAATAAGGCACTAAACGTTAAGCATTAAATAATTGACATGTCCATGTTGCTGGGCAAACAAAGCACATATTAAATTCAATATTAACCATCACGATTCCTATATCGGTTCCTCTATACTATATCTCTATATATACCATATATATATGTATCATATCAGGGGCATAGAGATGTCAAAGCACGTGCCTGGCTTAAAAATTCTACATATTGAGAAACAAAAATGAAAATGAAACGAATGCAAATCACATGAGCAAAATTTATGCACGTGATGTCCACGAATTTCCCACCCAGTTTTTGGGGCAAATGTGAGACTCTAAAATCGCAGCATTAATTGATTAATTATGCAAATTCAAATGTCAGGCTGACAAAAATATGAAAACTCTCTACGCTTTCACCCTCCACACCACACCGACCACAGACAATCGTTTTGAATGGCCACAGAACCAAATTACAAAGCAATCTGGTCCAAAGCAATTTTCCATTTGATCAAACTGAAACATTAATACTCTTGATCTGAAGCATATAGTATCTATATGCTATTAAGTTTTTGTGGTATTTTTATATGACATTTTGCAGGTCTTTGATGTTTGAATATGATTTCAATGTTTTTTCATGTTTTTTGTTTGATTTTTTCTGCCATCTTTTAATCGATCAAAAAAATGGGATCTTCTTTTTACTGGCAATCAATTTTCTTTATATACCCAACTTACTGTTCCTTAAACAATACAACAAATGTTTATAATTAAGAAACACTATTTATAAATCTTAAGGCTAACATCTGTATTCCATAAAATCTGCTTTCATTAACAGAGTATCTGATGGTCTGATGGTGTAAAAATAAAAACAAAAAAAAAATGATTAAAAAATTGGAAAACAAGCAGAGAATAAAGCGAATGAGTGTAGGAAAATGTTTGCCAAAAGCCGTCGTCAGATGTTTAAACATAAAGCAAACAGGCTGACACACGCACACTAATTAAGTGCCCATCGTGCCTTATGCCGTGTTCACCTGTGCGTATACGTAATTAATGCCATTATAATCTCTTACGCATAATAAAGTAAACACCGAGTGGGTTCGGTAAAACGAGGGTAAGTATTTTTATTAATTTGTCAACGCATTCTTTTGCAAGATTCGATTTCATTTCGAATCGTTTGCTATTTTCATGGGATTAAATTGATCATAAAAATGGACAACACTGCGTATGCGTAATTTGTGTTTTTTTTTTGTCATACAAAAATTGAAGTAAAGTAAAATTGAAAAGCGAATTATTTTTCACCTTCTGTTTAAACTGACGCTAAAAATACACAATTTTTAATTCTGTTTGCCTCCGTCAACACCTTTTTGGCCCGAACTCGCACACCAACATTTTCCCCCCGCCGATGAAAGCTTACAAATATTTGCAATTCGTGTTTATTATTTCTTTTGGTTTTGCCCCAAACGGTTTTCCTCGTGTCTCTGACTGGCTGACCATTTTTATGAGCTACATCAAAAATGTTTTGACTCGGCGCCCTGTATACTTATTGTTTATAAACAAAATGCCCAATTGACTGCCAGCCAAATGATGGCTAAATAATAATAATAAATAGCATTCAGTACTATGGAAACACAGCGTCCAAATGGATAACAGTGTACGTCTGTATTGACCACATGCTAAATCCAAGAAAATAATGTAAAACTAAACAAAAGACGCGCCAAAATGGTGAAATGGCAGGTGCGAGTTGACAATGCGATTCCGCTGAATAATATTTACAATTCCAAGTTATTTCTGGGAATTTTAGATGCGGCATTACCAGAAGGAAAATTATATTGAAAATTTTGTAAACAAAGTTCGGTTGACTTGCAAATAGTCAAAGGTTATTATAAGAAAAGTTAGATTATAAGATAAAGTTAGAGATAAGATAAGTCTCACAGCTTAAATAAGGACTGACTCGAGCAGCTCATCATTTTTTTGCGAAAGGGGCAAAAAGTGTACAATTTAAAGTGTGAATGCAGTTCCACAGGAATTTTTATTACGAGTTCAATGAGGTATATACTTATATTTATCATTATTGTTCTGATTTTTTTGTGCGAGCTCTGGTTTAACGGCTGAAAAATCAGGAAACCGATTTTTAACAGAAATTCCCAACATTATTTTCGGTTTTCTAGCTCTAGCTCGGTCAAAACAAGCCGCATAGCTAAAACAATGACTGTTTTGTGCAGCTAAATACCGAAACTTAAGACCCCTATACTTTATTTTATCATTATTGTTCTGAATTTTCGGTGCGAGCTCTGATTTAAAGGCTAAAAAATCAAAAAACCTATTATTAACAGAAATGTGGAATATTATTTTCGGATTTGTAGCTCTAGCTCGGCCAAATCAAGACGTACAGCCAAAAGAACGACTGTTTTGTGCTGCTAACGACCAACACTTACCTCCCCTATCCCTCGATTTTCGATATTGAGAAAATCAATTTTGGCCCAAATTTCGCATTTTTGATAAGGGGTACCATCATCAAAATTTTCAAAAATGGGCCAAAAATGAAGTTTCCCAGATTTGAATGCAAACCAATTGGGAATCACAGCAATCAAATTACGAGCTCAACGAGGTATTACATTCCATATTCGGACGAATATTGTGTGAGTTATGGGAAAAAATACTATCAATTTTGAGGGAAAAAGCGACAAATCGGATTTTCCATTTTGGAGAAGGGGTAACATCATAAAATTTTCTAAAAATTGCTAAAATTTCGCTACGGGAATCAGGATTATAAAAAAATGAAAAAAAAGAAAGTTACTTCTTCTCGCACTTCGATTTGAACCGCTGTACTTTGAAGTTTAAGTGCTCTACCAGCTGAGCTATTCAACAGTAAGAAGATTGGAAGACTAACCTTAGCCTTATTCCTTCATCCTGTCATTTGGAAAATGTAAGGACGAGGATCGAAGTAGGCTGTTCCCCACATACTCTAAACTAACCGAAGTAGGTGAAGCTTATATGAAACATTTCCAAGCTGTCAAATCGCCGCCGACGGTAGCCTAGGGAGCTAAGCTGACTCCCAAATAGAACTATTATCGTCGGTCTGGGTTCGAGTCCCGGTAAAGACCTAAGAGCATGGAACACGGACAGAGATTCCCCAAGGACGGAGATTACACATTACACATTTTAGGGTTAAGCATAAAGTGAAAAGTATGTACAAGGGTTAAGTAAGCGTATCTATTGTAATTGAAATAATAATAAATAAATTTTTTTAAATTTTCCTTTTTTTAGATAAAAAAGCCAATAAGCTAAGGCAAACTTAGATCGCATGCAGTTTCATTGGAAATTGAACTACACACGCTCAACGGGTTATGGATTTTCATATTTGAGTCATTATGGGCTTCACCTGCTTTTACCATTATGGTTCTGATTCTTTTGGTGCGAGTGCTGATTTATAGCTAAAAAATCAAAAGACCTACTATTTTTGACTTTGTTGTGGGAAGCATTCTGAATGTTTTTGGGGCAAAAATCAGGATTATGAGTTCTGACAGAAGAAGCGATCTTTTCTAACGGTTTTATGTCCATAACTTAGCCAAAAGAAGAGGCACAGCTAAGATAAAGACATTTTTGTAAAGCTAACGACCAAAACAAACTTTCCTCATCATTCGTTAGACAATTTTGGGATTTTTAATTTTTGGAAAAGTGTTGAATTTTTTGTAAGGGGTGACATCAGGTAAAGGGGTCATCAAAACTTGCAAAAACATGGCAAAATTTTTACTTTTCAAGGTGTAAATACAGTTTTGTTAGAAATTGAATAACGAATCCAACGAGGTATGACATTTCATATTCGGACCCCTATTGGCTCTGTTAACTGGACATCATATTGTCATTTTGGGGGGAAAAATCAGCATAAACCAAATTTCTCATTCTTGATAAGGGGTAACATTGTCATCAATCAATTTAAAGGCAAATTTAGTTTACCATATTTTTGTTAAAGCAACTTTCTATAGCTTGTACTCGATTTAATTAAAACGAATCATGCATATTTAAATTATCATTCTAAGTTTTTGTGTTAAACGAGGGGACTTCGAAGTGATGATAAACGAAACAAACTTAAAAATGCCCAAAAATAAATCCATTAATAATCATCAGCGGGGGAAAACAAAAGCGGAAAAGCAGCCGAAAAAGTGAATAAAATAATAATAAAAACCTTTTAGCATATCCATGGCAATCCCCCGAGCTAATGAGGCGGGGAATCCCCTTTGGACTTGCCCACTTTTCCACTGCCCATCGTCGCTATTCCACACAGCTTTCAAGCTTGAATAACAGACAACATTGTTGCCAGCTTGTTTTTAGTTTTTTTTTTTTTGCTTCTTTTTGCTTTTTTCATATTTTCTTGGATTTTTTTGTGTGTTGTATTTGTTGTTGTTGTTGTTTTTATTTTGGCTACAGAGTGGAGCATGTGCAACAATGTTTTTATTTTGGCTGAGCTTATTTTTAGTTACTTTTTGTTGCCTTCGCTGAGCGAGAGAAATAACTTTCTAAATAAACGCAGCGCAGTTAGCAACAATGGAGGCACCCATACATATATACTATACTATACTACACTATACCATATATATATATATATATATATATATGTATATATAAACACTTTTGCTGTCTGCGCATTTTCGTGACGCTTTTCCACTTATTTCTATTTGTATTTTTATTTTCATTTTTATTTTCGTTCGTCGCGTGGCAAAAGTTTTCTCCTTGCAGCATTTTCGTTTTATTGCCGCGCAGATTAGAGTTGCAAAATTGTTAAATTTTCATTCCAATTCCGTTTCTTAATTTCTTTTTTTTTTTTTTTTGGGTTGAGGGGGCCGAACAAAGAACGCCTCAAGTCCTTAGGCCAATTAACTGACAGAAACTGGAAAAAAATGATAATGGTAAATAAATAAATGCTTGGTTAACCATTCGGCAACATAAATAATTGTGAATAATTGCCTTTAACTGAACTAATGGAATTAAGCCAACTGGCGATCCCTCACAGCCAGGCAATTCTGAAACAAAATTGTTTTTTAAAATAATGTAATTATGCGAGAAAAAGATGAAGGAAGGAATGCACAAAATGGAAAATTAACTTAAAAAAGCGAGGGAAATAATTTTTAATAAAGGGAAATTGTTAGGTTTTTAAAAGCAGAAGAAAAATTTTGTTGAGAAAATCAAAAAATAATTAATCAAAATTTTAATTTAAAAACTAAAACATAAACAGAAATGTTTATCAAAACATTTAACACTTTTGGCTTGGCTTTAATTAACTCAACGACTATTTGCTTAATTAATTTTCGTTTTGTTTATTATTATAAAAGCGCATTGCCGCCTGATTAAATTGCCTTTGGCCAGGGCATCTTAACCGGAATCAATCAACATTTTGAAATCAATATTATTGTAATTTCTATTTGTAATATTATATTTCACGATGTAAAATTGCCAAAGGCAATTGCTTTGTGTGGTTTTCATAAATATGACTTTTCTAATGATTATTAAATTTCATAAATTGCCAGCCGTTAGACCCCCTCCTTCAAATTTTAAACGGCAATTAGTTGATTTTAAATATTAATTTTAGCTAATTGAATTTACCGCTGTATTTATTGTGTCTGTTAATTTAATTAACACCCAAAGTTGATAGTTTTGTGTTAATTTTTAATCAAATAAATTCTTATTGTTAGGTTTCTAGTAAGGAAAATATCAAAATAAATTAACATATTTATAGATATCATATAATGGCTGGATAGAGTGGTCTTATAATATCCTAAATCTGTTTAATTTCCATAAAATATATCCTCCTTCTAAGTAACTTTAAACATAGTTAACAGAGCTCTCAATTTTCCCCACTTCCTATGGTTAAAGTGGTTAAATGGGAATATCTAGATATACCCTATATATACTATATAATATAATATATATATATATATATACCATAAACCTTTAGAGTCGCAGCGGAACACTTGGTGACAAATTCTAAACGCTGTCGCCGTTGCCGTTGCCGTCTCCGTCGCCTTCGCCGTTGGCGCCATCAAATTATGCAACGTGTTCTGCTGCGTCACGTGTTTCCACACAACCAGCTGCAGTGGCGGCGTTATAAAATTT